TGTTTTGTCTGTCCGTGCTCGTCCGTGTTTTGTCTGTCCGTGCTCGTGTTTTGTCTGTCCGTGCTCGTCCGTGTTTTGTCTGTACACGTACACGGACAGACAAAAACAGATGAAGACGACAGTCGAAACACGGACGAAGACGGACAGAAAAACACGGACGAAGACGGACAGACGAAACACGGACGAAGACAGACAGAGACCACGTACACGGACAGACAAAAACAGATGAAGACGGACAGACGAAACACGGACGAAGACGGACAGAAAAACACGGACGAAGACGGACAGACGAAACACGGACGAAGACAGACAGAGACCACGTACACGGACAGACAAAAACAGATGAAGACGGACAGACGAAACACGGACGAAGACTGACAGAAAAACACGGACGAAGACGGACAGACGAAACACGGACGAAGACAGACAGAGACCACGTACACGGACAGACAAAAACAGATGAAGACGGACAGACGAAACACGGACGAAGACTGACAGAAAAGAAAATGTAAAAAAAAATTAATACTCTTGCATTATTTTTCCTTAAGGAAAATTCAACACAAATTAAATACTAAGGAAAAGTTGACCCTTTTTACTTTTGAAAAGAAGGAGAAAAAAAAATATGATTACGCACCTCATTTAAGATAGGGCCAAATATCTTCTTTGTCTTAAAAAAATCTCGTATCCTTTAAATTGAGGGTTATCTCTTAAAAAGGAGAAAAGGTATCGTTTAGGCAGCCCTACTCCCTTCAGTGGCCTTAACAAATTTTTAAAAACTCTAAAATGAGAAGGGAATAAAATTCATACCCTAAAGGAATTTGAACTTTAAAAAAATTAATTTAAAAAAAACCTCTCTTTTAGCAAAAAGTATCATACTCTCAAACAGAAAAACACTTCTTTGTTTTGCTTTGGAGGATGTTCCATTTTCTGTAATTGCAATTTTTAATGTTCCATCAAACATAAAACGTCCATAATGCAACAAATTCTAAAAAAAAAAGAAAAAAATTTCTTGCGGACGTCCGCAAAAAAAGTCTTAAAATATTTTTCATAATGATTTAATGGTAAAGTTGGTAAGTAATAAAAATTGATAAAAATAGTTAAGAGGAAGAGAGGAGCCCACCAATGAAAAATTAGGTTTCTTGTTTGTTTAGTTAATTTTTAATTTGAAAAACTTTCCCTTTTCGGGCAAGAAATTTCTGTTAAAAAATATTGCGGAAAAATTCCTAGACTTCAAAATTAGAAAAAATTTTTTTGTTAAAGTTTTGTTAAAAATAAAAAAACCACACAAACCACATCCAAATCACAAATACTTCTTTCAATAGTATTAATACACCCAATAATTTCCTGATCTCTTTTCATTTCATTTACATAAACAGCAACATCCTTCATTGCCTCATAAGCTTCGTTTAAAAAAGATTTTTCAGTCAAATCAACAGTGTTTTTGAATAAATTCTTTAAAAAATTTATTTTAAATTAAAAATTTAAAAAAAACCTCCAAAATTAAATGATATTTTGTAATTCTTTGAAATGGCAAAATTAAAAAATCACGCAATTTAAATTGAAGATTTTTGCCTAATTCCTTTAAAATAAAAAATTTTAAATTGGAAATTACCCGAACCTCCCGATAAGAGATTTTTCAAAACCCGACTTCTCCCATTTAATCCCTCCCTCTACGTGACCCGGCTCATAATCCAAAATTTCAGACTCTTCTACAACCCGTAATCATCCCTGACATGTAGTAAAGTAGTCTAAACCCAATCCCAGAAAATATCACAAATTGTAAGGGAATTGAGATCCTAAGAGCTCTTCGATTCAAGGTTGCTAATTGCCTAATTATCCCATTAAACATTTCCGTTCATTTTTTGTTTAACTAGAAGGAAAGTCTATTTATTTTTATCTTTCACCAAAAATCCTTAATAAAATTTAAAAAAAACCTCAACAATTCTTTTATAATTAAAATCAACTCTTTCCAACTCTTCAATTCTACGAGAAGAAGAACCCAATTGTGAACAAAATAAGCCATAAATTGTAAAATTCATCTTATATCTTTAAAAGAAAAAATTATTAAAAAAAATTTTTTTCAAAAAATTCTAAAGTCCGCAAAAATTTTGCGCACAAAAAAGAAGTCCGCAAAAATCAACGGACAAAAATTTACGGGACAAAAATTTTACGGACTCCCTTTAGAAAAGATTTAAAAATTCCAAAACAAACTTAAAAAACACTTGAGCAACCCAATTTTTATCCAAAACTTCTTCTCCACCTTCTTTTACCAATCCAAGACATTTTAATATAGCCTCTGTCAATTCAGGCAAAAATTTTCTGTGTAACCCCAAAATTTCAAAAATATTTATAAATATTGTCAAAAAATCGCTGCTTTGAAGGTGGAAACGTAAAGGATTGTAAAATCTATCAATTATTGTTTGTATTCCATCCAAATAGCTAATTTCTGTATCTAGCAATTCTTTTAGGCAGTGATCCCTGTTGTTGGTTGGGGTAAATTCTAAGTAGTTCTAAATAATACAAAAAAATTTGCGGACAATTTTTGCGGATTTTTTTTAAAAAAGATGGACAGTTGGTTCAATAACACATATATAAATTTAGAAAGTTTTGGGAGTCTTAAAGGTCTGAGGGTTTTAAAGGTTTGGGAGTAAATGCCCTAAAGGTAGACATTTATGCAAAAAAATTTTTTGAAAAAGTGGACATTTGGTCCAACCAAGATCGACTGACATGAGTCAGAGCCAAAAACTCGGTTCTTCTTTACACACTTTCAAACAAATTTAACACACCTTAGCGATCTTCTATTTGAGCAAATACCCACTAGTATATGTCCAAGGCTGGTGAATTCAAAAATTAGTTCAGGCCTCTGACTTAAAAAGAATCCCCACCCCTCAAAAAATTCAAATAAAAAAATCCTCAAAAATTAAAAAAAAACCCCCATACAAGAGGCAAACATCTATTCCTCGGTATTTTTTGAGAACATATAGATTCGTATATTTCTTGTCCTGTCCTTTCCTCTTCTTCTTCCCTTTGTTTATTAATTACTGAATAATTATCAAATTCTGTATATTGTTGCTGTTGTTCATATTGTTCCCTCAAATTTAAATAAATATCATCATCGGATTCTTCTCGATTTGGTAATTTTGAAGGAAGAATTGTTTCTTCCGGGAAAGCCCTAAAATTATTTTTAAAAAACTTTGACTCAAAATTCTGCTTCAGAAACAAATATTTCAAAAGCATGCTTTTGAATCATCCAAAAAAATTTCCAATACTGAAGCATGCTTCAGGTTTCATAAGAAAAAATTCTGAGAAATGTCTCTGAAGCATGCTTCTGCATTTTAAGAAGCAAGTGAAGCATACTTAAAAAATGCTCGGTAGCATGCTTCAGAAAAAAATTTCTGGTGAAGCATACTTACGGAGCATACTTCTGAATTTTCAGAAGCAATGAAACATGCTTCAAGAAATACAATGGAAAATGGTTCAGAAAAAATTTTTTGAAGGAAAAAAATCTAAAGCATGCTTCACGTTTCGAAAACAACTTATTTGAAACACACTTCTCACAACTTTTTAAAAACAAAAATAAAAAACAAACTTTAATCCCAACTGCCTCGATTTTTGACTTCTAGAAAGTTGCGACAAAAGTCTAAGAACCGCCGGGAAGTTTTGCAATTCCAACAAATCATCTTCACTAAAAACCTCATTTATTGAAAAATGATCACGGCAGGCTTTAAGAAATAGAGCAATGTTTTTTGAGCAAACAAACTGAAAAAATAAAGGTTTATAAAAAGAGAATTGAAGTTAAAGAAAAAGTTATTCTCACTAAAAATGGACATTTGATCCCTCAACTTAAAAATAAGAAAAACTAGCTAGATGTTAGATTGGGTCTAGTCTAATAAGGTTGTTTTAACCACAGCTTAGAGCCAGGCAATTTAATTTTTGAGGGTCTCTCTGAGTTAAGGTCAGGTTTGGGGTCCAGCTCTGGAACGAATCAGAGTTTAAGGCACAGGATTCTTTTGAAAGAGTATGTGCTTTAGTCCAAGTTTGATATCTGTTTACCTGAACAACAGAGATCTTTCCTCAAGTCCAAGAAACCACCAGAAATTAGATTACCTGGCGCTCTGTGTTTGTGGTTCCACTCACTAAAACAGACTTAAACCAGCTTCAGTTCCCTATAGAGTAAAATACACAAATTTAACAAGCCTCCTTATCCCTCCTTAAACCCAAGCCTATTAAATCCCAAAACCCCCCAAAACTTAAATTAAAAAATACATGTAATTGTTGATATTGAGACAATATTTCGTGTGAATAAATACAGTTTGGACACAATTTAATAGCCAAATTACACAAAAGAATTCCATCTCTCAAAATGAAGGCAAAATCGGATAATTTGTCAAATTCAGCTTCAGGGGAAAGCACTCCTGTTGATTTTATCCATTTTATACATTGCTGCCAAAGCTCATTTTCTCTATTATTACTACAAGGCATTTCTAAAAAGAAAAGAAAAAAAAATTTAGCAAAAATTCTGAAAATTTAAGAAAAAACTCAGAAAAAGTAAAAAACGACCTTTTCGTATATTTACTTTTTGAAATTTTACATTTCAACATGCTAGCACTAAAAATGTCAATTAAAAAACATTTCAAAACACCTAAAAGCTGAAATAAACAAAATGTGATACAACAGAATGCCATGCATGCAAAATAGACAAAATGTCACACTGTGTAAAAACGACAGATTGTCACACAATACAAAATACGACAACACGCCGAACTGTGTAAAATTCGACAAAATGTCCGCGTAAGATAGACAAAATGCATCCCTGTTAAAACCACGACAAAATGGCACAACAATTTTGTCATGTACAAATTGAAAAATTATTTTTAAAAATCAGCAAAAATTTTTGCAGAATGCAAAAGTATGCAAATTATTAAAAAATCGAAAAAATCAGAATTTTATTATATAAAATCAGAAAAAAATCAGAAAAATCAAAATTATTGAGAGAATAATTAAGTAGAAGATACTCCGCTTTCTTTTCTCACAGGTTGTTGTTGCTGACAACTTGCTCCATTTAAACTATCACTATCAAATAATTTATACCACCCAACAATATTTCCTCCTCCTAGCTGTAATTCTTCCAAAGCAATTTGAATTACTCCCATAAATATTTTACGTTCTAAACGTCCAAAATCCCCAATTACAGTTATTTGAAGCATTTTATTTCTCAAATTCTCATTGAAAATTAATTTTTGGCGAAAGCTGGGAGAGGCAGAACGTGTTCTTGAAGGCTGTGTTTTTGCTTTTGCTACACAATTTTTTCCTTCCATTAAATAGGCTTTGACGTAGGAAGCTGTTGAAAAAGAAATTTTTAGTCTAAAATAGACTCTATATTGAAGGATGGCTCCCTTCCTAAAAATCAGTCATTAACAAAAGATTTTATTTACGGCCAGTCGATAAACGGCAAAACTTAGGTGGCTGTTTATAAGAAATTAAAATTAAAGAGGAAATCAGTTTTTGTCGAAAAAAAAATTCAAAAAAAAAGCACTCACCAGGAGCTCCTCTTGGTCCAATCTTCAATTCTCTAGCCTCCCTAATATCCAAAACCAATCCAGTTCCCTGTTCAACTGATAAACCAATCAACAGTTCACCCATAGGTATAGCACCAAGTGCTTGGCGTCCGACAACTTGCCCAGGGCCAAGATTTTCCATAAATGAACCGAGTGGTCGGTCAGGCAAAATAGGCAGCCAACTGAATTTTATAAACGGAGTTAGTGTAGAAGCTTTCAGTCCTTAGAAGCAACCTAGGCCGTCAGTTTACCACGAGTCTCTTATGTAGAAGCCTAAAGAGAGGTCTCTTATAAAGAGAGGTTTCTTAAATAGTGGTTTCTTATGTAGAGGTCTCTCATAGAGAGAGTCTCCTCTATAGTTTCATATATAGAGAGGTCCCTTATATAGAGGTACATATTCAAGATTAATTTATTTACTTGTCAGAACTGTCAGTAGATTCTTTACTATTTTGTTTGATAAGTTCAGGCGGGGCTAATGCTGTATTTGATGTTGTTGTCGAGACTGTTGTTGTTGCCCCTCCCCCTCCTTCTCCAGGAATACCAACCTCTTCAGAACGTGCAAAGCCTAGCCTTTTGTTTGCGTCTAAAAGGAATTTTTTGAGATGTCACGAAATGCGAAACACGAAATAATTTCGTGTTTCGCATTTCGCGAAATACAGACACGAAATTATATTTCGTATTTTTTTACCATTAGGTCCATTCCTTCCAGGTATTAATCTTGTCATTAAAGACTTTTTTCTATCCTTCATTTCCTTGGCCGTCATTGAAGCTAAATTTCCTAATTGTTGTTGCTGTTGTTGTTCAATAAATCTCTCATCTTCTTCATAATCTATAATATCCCCTCCATTTCCATAATTTTTTGTATCTTCGTTTGAACTCTGACTTTGTTGTTTTAATTGTTGTTGTTGAATTCTTTGGATTTGTTGTTGTTGTCGAAGTAAAGCCCTAAGAAAATTTATTGAACTTGAAGCAAAGTTTTAATAAAGTTTAGAAGCAAAAACAGAAAGGGAAAGAAAAATTCCGGAAAAAGAATATAAAGGGAACCGAAAAACACAATCCGGAAAAATTAAAGGAAAGAAACACACTTCGAAAAATATATAACCGGAAAACATTACCAGGAAAAGACACGCTCCGGAAAAAAATTAAAAGAAACCGGAAAAACATAATCCGGAAAAAAATAAAAGAAACACGCTTCGAAAAATAAAAACCGGAAACATTATCAGGGAAAAATATTTGAATGACGGAAAAACACACTCCGGAAAAATTAAAGGAAACCGGAAAAATACAATCCGGAAAATTAATAATAAAAATATAGAAGAATCCGGAAAAATATATTAATTTGCTTCAACTTTTAAACTAATCCGGAAAATTACCTATTTTGCATACTCTGAGCAGAATTAACACTTAAAGTTTCTGCAGAACAATCAGAGCCATATTCACCACCCCCACCTCCTCCAATCAGACTTCCGCTACATTCTTGCTCTTTTAATTCTTGTTGCCGTGTTGTTTTACGACTATTATTATTTTGCTTCAAATCTTGATATCCTTCCCTTTCTTCAATGAAAACAGAATCTTGACTATTATTAACCCCTGAAGAATGACGCTGCTCCCATTCAACTACTGAAAATATAAAATGCTAAAATATAAAAGTGAAGCAGGAATTAAAAAACTGAAGCAAAAAAAACAACTGAAGCACCAACAAAAAGTGAAACAAAAACAAGCTTCCACCTTATTTTTGCTTCAGCTTCCCAATCTTCTCAACTTACTATTCCTAAGCGCTGTAGCTGATTGAGGCCTTCTATCCCGAACATTGTTGTGTTGTTGTTGCCTATCTCCATGACGATGTTGATGATGTCTATGTTCTCTATCTCTACGCCTATGTTCTCTACTATGTTCCCTTTCTTTACGCCTTCTTCCAATTTCCCATTCTTGCTCTTGATCTGATAAACAAATATTTTTTCGATGTTTTGAATTTCTCCCAAAATTTCTTCCTTCATCCCAAAAATCTTCATCGTCTCCATAATAATTATGCCGCCCTCTCCTAAAGGCTTCCGAATGTATAGGAAAATCAGAATTATAAGAACGATGACGAGAACGTGAAGAATGAAGCTAAAAATAGAAGTTTAAAAAGTCAGGTTTGCCAAATATTTTGTCCCTCAACTGTTTGCTGCCTAGTCTTTCTGTCTTTGCCTAGTATGATAAGGAGCCCCGGAGTTTTCCGGAAAACACGCTCTGAAAGTTTCCGGAAAATACGTTTCGGGATTTTTCAATAAAAAACAAGGCTTCGGAAATTTTTCCTGATTCCTGATCAGACACGAAGTAAGGACCAGAAAACACAAAAACTTACCGGCAGATCATGAACAGAAAGTGAATTATTTGCTTTATTATTGCTTTCCCATTCTCTATTAGAAACATTTCCTCTATCCGAAGGGCCAAATGAAGCAGAAGCATTTTGTGGAAGCGTTCGATAAGGAAAATTCATTTGTGAACGACTACGCTGTTGACCGGCTGGAGGGGTTAGTGAGGAAGAATACCTTCTTTGCTGGTATCGAAGTCTCTATAAAAAAATTTTTTATTGGCCAATCCCATAATTAAATTACGTACCACTCTAATAGGATTATCATCATCCATATCTAGCAAAGTATAAACATGTGGTTGATTATTTAATGGAGCTTGGCTTAAATCAATTAGTGCCTCTCCCAAGAACGAGTGTGATTCGAAAGCGTCATAATCCCAAAGAGTGACCTGAAAATTTTTTAAATCCGGTAACAAACAAATTTCTCTATCTTTCACCTCCAAAACACGATTAGCCAATTCATTCTCATCTAAATCTTCATAAAAAAAGTGTTCCTCCCACACCGGACTTTGCGTCCCTGTAATCACTTTACTTTGCCTTCGACTTCTTTCACTTTAAATTTAGAAAATAATTAAATTTAATTAACTCATCTACCTCCTATCCGGCAACAAAAATAATTTAATATAAGGATTTCTATCATTTTCATTTGGACGTGGTAATAAATCATAGGCACGACTTAGAGAAATAATTAATTCGCGTTTTTGTGGTAAATATAAAAGAGCCATCTAAACATTGTTTTTATTAAAATCAGAATTTAAACAAAACATACCTCTAATCGACCACATATTCCAGAAACATTATCAGAATTAAATTGGGAAGGAGAAAAACAAAAAGGAGTAGAATCAACTAAAACATGTTTTAATTAAACAAATTTAAAGTAAAACACAGAAAAATTAAACAAAACAAATAATAAATTAAAAACACAATGTTTTTAGATTTAAATGTTTTTAATGTTTTGTTTGTGTTTTTGTTTTGTTTTTGTATTTATTTTAATTCTGGTTTTGTTTATGTGTTTTCACGTGTTTTTAAAATGTTATTTGTTCTGTTCTAGGTTTAATTTTAATTGTTTCGTGTATTTTCGCTTGTTTATTCTATTCTGGTTTTGTTTTTAAAGTGTTTTACTCATTTCTATGTTCTTTGTGTTTTTAATTTATTCTGGTTATTTTCTTTGTGTTTTTAATTTAGTATTTTGGTTTTGATGTTAAATACACTTACAAAAGCCCGTTAAAGCATCATTATAGGGTTGTTGTTGTTGTAGCACAAAAGGAGAGGGGACCCGCGAATAAAAACAATGTTTTTGTTGTTGTTGCATAGAAGCACCACCACTAATAAAAGGCGTAGCAGAAATTAAAGATTGTGAGTGTGGGATATTTTTATTAACTAAAAATTGTTGTTGTTGTTGTTCTAATAATCTTCTTCTACCCAAATTTAAAAAATCATCTCCATCACCGGTTAGTGGACGAGAAACAATTAATTCTAATTGTGTGTCTGCTTTGCTGGTTTGAACTATTGTATAGACAGTCTAAAAAATTAAAGGGGGATTTTAGAATAATTTTTGGAGGGTAAAAAAACCTCTGGGCTTGCATTCTGAAGTTGATGGCCATTCCATTCTAGCACTTCATCACCTGAATTTTTAAATTTCCTATTGACAGAAATATTTAAAAAAGGTCCCTACCAGCTCTTAGCTGCCCCACAGTATCAGCAATAGAACCAGGCCTAACACGAGTAACAAAAGCTCCAAGCCTTCCACTCATCGGATCCCTACAACCAACAACTTTAAGCCCAAAATCAAGAATATTGCTGCAAGTTGAGGTTGCAGGAACAAGCCTATTTAACAATAAATGCCCAATTAATTTGCGTTGATCTGTTGACGGTTTCCACGAAACTGATGGATTCTTTGAAAGAGAGGTTAAAATTTTCTTTTGATTTTTAAAAAACACAAACAGAAAGATAGCTTCTAATTCGATTAGCCAAAAGAACATTATCTGGAACGACTGTTTTTGAATGTATAGCAGACATGGAGCCGGTACTCATAGTTGCATGTCTTTGGCCAAATAGAGGTAAAGTAGAAGTATTACCTGAAAATAATTTTTTTGAAATTTTGGACATTTTGAGATTTTTGACATTTCAAAAAATTGGTACTTTAAAAATTATCTTGGACATTTCGAAATTTCGACATTTCGCGAAAATACGAAATTTCGACTTGTTAAAAATAAAAGTATTTAAATATTCATAAAATTCAGTCAATGAATGAACATAAAAATATGTGGCCATTTTTTCATTAATTTTTTTGTTTTCAATTGAATAGAAATGCCGTTACTTAATGTAAAGCGCCTCTATTTTTTACTTGCATTTTTCTTTAGTCGACGACCCACACACATTTATCCCTTAAAAGCTTATATTATAGAACTACTTCTTATCTTATTTTCTCTTTTTTACTTAAAGCTTTGTGGATTATTCGCGCTTAATTGAACTTGTGTGGGGGAAGAAAGAGATGAAAGCCTAAAAAAGGTCTCGGGTCAAATCTGGAATTTTCTTGGGTTGAAACAAAATTGTTTTTGTTTGGAAAACAAAAATGTTTAGAAAAGAAACAAATGTTTTGGAGAGTAATTAAAAATTTTTATGTTTTTGTGTTTGTGAAAAATACAAGAAAACGCAGAAACATCCAACCCACCTTTTTGAGTAGATACTGTGTTTCTCCTGGCATTTGGATGAGCGTTTTCATAGATATACCGCAACATTTCTTAATGTTTTGAAAAATACAAAAATATAAAATACAAAAATGTGTTTTTAGCATTGGTTTAAGTTTGTGTTTCAAGTTTTAATGTGTTTTATTTGTATTTTTTACAAAAGAATGTTTTGATTAAAACAAACAGTAAAATAGAAAAACACAAAAACAAATGTTTATTTAATATTTTAAATGTTTTGTTTGTTTTGTGTGTTTTATTTGTATTTTTACAGGTGTTTTACAAACATTTCTTAAACATTTTAATCAAAAAAAAAATGTTTTTAATCATAAAAACATGTTTTTAATTATAAAAATAAATGTTTTTAAACAAACATATTTTGAATGTTTTGTTGGTTTTGTCGTGTTTTTATTGTATTTTTAAAAACACATGTTTAATTTAAAATACAAAAACGTGTTTTACCTTTTTCTGAAAAGTCAGGCTCTTCTTTTTTAATGTTTGTCTGTTCAAGTTGAAGTGAAGTACTTTGTGGTAAACAATGTTGTTGTTGTAATGTTTGTTGGTGTTTTATTTGTTGTTTTATTTGTCTATCAATTTGTTTTTGTTTTGGAGAACTAATAATTTGTTCATCAGAAGAAGAAGGGCAAGAAGAATGTATTTGTTGTTGTTGTCTATTTGTTATTGTCATTTTGTTTCGACGTGTTTTTAACAAAGGCAAGGAATTATTGTTGGGGCTGTCATTATTATTTGGGATTAAATTGGTGGATATTTTGGAAGAAGGTGAAGAAGGTTGTTGTTGTCGAATAGAAGAAGCGCCGCTATTTTGGTTAGGTAATGCTGAAGCTATAATATTATTGTCGTTAGCTGTTGTTATTTGGCCTAAAAATAAAGAAAGAAGAAAATGTGTCAAGACTAATAAAAGAAAAAAGGCTAATTGAAAATGGCAAGAAAAAAAGCTAAAAAATGCAAATTTAAAAGAAAATATCCAAATGAGAGAATATCCTAATTTCCGGTTTTTGATAATTTTAGGCTATATAAATGTTCAAAAAAAATTTTTAACCTCCTTCAGTCCGCATAATTCGTGGAGACTGTTTTAAAGATTGGGGAGGATCCGAGGAAGCAAAGTCCAATGAATTTTGTTGTTGATTTTTTAAGGCTGATTCATTTAAGCGTGCTTGGCCGGAAGTTGAAGGGCGTTGTTGTAGTTGTATAGGTGATGTTGTTGGTTGTTGGGAAAGGCTGGAATTATGATTTTATAGAATTATAGAAAAATACAAAAACATTAAAATAGAAAAAAACACAGAAAAATAAACACAAACTAATTCAAACGAACATTGGGTTGTAAAAGATAAAAACAGAAAATACAAGACTTAGAAACACAAAATACAAAAACTTGAAAGACAAACAAAACAAAAATACAACAAATATACCTACAAAAACACAAAAACAATACAATCACAACAAACAAACAACAAAACAAACAAAAACAATGGAAGCCTTTTTAAAAATACAAAACAAATAAAAACACAAAAATAAAACAGAAGAACAAAACAAAAATTAAAACAAACATAAAAACAATACCTTTGTTGTTGTTGTAAGTTATGCTGTTGTTGTGTTTGTTGCCTCGGTAAAGCGTTACCAACTTTGTTTGAAACTTGTTTTTGTAATGTTTTTCGAACATTTTCTTTTTCTCTGTTGTTGTTATTGTTTTCCTCATCCAAAGAATTCTGGACATTAAAACTTTGTTGTTTAAAACTCTCGTTGTTGTTGTGTTCTCTTTGTTGTTTAATACTTCTGCGTGTCTGACCGTTCAATCTAAATGTTTCATTAGATGTTTTTGGTAATTCTTCTGTTGTTCCATTTATTATAGGTTGTTGTTTCATGTTTTTGTCGTCTGACTGCATTGTTTGTTGTCTTTTTAATGTGTTTTGGCGGGTAAGAGAAGTTCGTTTTTGTTGTTGTGACGATAAACTTTGTTTTCTTTGTAATTTTTCATTTTGTTGTGTTGTCTTTGTATGTTCGGAAATTGAAAAATCTGAAGACTTTTGTGGTAATTGATGTTGTTGTGTTGTTTGTTCTTGAAAAACATTGTCATTTAAATGTGTTTGTTGTTGTTGGAACCACTTCCCCGTTCTAGCCAGAATTTGTTGTCTTTTCTGACAAAGAGAACAAGCCCAAATATTCTTATTTTTGCTAGTTGTTTTACCCCCACAACGAGCACAAGATCGCAATTGACAATAAAAACACTGGAAAAAATAAAAATTATTTCGTTAAAGGCTTCAATAATTTTTTCATTTTTTTCACCTTATGCCCAATCCCATCAGCAAATTTAGTTTTTTGACAAATTTGGCAAATAGCGTCATCTTGTGTCCCAATTAATTTTTGAGCATTTTCTTTACGTTCTTGAATTTGTCGTTCAATATCCCAAAGTTCTTGATTTCCTTTTTGAGCAATTTCTTCTTCTTTTCTTTCCTCATCTTTTTGTCTTTGCAATACTTGTAAAATTATTTGGCGTTCTTCTTCGCTTAAGTGTGACAAATCTGGGGCTCCAATATCGAGAGAATCTCCCCCTTGTTGTGGAGATGGGGAAAATGGGGATGGTAAAGATGATACAGGCACCATTGTTACGAAAAAAGTCTTGCAAACACAATTTACATAAAAATAATTTGGGTATGTCGATGTCGTTTCATTTTTAGGTGAATATTAAATAGAGGTTTATTAGAGCATAATTATTGCTTTAATTAAAAGATTAATTAATTATGCAAAATTCCGGAAAATACAACATTTTCCGGAACGAATAGAATAAAAAGGAATACAACCGGAAAATACAACATTTTCCGGAACGAATAGAATAAAAAGGAATACAACCGGAAAAGACAACATTTTCCGGAACAAATAAAATAAGAAGGAATACAACAAATACAACACATTCCGGAAAAGCCTACGTTTTCCTGAACAAATAATAATATTAACCGGAAAACTTTCCGGAATTGAGGTGTTAAATATACAATCTGGAATAAAATAATCGAAAATACAATTTTCCGGAAAATAAATACAATTTTCCGGAATGTTTAAATATCAAATAAAAATAATAAAAAGGCTTTGAAATAGGCAACTATGTTTCTAAGGTAAATAAAAACCCAATAAAAATAAGAAGGATATAATGGATTTTAAAAAAGAGCAAACAAAAGGATGATTTAATGCCCTTAAGGTGAGTTAAAGAGGAAATATTAAAATATTATTTTTTTATTAAAAAGCAAATACCCATAAATATTAAATATTAAAAAAAATAGACAAACGAATGGAATAAACGGAAAAATTGAAAAAAAATTATAAAAAGAATGTGTTCATCTGCCAATTTTATTTAAAAACACCCCAGTCATTTTTGCCTTTTTCTCTATAACCTTTTTATAGAATTTACAAAGTTTGTTTTTTTGTTGTTGCCCTTTGGGTTAGCTGTTGTCGTTTTTCCGTTTCTTACACGTTCACAGAAAAAGGCATTCTTGATTAAATTTCCTATGGACCATAAAAATTTATTTTACCCCAACTTTTAGGGAGACGAGAGAGACGTTATTAATTTTGGGATGAATATTGGAAGAATTAAAAAAGTATAGTTAAGTCAACTAGAAAAATTAAAAACACAAAGGAAAACACATAAAAACACACAAAGAAAACACAAAATATAAAAATAAAATAAACAAATAATTTTATAAACATTTTCAGGAAACACATAAAATCAAAACAAAGTTAGCATTCCGAACAAATTAAAGTAGAAACACATTTTCCGTAAACAAATTTTAGCAAAAACATTCCCCGGAAATGTTTTAATGTTTGTTGGAAAACAATTCCGGAATGTTTAAAAAAATAATCGACAAACATTTTACGGAGAACTATAAAAATAAAACAAAAACATCATTTTCCGGAAGAACATTAAAACATTTCCGGAAAATGTTTTTATTAAAATTTGTTCGGAAAACAATTCCCTAATGGTGTTTGTGAGAAAATACTTGGAAAAACATGAGAAATACAAAATTCTAAACATAACAAAAACAAAACACAAGAAACAAAAACATGAGAAAATATTCATATTATTTGTTTCAAACATTCACACAAACATTTTTAAGGGAAAATACAAACATCAGAAATATTTTCAAGGAAAACATTTTTGGGGAAAACATTTTTAAAGCGAAAAAGATAGGCAAAGAAGCATTAAAGACTAAAAATGGATAATTACCAATTTTAATGCTAAATTTTGCTGCAGGCAAAATTTGGAGCTAATATTAGAGAAAGAAAAAAAAGCTTAAAAATTAAAAAAAGGATTGGGGGGCGAAAATGACGGAGAAATGAAAGAAAGGGGTGAACATTTTCTTCTCCTCTCCTCTCAACCACCAACCAGCCTCCCCCCTTTTTTTTACCCACCAAACAAACACAACCTCTCCTCTATAAAACTACTAGCTACTATAGTATTCCATCACAAAACACTTCCGCCTCTCGTTTTGCTTTGCCCTCTCGTTTCGTCCCCCCTTCAAACATTGCTTCTTCCTTTTTGGCACTATAATCCCCCCCCTCTCTCCCTTTGTGGCACACACCAACTAGAGCCAGCCAGTATTTGAAATCGATTTTTTCTAGAGCAATTCCCGCATGGCTAACAACAAAAACGACAAAAAACAGACAGATAGACCTATACTTATATGGCACTCCACACACTTTTATATATGGCCATTTTCTATAGAAGCAAAAAATGAGGGCATAAAAAGTGTAAAAAATATAGGAGAGAGAATTTTAAAAAGGTTAAAAAATTTTGCGCGAAACCCGAATAACTCAGAGATGAAAAATAAAGGGTTCTTTGATAGTTTTCATAAATCCCAAAAGCTTGTCAACTGTCAAAATAAATTTTTTTTCCACGGAATTGCGCACATCCTTTTTTAACAATAATGGGGCTATATTTCCCCTTCTAAATTTCCCCCTTCTCTCTTTCTCCTCAGTTTACCTCCCTTTTTTATATTACTCCATTTATCCTGGCCACTTTTCTCCCTTTTTTTTGTGTCTCCCACAAACTAACCGGCAACTACCGGAAAGGTTTTTTGCTATCAAAAAAGAGAGGTATATTTTCTTTTAAAAGTTTCTGCTTCATTCCGGATGAATGAATAATATACCAAAAAGGATATGCATGGAAGAATAAAAAAAGGAGAAAGAAAAAAGAGAACGTTCCAGGGATAAGATTTGTGGTATAGGTTTAGAGGAGGTATGGGGGGAAAGGAACATTAGCCTCTCTCCCTCAGAAAAAAATTTCTACCAAAACTTTTCAAATAAAAAAATTTAAAAATTTTTTTAAAAATCGAATCAAAAGGAATAAAAAAATATAAAAAAATATTGAAAAAAATAGATATAGAAAATTTATTTTACGATGCTTGGTCTATCTGATTCATTTCATAATAAAGACCTTTATTAGCCATTAATTCTTGATGGGTGCCTAAATTTATTTTTTTTTGTTATCCCCTTTTAAAAAATTAAATATTTGCCTTGTTCATGAATACGACCCTCAACTAAAACAATAATTCGGTCAGCCGATCGGATGGATGAAAGGCGATGTGAGACTTAAGCAAAAATATATTTTTGTAAAAGATATTAAGTAAAAAAGGATGGGTATCTTTTCACGAAAATTTTAAAGATTTTCGGAATAAATAATAAATAAAAATTTTCCGGAAACTAATAATTAAAATAAAATCAGGAAAAACTGGAGAACAAATATGATAAATAAATTCTTTTTACCGGAAAAGGTAAATATGTATTTCCGGAATATTAAATAAATAGTTTTCCGGAAAAAATAAATAAAATAAAAATCCAATAAAAATACCAATAAAAATACATTTTTCCGGAATATACATACAAATAAAACTTTTTCCGGAAAATTATTACATTATTAAAACATGTTCCGGAAAACTCAAAACAAATATTATTTTTTCCGGAAAAAACACATTCAAAAACAAACAAAACACAAAAACATATACCCACCTTGAATACACGTACAATGTTGACTAGCTCTATCCAACGCGCTTTGTACAGCCTACAGAAAAATTTTTCATAATTGAATAAAATATTTATTCTAAAGGTATTACCCTTTCACTAGCAGAATCTAAAGCAGCCGTAGCTTCATCCAAAAGTAAAATTACAGGTTTTCTAATTATAGCACGTGCAATCGCTATTCTCTGTTTTTGTCCCCCACTTAATTGACCTCCAAATTCACCAACTTCAGTTTCATACCCTTTAGGTAATGATTCAATAAAATCATCTAAATTAATGTTGGAAGAATTATTTTATTCAAAAAATATTTTTTTGTTTACGAATATTTGCAAGTTTAGCAGCTTCTTGAACTCTATCTAAACCTGCTTCATCATCTGGGAGACCAAAAGCAATCTTAAAAAAATTATTTAGGTATTTATTTCAAAATACAAACAAATCACTTTTTTATGTAACCTCGTTTGGGGCTGAAAAAGTCTTTTATCCTATAATGAAGTATATCTTAAATTTATGGTGTCACATAGGTAGTTCCCAAACAAATATGCCAATTAAAGTAAATGTCACATAAATAGAAGTTCCCATCCAATTTTAGGTATCTTATACCGAGGACACCTATTAATAGAGCTGAAAATCTCGTGCCTTATAATGGGATTATCCTAAATAAAAGAGTATCACTTTGGCAACTCCCCAAAAAGTAATCAATAAACGTGTCTTAAATCTAGGGTAAATCCCAATTTTAGAGGTATCTTATAGCGAGCTTCAAATATATAATTCAAAAACAACACTCCTCTTACATTTTCTCTTATTGTAAAAGAAAATAAAGTAGGTTCTTGCCCAACAGAAACAATAACTCTATGAAGATATTGAGCATTTATTTGACGTAAATTATATCCATCAAGCAATACTTGCCCTCTTGTTGGAGAATACATTCTTTGCATTAAAGCCATTAAAGTACTTTTTCCACAACCTGAAGGCCCAACAATTGCCAAAGTTTCCCCTGATTTTACTTCAAAACTAATATTTTTGAGAATTGGAACGATTGGTCGAGAAGGGTAGCGAAATTCAACACGATGTAAACGAAGACGGCCTTCGAATTTCTGTAAAATATTTTTATGAAGTTATAGGTGGAAATGAACGTTATAAGTATTTTCCGGATGTTTTCCGGAAACTTATAAATTATATTCCGGAAATTTAGAAATGTTTTCCGGATGGTATAAACAAATTCCGGAGACATACAAACATTTTCTGGAAACTTAAAAAATATCTCGGAAATTGACAAACATTTTCCGCAAATAAATTCCGAAAAGATTAATTATTTTCCTGAAACATACAAATAATGTTACAGAAAAGTATAAACAATATCTCCGAAACTTGTAAACATTTCCTGGAAAAATTAAATTATTTTTTAAAAATTAACCGGACGGAATCCTTCATCGCTCAAGTTGTCCATATCCGCTGCAGGTTCAATCAAAACATTAAGAATTCCCTCAGCAGCAGTTCTAGCCTTTTTTAAATCGGAAACTGAAGCAACCAATAAAGAAAGATAATTTGCACCAAACTAGAGAAAATTTTAAAGAATTGGAAACATAATTAATAAAAAACCTGGGTTAATAAAACAACTCTGAGGTAATCAAAAGGACTGAAAAAAAAATATTAAGAAACAAAAAACATGAAAAAATACAAGCAAACATTGAAAACAAATAAAACACATCCAACAATGAAGTAAAAAAGAAAGAAATTCGCAAACATAAATATCCACCAACATCTAACATTTTCCCCAAAAACATGTAAACGTTTTTCAATCAATAATAAAACAAAACATGATAAACACAAAAACAACCGAAACACAGGAAAACAAATAAAACAAAACAAACAAGATGTAAAAACACAACAAAAACAACCAAAACTCACATAAAACAAAATACAAACAAATAAAACAATAAAAACACAACAGAAATACATAAAACAAAACAAACAGAGCATAAACAAAACATTAAACAAAAACACCAAAACACATTCAAAACAAAACAAATAAATAAACACTAAAAACACAACAGAAATACATAAAACAAAACAAACAGAACATAAACAAAACAAACATAAACAAAACATGAAGAAAACAAAAACAACGAAAACACAATCAAAACAAAATACAAACAAATAAAACACTAACAACACAACAGAAATAGATAAAACAAAACAAACATAAACAAAACATGAATAAAACAAAAACACCAAAACACATTCAAAACAAAATACAAACAAAACAAATAAAAAACTAACCCAATTTCATTTGCCAACATCATCATTTCCCCAATATGTAAAGTAATGGCACTATAAAAAACAATAAAAATATTTTTAAAAATTTTTAAAAAAATCAAACCAAAGAATATAAGTAAAAGAAAATTGACAAGCAAAAACAAAAGCAGAAACAATTGATTGACGTCTCATAGATTTTTTAAGAGGTCTGAGGGCATCACAAAAAATACGATGAAAGTGTGATTGAAGAGAATAAGCTTTGATTGTTGGCATGTTGGTGAGGAATATACTTGTGTACTTTTTTAAAGGAAAAAAATTAATTTTTTTTTTGAATTTTTTTATTGGAGCTGGACATTTTCTGAGAGATATTAAATGGACTAAACATTCTGAGTCAACCTATACGCTTAAATTTTTGACTGACCTCCCAAGTCTTCCTACCTCACTCCAACCCACCCCCACCTCAAGTCTTCCTCCCTCCAATTCACCCCCCCCCCCTTTCCCCCAAGTCTTCCTCCCACACCCAGTCTACTACTACTTGGTTATATCAGTCCACATCTTGATTACCCCATTAACTTCTTCATTGATATCCTAATCTTCTCAAATCTCCTCGTATCCAAAACTCCTTCCTCCAACCTCATTGTTATCTCACTCTCCCTCATACCCAAAAATTTTTTTAACAAAAAAACACAAACTGTAGCAGCCTTTTTCTCCTCTTCTGCCATTTGACGTTGTCTTTTACTAGTTTCACGCACTTCCACAATACGTACAAAAAAGAAGGCTGGGAATTGAAAACCACAGAGTAAGGCTAACTAGAAAAATAAAAAAAATAAACTTAAATTATTTAAAAAAAAACCTTCCAATTTAAAAATAACGCAATAGTTATAGAAACAAAAGCACAAACAAGTGAAGGTAATAACATATCCAGCTTTGAACCAAGAATCTAAAAATAAATAGAGAAAAAATTTCAAAGAAGCTGTGATAAGAGGGAAAGATTAGGATAATAAAAAGTTGGTTACAGAGCAGGAATTAAAGAATATTTTCGAGCAGGGATGTTATGAAGTAAAAAAAAGTCGGAGGTTTTGGGGTAAATCTAGGCATCGATAATGTCAAAGTCAAGTGTTATACAGGTTGAGCTCTAAATGGGCTTTAATGGGGCGATCTGGTTTCCCTTATAGATCAAGTAAATCGACCAAACCCCTTATAAGTACCAGAAAATAAAAAAAAGATTGGATGGAACCTGACCCCGAGAATGCTATCTAATTTCTAAATCCTCTCTTCTAACAATACAACATTTTGGATTTACACAGCCAAATCCACCCCTATCTCATATTTAATTATAAATATACCCTGTTTAAACTTGCAGTGTCTGAAATTAATCTGTGAACAAGTCGACCAGGTGTATTCTCTTTAAAATTAAAATGAAGAAAAATTAAAAATAAATTTGACTAACTATCCTCGTCAAAATAAGCAACTCCATGGCGCAATAGTTGTCTGAACATTTGAAGACGCATATGAGTACAAAAACCATGACCATATAAAGCAACTGAGAGTCTCTGGAAAATATTTTTTTAATAAAATTTTTGAAAAGAAAAAATATTTTAAACAAACCCCAACAGCTTCAAACATTGTTTTGACAATAATAATCTTTAAAAAAAGAAGTTTAAAATTTTTTGATAAAATCCAAACCGCAACGTAAATACAGGCAACAATAAAAACTTTTTCTGAAAGTTGTTCTGCAGGTACTATAGAAATCTAAAAAATAGGTAATTTAATTTTAAATAGAAAAAAAGAAACCTCAAGAAGTGAGGCAACCTCAAAACAAACTAATAAAAACAGGGCTCCTCTCAAAACCGTAATAGGAATAGCCAACGCCAAGTGAACATGCCCTCCTTTAAAATCACGAATCAGGCGCCAAACAGCTCTTAAATTTGTGTGTTTTCCAGGCAACTTTAAAAATTAATTAAAAATTTTTTTTGAATTTTCTATAGGGTTGATCCCTGTCCCGTCAGCAAAAATTTTTTTAGGGGTCGGAGGAAGGTCTGTTAGAGGATCGGGGACAGGAAATCACGGCCCGAAAATAAGTCAGGTAGGGGTTCGGGCCGGGCTTTCAGAAAAATTTCTTAGGAATGGGTTTTCGGGTCGGGTATCGGATCAAAGAAAGAAAAACCCGTGTGTTTGGATAACCCCCTCCCATTCCTGGTCGGGGCTAAAAATTTATTTAGGGATCAAAGACCAACCTTCCAAGTTTATCAATTAAAAAACCCATACAGAAAAATCCTCTTCCGTATAACTTTTAACTTCTTCCTCAACTTCCGGAGCAACTTCCATAACGTTTGGTTTAGACCTCAGCATAGACCTTTTCTTTGACAAAACAGGCAAAGCTTTTAATTTCTCTCGATCCATGCTTAAAACTGAATAGGATTTTCCAATACTCATCTTTTTGTTTGCTCCAACTGAAGATCGAGTCCAGGCCTGGCGTTTAGCCAACAAGGAGTCCTTTAAAAAATTTTTTTAGGATTGTTCACGACCAGTAAATTTTTCCCAGTGGCGGCTCAAATAGAGAAGAATAATGAAAAATTAATTTTTCAACCATAGGAAAAATGCACCAGTTGTGAACAACCTTACAAGGTTGGTACTTAAAATTGACGCTTACGGGCCCCGTTTTTCCCCCCAAGTTTCTTATATCAATGTACAGAATGGTCAGACTTTCCTTCCGTTCCAATCCCCTCTTTCTGTATTTCTCCAATAAATTAATTCTTATTCTGTTTTAGGAGGAAAAAAGGAAAGTCTTGATCATTCTGTTCGGAGAAGGGGTCAGTAAACAATAACATTACCCAATGTTTTTCTTTTTTTCTATTAAAATTTAAAAAATAAACCATAAATCCAGGCTGGTCAGCAGGTCCAATACTAAACTTTCCTCCTAAAGTTGAATCCCTTCTTGTTCCAGTAATAGATTTTAATTCAGTCAAGCGATCCTGAGCGGGAGGAGGAGGTCTTTTAGGTTCCACCAAAGTAGCCAATTTTTGATCCAGAAACATTCGGGTAAATTGACCATTAGGGCTAAATTAAATTTAAAAAGAATTTTGAAATAAAAAAATACTTTGAGAGCAATTCTTGAGGACTGCCTTGTTCAACTATTCTTCCTTCGTCCAGCACTATAATGCGATCCTACAAATTTAATTTTATTTAAAATTCTTCAAAATAGGAGCTTGTGTAGTTTACACCCCATATGCACCGCCCCTATGCTCTATTTTCTTTCACTTTATAAGAAAATGTCTATGAAAATAGACCAAAATGGTCATTTACAGGAGGAAAAGCGAAAAAAAAAGTATGAAAGAATGGGCGGGGCTTATGGGGTGTAAACTACACAAGTACCCAAAATAGGATTGTTCGACTGTTATTCTTTACCTATGGCGAAACAAATAGAAGAATAAGAGCATCTGAGCCCCCCTAGACAAAAATTAACCTATCGTGAACAACCCTGCTTCAAATTATGAAGAAATTCAACTTACAGCCTTCCTTATTGTACTCAGTCTGTGTGCGATAGTAATTGTACTAACACCTCTAATTGCTGCATCAATCGCCTTTTGAACTTCCCCTTCATGTTTTGTATCCAATGCAGAGGTAGCTTCATCAAAAATCATTAAAGAACTGCAAAAATAAAAAGTTTGGGACCAAATGTCCACTTTGGGACCAAATGTCCAATCTTACGGATTTCGAATAACAGCTCGACAAATAGCCACCCTTTGCTTCTGTCCACCACTTAGTTGAACTCCACGATCACCTACTCGAGTTCTCATTCCATCTGGGAGGGCACTGATAAATGACCAACTTTCTGCCCGTCTAGCTGCGTCGTTCACATCGCCTTGGGAAGCCCCCAAAAGTCCGTATCTAATGTTGTCTGCAATGGTTCCATCAAAGAGAACGGGTTCCTGACTATTGATTGACTGTTTAGAATGAGAAAGAGTTGAAAAAGATGGTCAGACCTGACTAGACCAATTTGAGCTCGAACGATATCTAAAAATGAAATCGTGACAACACATTTCGCCAATAACATATTTTGCCAATAAGGCTAAAAACTCTCATTTTGTCAACAAGCCTGGTGGCAAAACAAGGGTTTTTAGTCTTATTGGCAAAATATGGAATTGGTGAAATATGTGAAGAAATGTGAAGAAGTGTCAAGTTACCTGGATCCATATCTCTTAAATTAACACCATCCATACTGACACTTCCACTACAGGGATCATAAAAACGCAAAATTAATGCTGTTATTGTCGACTTTCCAGAACCGCTAGCTCCCACTATTGCTAAATGCTAAATAAATTTTTTTTGAAAATTTGAGAATTGCGGAAAGGCCGGTTCAGTGCCCTAAATCTGCCCAGTCCGTTTCATCCCCAGCAAAAAGGGAATGTTTCAGTGTGAGTTTTATTTTTACTAGTGCCCGGCGCCGGACCGGATCCGGCCGGATTTTTCCGGAGTCCGGGTCCCAAATCCGGGTTTTTTTGAAATTTCCGGATTAAAACCGGACCGGATTTATCCGGAAAAATCCGGCCGGATCCGGTCCGGCTCAAGTTGCAAATCCGGAATCCGGATCCGGGTCCGGCAAATTTTGAGCACCGGATTTGGGATTTTATACAGTTCTGGAATTTTCCCATTTTTTCTTGTATTTTTTATAAAAAATGAGGATTTTTGACTTTTGTCTATATGAAATTCAAAAAATTTTCGCCTGCGGCGCTGAAAAAGGATAATTCTTCTTTGTTGGCCTTACAAAATTGGAGACCCATTGTATATACCACAACTGGGTTTCAGTACTAGGCCGAAAATAGGGTTGGTATGGAGACTCTAAGCTTCATAACCATCTAAACTTCAAAAAAATTTTGCCTGCGGCCCTAACAATAGAATTTTTTCTCCTGAGGCCTTTTAAAATTCTCGAAATTTTCGCCTCCGTCTGTGAAAACTGGAAGAAATCTGGCTTCATACCTTCAAAAATATTCAAAATCTTCGCCTGCGGCGCAAAAAATGGAAGAAATCTGAATTAAAACCTTTAAATTCTCAACATTTTCGCATGCGGCGCATGTAAGGAATTTGGGATTAAGAGGATCCTTGGAGGAAATATCGGAGGAAATCTTTGGAGGAAATATTGCTCCTTGGACTCCAAAATGCTCAAAAATTGGCAGGTACGAGTACGAGGTAAAGAAAGGCCTGTACGAAAGTAGGAGCAAATTTCAAAATCACGAATTATTTACTTTATTTTTCAAACTTTTAACATAGAAAAATCCACAAAATATCCTTCATAGCCTCCAAACTCCTTAGATATCCCCCTAGCAACATTTTAACACTTAAACGACACACGTATTACTACATTTAGCACAAAAATTAAAAAAAAATTTTTATTGAAAAATCCGGAAAAAACCGGAGTCCGGTCCGGAATCCGGATAATTTCTGCCGGACTCCGGAAATTATTTTTGCCGGATTAAAACCGGACCGGATTTATCCGGAAAAATCCGGCCGGATCCGGTCCGGCTCAAGTTGCAAATCCGGAATCCGGATCCGGGTCCGGCAAAATCGATTTTGCCGGGCACTAATTTTTACCTCGCCAGCAGCCACTTCAAAGCTGAAAAGATGTTTTGAATTTATTTTTACAAATTGTGAATTATTTACAAACCTAAGCCCTTTGATGACCTCAACGTCCGGTCGAGAAGGATAGCTAAAGTTGGAAATTATTATAAGAAGGATTATAAATTGTAAAAAATAAAAAAACTTAAATTTGCAAAAATAAACTTGGATTGTAAAGTAAACTTGAATTAAAATAAGTTTTACAACTCGATTTGCAATTAAGTTTCTTACAATTTGTAATTCAAGTTTATTTTTTATTCAAGTTTATTTTATGATAAAAATAAACTTGATTTGTAAAAATAAACCTGAGATAAGTTTTACAATTTCTTTTACAATTAAGTTTATAATTCAGTTGTAATTAAAGTTTATTTTACAGCATAATAAACTTGAATTAAGATGAGTTTTACAGCTTGTTTTAATTACAATTTGTAATTCAAGTTTATTTTTTTATTCAAGTTTATTTTAAAGCAAAAAATAAACTTGAATTGTAAAAAGTTACCTACCTAAAATGCACATCTTTAAAACTAATCGCTCCCCTCCCAATAGTTTGATTTGTATTTTCTTTGGGTTGTAGTTTTTCAATTGGGGCCATTTTTGCAGGGACGATCCTTCTCGTTAACCTTTTCTGATTTTAATAGACATTAAAATAAATTAATTTTAGATTTATTCTCCAACCAAAAGTGTGCTCCTCTTTGTTGGTATATCTCTCTCAATCATTGGGGCTTCCTTAAGTATGGTCTGCATTTCTTTCGCACTTCGTCTTGCTGTAGAAACGCCGTTTAAATGGAATCCAATACTGACAGATTGAGCACACAAAAATAACATATTTATTGCCAACTTTAAAGAGAGAGTGTTGATTATAGGAGAAAATTTAAATTAAAATTAACTCACAGCCCCTAAACGCCCAGGATTCTCATTTCCAGACCTCCAAACTCCAAAACACAGGGCGGCAGTGAATATTAATTCTGTGAAGAGTACTTGGGCGAGTGAATTGTAAACTGAAGAGGCCCGGAGACGCTCTTCAGTAATCTTTTTGTGCTCCAAACTTAGACGTTCATATCTATTTTTAAAATTGTAAAATAAAAGTTTTACAAGTTGTAATTAACTTTCCAATGCTTTGTCGTTGGGCTCCAAAAGCAATAACAGTGCGAATACAACTTTAAATAAAACTTGACAAAGTTTGTAATTTTTTAAAAGTTTATTTTTAAATTCAAGTTTATTTTTTTATTCAAGTTTATTTTATAGGAGTAAATAAACTTAATTAAAATAAGTTTTACAACTCGTTTTACAAATTGTAAAACTTATTTTTGTAATTTAAGCTTGTTTTATAGCAATAAAATAAACATGAATTTAAAGTTTATTTTATTAACAAAGTTTAACTGTACATAAATACAATTCAAGTTTATTTTATTTATTTTTACAATTGTAATTTTTTTACAATTCAAGTTCCAAGTTTATTTTCTACAATAAATTCAAGTTTATTTTTCTTATGATTTCCCCAAGTTTATTTTTATGTTTATGAAAGTTAATAAAATTTTTATGATTTTTTACCTAAAAGTTTCGTGTACCAAATTTGTTATTTTTGTTTGCAACTGTGTTTCGGTCTCCATTGTTTTACAAAACCACTAAAAAAAGTAATAAAAAAAGGTGGTATTCAGCGAATAACTTACTCGACTAAATACAAGTCTTGTACAGATTAACAATGGAATTGCAAGTAAAATGAATGCGGTCACTTGCCAATGTATATACAAACAAACAGAAACTTAAAATATAATTAGGCTTGAGATTGAACTTGAAAAACTTACTTGTAACAGCCATATAACAAATACTATAAAATTACAATTTGAAATTAAAGTTTATATTTGTTTAGAGATTATTTTTACAATTCAAGTTTATTTATTTTTACAAATTGTAATTTCCTAATATTTATTTTTTTACAATTCAAGTTTATTTGTAATTATTTTTACAATTTGTAATTAAGTTTATTTTACATTTGTAATTCAAGTTTATTTATTTAGACTAGTTTCAAGTTTATTTTTCTGTTTTACAATTTGTAGTTTCCTAATATTTTATTTTTACAAATTCAAGTTTTATTATTTTTACAAATTGTAATTATTAAAAAATTCAAGTTTATTATTTTTACAATTCCATATTCAAGTTCTCATTTTATAATTGTAAACTTACATAAAAAAGCACATAGGTAAATGGTCAGCCATCCCTTGATAAATACAATCAGCCTGGCTAAAATAAAGTTTATTTTTAGAAGGTTTATTTATTTATTTACTCATTGAGAACAGAGGCAACTTGTCCAGAATGTCTAGATTCAAGCCAGGCAATATCCATATGCAAAAGTTTGCGAATATATGCTTTTTTGGCTCTAAAGACTTGGCGGATTGCAGAGATTTCCCACACTAGTCTCTAAATATTTCTTGTAGATTTTCAAGTCTTCCCTCAAATTTCCTCTTAAGTTTCCTTCATTTACCTGTATAAACGCAGCACAAAATGTAGCAACAGACAATGTAAGCATTGCATAAAAAACAGGTGTGGCGGAATCCTGGAAGCGCTTATCAATTTCTTTTTGACGCTTCCCCCACAATGCAATGTTTGATTCGTTCGGGGAGAGCCCCAAGTCTGAAAGCCTTAAAAGCTCTGAGGAACGATTTAAACGAAATTCTTCTCTTCGGATAGCTAAATAAATTAGAGGATTAAAATAATTAATTAATTAAACTTGCCATAAGTCATAAAATTTCCCATGAAAAACCATAGGAATGGAGGGAGAATAGCTTGGACAAGCGCCATCAACAACCCCAAGGCTATAAGCTAAAATAAACTTGTTTTATAACAATTTTGTAATTAATAGAAGAAATGTTTGAATTCAAGTTTAATTTAATTATAATTCAAGTTTATAAACTTTCTTTCAAGTTTAATTTTATATTTCAAGTTTATTTAACGTTAATTCAAGTTTAATTTAATAATTAAAGTTTATTTTATATAATTCAAGTTTATAAACTCTTTTTAAGTTTATTTTTATTTTCCAAGTTTATTTTCATTATAATTCAAGTTTTAAAGTTTACAAAATTGTAATTAAAGTTTTATTTAATAATTCAAGTTTGCAAATTTTCTTCAAGTTTATTTTAATTAAGTTACCAACCTGATAGTCGACAGGATCTGCAAGACGGTAAATATCAAGTAAGGAAGCAGATTCTGCTTCAGTTTCATTTTCTTTCTGTTTTTTAATTTCTTTGAATTTTTCTGACTTTCCCATAACAAGACTTTTAAATATTTTTTGTAGTTTAGTTTAAATAAGTGTCAAAATTTCACAGTTTATTTTCAATAATTTCTTCCTTTTATTAAAAAATTTTAAAAAAATTTAAAATTTAGAAAATCTAAAATTTATTTAATAAATTCTTTTATGAATCAATTAGTAAGTGAAAAATATAAGTAAATTTAGTAGATGATTGAAAATGACCAAAAAGAGGGGAGAGAGTTGCGCCCCACACAGAGGGGAAAAATAAAAGAAAATAATAGGTAGTAGAGATTTACAAACTTGAAAAAAAATTAAATTAAATTATATAATTAAATCACATGAAAATCGTGTTTGAATAAAAAAAATTGCGGCGCGGTTTAATGTAAAAATATGTGAATTGTTTTGTGAACAATAAAAAATGTTTGGAAGAAAAAAAGTTTTTGACTAAATAAATAAATGAATGATGGCCTTGATAGGTAAAAATGATCTGTGCGCGAAACTGATATTATTAGAGTTTATTGGGAGCGTTTATGATTAGACAAAAGACAATCAATGAGTGAAGAGATGGGTAGATTGTTTGACTGTTAGTTAATGTTATTAATTAATTGCAAGTTTATTTTTGTAATAATTGTAATTCAGGTTTATTTAACTTTTTCAAGTTTGTAATTTAGTGTTTTTAATTTAAATTACAATTTGTAAAAATAAACTTGAATTTATTTTTTTAAATAAACTTAAATTACAAATTGTAAAATTCAGGTTTATTTATTTTCAGGTTTGTATTTTCGTCAAGTTTGTATTTTTTTCAAGTTTATTTATTTTGTATTTTCTTTTTGTGTTTTTTGTGTTTTTAATTACAATTTGTAAAAATAAACTTGAAATGTATTTTATAAAATAAACTTAAATTACAAATTGTAAAATTCAAGTTTATTTATTTTTTAAGTTTGTGTTTTGCATTTGTGTTTTCTGTTTAATTTGTAATATTTTTCCTTTTGTTTTACAATTTGTAATTCAAGTTTATTTTTATAATGCATTAAATTACAAATTGTAATTTAAGTTGATTATATTTGTTTAAAATTGTGAGCTTAATAAAGTTTATTTTTACAAATTGTAAAACAAGTTTATTTTAATTGTAATTCATCTTGTAATTTAAAAATAAGTTGTAAAAAGTGAATCAAACTGTGGCAGGTTGAGAGTTAATGACTGAATGGTGGACAGTCGATAAATCAAAAATTTTATTGTTTAAATTAAAGACGCGTCTGGTTAGGGGAAAATGCGTCGTGTTGGGAGAAGGAAAGGAACGCGCGGAATGTTGTTTTCTCCCACCCACACCCAAAAATGGCCATATGTTAAACAGGTTTAAAATAATGATTGGTTTATGATGATTGGGAGGTCATGAAAATGAAATTTTCTGATTTGTAAAATAAATTCTGATTTTTTAAAAATTAATTTTGGTAAATATAATTATGGCTTTTAAAGTTGTCTGATTTTTACAATTTAATTATTAAATAAAATAATTTTTACAAATTGTAATTTAAGTTTATTTTTCCAAGTCTACTTTTACAAATTGTAATTACATAAATTACATATCTCCAAGTAAATCAAGTTTATTTTATATTTTGTAATTCAATTTGTAAATTGTAACAGGCGTTAGCAGGCTAATTTTTCACAAATTGATAACTTTTTAACTCCATTACAAATTGTAATTCAAGTTTATTTTTTTTACAAATTGTAATTTTTACTAATTCTGATTTACAAATTGTAAATTAATAATATCCAAGTTTTTAAATTTTTTTCTCACCATTTTCACTTTTGTTTACTCTTCTTCTAATCCTCCCCCTATTTTCTTCATAACTGAGGGCAAGTGTTTTGTTTTATATTTTACAACAGAAGAAGCTTCTCTCGGTTTTTACCCTCAGTTATTTCCCTCTCCCTTCCCTCATCTGCTCTGACAATGAAAAGCAATTTTTCATTTTTGGCGCGGGGTGAATTGTCAATCTGAAAGGAGAAGGATTGAATTTATTGGAGAATTACCCTAAAATTAGAAACAAAATAAATTCAAAAATGGCTGACGTAAATGGTCAAATTTTAAGGGTATTTAAATTTTTTAAATTCAAGAGGTTAAGTTCAGCTTGAATAAATTTCAGAATAAAATTCTGATTCTAAATTTTATTTTATGGTTCTGTTCTGATTTTAATTCTGATTTTAAAATTCTGATTTTTTTCTGATTTATTTTGCTTCGACTTTAGTTCTGATTTTATTCTGATTTTAAATTTAATTTTATGATTCTGTTCTGATTTTAAAATTCTGAATTTGTTCTAATTTTTCTATTTCGAACTTTGTTCTGATTTTATTCTGATTTTTAATTTAAAATTTACCCAGCGATGTTTCGGGTAAAAACCCCTATAAGACTCTTTCATTTAAAAAAAAGTAAAAGGCGTGTGAAGACTTTTTAAGGATTAAAAACATCGAAAGGCGCCAAACGGGGAGGAAGACAACAAGAAGTGAAAGAAGACAAATGGCCGAATTTTTGGAGGAATTTTTGGGGGGATTTTTGGTTGTTTTGAGGCGACAGCCGGTAGCTGGGTATTTACTTTATTTCTCACTCCCCCAGCCAGCATCTTTTTTTAAATAATTCTTCACTTTAAAAACAAAAAAAGGCTAAATGAAAGTTCAAAAATGACCAACAATATAGTACAAAAATTATTCTAATTTTAAATATTTTATTCTGATTTTAAGTTGTTGTTCTGATTTTAAAATTCTGATTTTATTCTGATTTTAAGCTCCATTTTGTGTTTCTTTTCTGGTTTTAAATTCTGATTTGTGCTGATCTAAAAATTCTGATTCTGTTCTGATTTTTAATTCTTTTTATTTTGATTTCGAAATTCTGGTTTTATTCTGATTTTAAGTTCCATTTTATAATTCTGTTCTGATTTGAATTTTCTTATTTTATTCTGATTTTTCTGATTAAAATTTTATTCTGATTTTAAAATTCTGATTTTATTCAGATTCTGTTCTGATTTTCTGTTTACTAATTTTATTCTGATTTAAAAATTCCATTTTAAGTTCCACTTTCCTCCTAGCAACTTTTTACTAAATATACTCCCCGCCTTCTCATAATTCTCAATTCATTAATTTAAAAAATTCTCAGAAAATAAGTGCGCGAGTTAAGAAGATTAATAAATCATTAAATGTCGTCCCATATTTAAAAGAATTTTTGACCTTTGACCAAATGCCATTCATATATTAATTTACATATTTTATTAATTTGCATTCAGTTTTTCTTTTTACTAATTCAGTTCTGATTTTTAAATTTTGGTTTTGTTCTAGTTTTTAATTTGGTGTTTTAGTTCTAGTTCTGGTTCTAAATTTCTGATTCTAGTTCTGGTTCTAAATTTCTGATTTTTAATTCTGATTTTCAATTTTCTGATTTTTAATTCTGATTTTATTCTGATTCTTAGTTCTGGTTTTGTTCTGATTTTTATTTTTTGATTTGTTCTGTTTCTAAATTTCTGATTTTATTCTGATTCTTAGTTCTGGTTTTAAATTCTGGTTTTGCTCTGTTCTGGTTTTTAATTTCTGATTTTGTTCCGTTCTGGTCTTTAATTTCTAATTTTGTTCTGATTTTAAAATTCTGATTTTATATTCTGATTTAAAAATTCTGTTTTATTTTCTGATTTTATTCTGGTTTTTTAATTGATTATTAATTAATTAATTTACGCTTATTATTAGTCTATTTAATGCCCTACTTAAATTTTTATAAAGACAAATGACCAATTTTATGGTTGTTTTCTCACGGCGATTTAAAAGCGATAATCAAACAAACACAAAAAATTGCTGCGGCTGCCATTTTTAATTTTTTTTTTTAATTTTCAATTTTATTACCACCCCAAAAGTGATTAAATAAATAAATTGTCGGGAGAGCACAAAAAAAGTAAATTAATTGAAGGCGAAGCAATTTACTCCCCCTTTAAACACATCGATTAACTCTTTATTAACTAAAACAACTTGCAAGCAGTTTAAGCAAGTAATCGCCTCCTTCTCTCACTTCTTTATGGTCAACCCTAAATTCTCTTTAAAATAGATCAACGCTGATTGGGTGGAAATCAGAAACTTTTTTAAAAATCAGAACAAAAATTGGAGGTGATTCGCAGCGTGTGTTACTGGTGTTGTTCTGATTTTTGTTTCTGGTTTTATTTTCTGATTCTGATTTTTAATTCTGATTTTTGTTTCTGGTTTTATTTTCTGATTTTCAGTTCTGATTTTTAATTCTGATTTTTGTTTCTGAATTTTGTTCTGATCTTTAATTCTGATTTTGTTCTGAATTTCGTTCTGATTTTGTTTGATTTTTAATTCTGAAGTTCTGATTTTTAGTTGTGATTTTTAATTCTGATTTTTTGTTTTGCTTTTTAATTTTGATTCTGTTCTGATTTTTAATTCTGATTTTTATTTCTGATTTTGTTCTGATTCTTAATTATGATTTTTTCTAATTTTTAATTCTGATTTTATTCTGATTTTTAGCTCTGATTTTATTTCTACTCTACTCTGGTTTTGTTCCGATCATGTGCTGATACTATTCTGATTTTTATGTCTGATTTAATTCTGATTTTTCGATATTCTGGGCAAATTTCTTCTCACCCCTTTTCTTCATTTACCCGTTACGTACATATCAGCACATCCATCTGTCCTCCTCATAATATTTAATGGTTTTTAGCCCCCCTTTTTCTTCTTGTTTTTCGTCTTGTTAAATAATAAAATGATCTTCTAACAAATCATATCCAAAAATTATTTTTTAAAAATTAATTGGCTATTAATTATGTATGTTTGTTTGCTCAATGATCAAATATCAGTTCATGTTAGAAGACTAATGTCTTTTCTCTCTTTATTTATTTTTCTGTTTACGAATTCTGTTCTGCTGTTCTGATTGTATTCTGATTTTAGAATTTGATTTTGCTCTGATTTTAAATTTCTGATTTTATTCTGGTTCTGATTTTATTCTGATTTTTCTTTGATGTTTAATTTCTGATTCTGTTCTGATTTTAAAATTCTGGGATATAGTGTAGTGTACCGGTGGTAAAAGTTCGGGACGTGACATATATCATTCGATTTGTCTCGACGAGCTGAGTCGAATGGTACCACTCCCTATTTTAGGAAATAATTCTGGACCGAGTTATAGGTCCCGAAAATTGAAAAACCATAGGGGGGAGTAAGGTCAATTTTGGGGTGAAAAATTCGAATATGCAAATAATAGCTCATTCGAAAGAGCTCTTCGAGCTGAGTCGAATGACACCAAAATCAACAAAATCTGACTTGATTGGACCGAGATATAGGCCCCTAAATATCGAAGATCCAAAGGGGCGATTTTTGGAATAAAAAATTTTTTTTACAAATAATACCTCATTCGAAAGAGCTCGACGAGTTGAGTCGAATGACACCAAAATCACCGTGATTGAACAAGATTAGACAAAATTACGACACAAAAAACAAGCAACATAAACCTATGGAGAGTCGGCGAGGCGCTTGTGCAAACCCCCGCGCTTCGCGCGGGGGTTTGCGGCACGCGCCTCGCGGGGAGTCTACGGGCGGTGGGTCTGGGCTCGTAACATAAACCTATTCCTATCTCCCTTGCTCTGGGCATACCTGGAGCCTCCGTAGCAGCAAAACCCTCCATGGAACCATAGGTAAGGAGCTAAAACAAACGATCATAACTTTGTCAAATCAAGTCGGATTTTGTTGATTTTGGTGTCATTCGACTCAGCTCGAGGAGCTCTTTCGAATGAGCTATTATTTGCATATTCGAATTTTTCACCCCAAAATTGACCTTACTCCCCCCTATGGTTTTTCAATTTTCCGAGACCTATAACTCGGTCCAGAATTATTTCCTAAAATAGGGAGTGGTACCGTTCGACTCAGCTCGTCGAGACGAATCGAATGACATATATCACGTCTCGAACTTTTACCACCGGTACACTACACTACAGCCAAATTCTGATTTTGCTCTGATTTTATTATCCTATTTTTGTTCTGATTTTTAATTTTTAATTTCTGATCTTGTTCTGACTTTTAATTTCTGATTTTTACCCTTACTTTTTCCCCTTTAAAATTCAATTTTTTAGCCTTATGCCTTTCTTCCTCTATTTGTTCTCTTATAACTAAAATTTAATGGAAAATCATCACTATTATTATAACAATAACCACCAACAATTATGGCAACATCCTCAAGCAGTACACCACCAACAATTATATGACCCCTCATTTGAGGAAGGACATTTTGCCTCTTTGACTACTTCTTTCCCTTCCTCTCACAATTATTATTATTCTTCCCTTCCTGGCTGCAGCACCCCAATTGCTCCTATGGCCTCCCCTGAAAGAATGGACGCTGTAATTCATCACCCTCCTCCGCCTATTCTTCCTCCTCCTCATCCCCACCAACATTTGACTCAATCTAAAAATAATGCTTTTACTCTTCCATTAATGGACGAGGAACGACAAAAAGAAAGCAGTTTTTTATCGAATTTTCAGTAAGAAATTTTTTTATTGATTTTAAAAAATTTTCAGAATTTTCTGATTTTTCAGAATTTTTTTCAAAAATCAGAATTTTTTTTGATTTCTGATTAAAAAAATTTTTCAGAATTTTTCTGATTTCCTCTGAATTTTTTTTCAAAAATCAGAATTTTCTGATTTCTGATTAAAAAAATTTCAGAATTTTTTATAAATCAGAATCTTTCTGGTTTCTGATTTTTTTGGATTTTTTCAAAAATCAGAATTTTTCTGATTTCTGATTTTTAAAAATTTTCCCCCCTAGACCTCCTTCACACTCACACAACATTCCATCAATGACTGATACAACAATGGAAAACATTCCATGGTCACCTAATTATTATTCTCCCGATCCTCATGCTTTTCATCCTCATCCAATGCCTCCAGAATCTATTCCACCACCTCGCCATTCCTCCTTTTCTGCTTTAAATGACTTTCAAAAAAGGGGGGAAACACCTAAAAACAACAACAACAACTTTATTGCTTCAACTTCCCAACAACAACCCCAAACACCCCTTCAATATTCACAACAAACAGACCAACAACAAAGACTTAGAGAACAACGTAGAGCAATGTATTCTCAAAATAAAGTTCAATATTGGCAACAATTTAGCCAAATGTCGATTCAAGACAGTGGGGTCCATTCTATGAGTCATTCTACGGTTAGGTTGATTAATCAGTCAAAAATAATTGTTTCTATTAGGCACCCTCAGTCATGTCTTCTATTCATCCAGCCTCGTGTATGTCTAATGTCTCTTCTCTGCCGGATGATTTTTCCGGGTTGAAAGAACATCCATACTTTCAGGCAAGTTTTGTTTTTCTCTGGTACAATTATTTTTCCGGAAACATTATTTATTTTCCGGAAAAGAAAGAACTATAATACATTTTTCCGGAATCTACATATTTTCCGGAAATATGTACAACAATATACCTTTTCCGGATAATCGTCTATTTCTGAAATTTCCGGAAACTATTTTCTGTAATACACTTATTTTTTTCCGGAAAGTTAAAAATACATTTATTTTTCCGGAAAAGAAATATATTTTCCGGAAATCTTTTTATACCCTATTTTCCGGAAATATTTGTCTTCCGGAATATTGCTTCTCTAAATATGATAGTATAGTATATTTACTTTTCCGGAAGATCGTCTATTTTCCGGAAACTTATATTCTTTAATTATTTTTCTCTGTTTCAGCATATCCCTAACACTTTTAATCACGAAGAGCCAGAAAAAATGCGCCAGGTTTTACCTGAATTAATACCACTCATCAATGACGAGTCTGTGGACATTGTTAAACGTGCACTCGTAAATATTTAATTATTGACAAAATAAATAATTTAAAAAAATAAAATTTTGTAGACAATACTTATAAGTGTTGCTAAAAAGGACAAAGAATTTTGTACATTACGTTCTCAATTAGATACTAGACCTTTAATTGTCGAGAAGAGGGTAGTGGAGGAATTGTTGAGAACTTTGCGTACCCACAAAAAGGATAAGGCAATTAAATTTATTTTATAAAATAAATAAATTTTAATTTAAGCAAGTTACCCTTTATGTCCTCAAAGCTTTATATTTTATTTCTGATAATGATCCTAGTGGGCGTGACTTATTTGTTAAAACATTAAATGCCCATGGAACTGATTGCCTTGAGGAATTGGTTCATTGCATTGGGTAGGTTTATTTTAAATTCAAGTTTATTTAATTAATTCAAGTTTAAATTTTTGTGTTTTTTCAAGTTTTATTTTAAGTTTATTTTTGTATTTTTTTGTGTTTTAGTTTTATATTTATTTTCAAGTTTGTATTTTTGACTGTTTCCCTCAAGTTTATTTTTTGTGTTTTTAAGTTTAGTTTTAAGTTTACCTGTGTTTTTAAGTTTTGTATTTTTGTTGTCTAAAATGTATTTTTGTATTCTACAAGTTTAAGTTTTTCTGTGTTTTTAAGTTTGTGTTTTTCAAACTTATTATTGTATTTTTTAAGTTTATCTAAGTTTGTATTTATTTTAAATTTGTATTTTTATGTATTTGTCTAAGTTTATTTTTTGTATTTTTTCAAGTTTATTTTTGTATTTTTAATTTTACCTACTTAATTCAAGTTTATTTATTTTTAGCATCCAAGACCCTTCTTGCTATAAATTTGCCTTTCTTCTCCTACACAATTTAATGACTGATATTCGGATTGGCCGGAAAGTTATTGCTTACATGTGTGAAATGAGAATATTAACAAAAGTTTTGAGTTGGTTATCTGACAAAAATGAGAAATTTTTAAGTATTGTGACTGACATAATTTACATGCTTTTAAATAAAAATACTGAACAAATGGTGAGGAATTTTGTATTTTTTTGGAATTACAAAATTGACCTAAAACTAAATTAAAATTAAAAATTCAAACTTAAATAAAATATAAACTTAAAATACAAACAAACTTAGGCGTGAAAAAATACAAAAAATAAACACAAAAAATTCAAAAACACAAACATAAAAATAAATACAAACTTGAAAAAATACAAATAAATAAACTTGAAATACATTAATCAAAAACACACTTAAAAACACAAATAAACTTGAACTTGGAAAAAATACAAAAATCAACTTGGAAAAATACAAATAAATAAACTTGAACAATTAAACCAAAAACACAAACTTAAAAACACAAAAATAAACTAAAAACTTGAAAAAATACAATAAAATAAACTTGAAATAATTATTTAATTTTTTCAGGCTTTCTTTATTGGTTTAAACGGACATGAGAAACTTGTTAATATTCTTGCTAATTCCCATCAAGAAAATTTACTTTATAGAGCAGTCAAATTACTTAATAGAGTTGTACAAATAGTAATTCCTTCCTTAATTTTCTTTAAAATTTTCAAAAAAATTTTTAAAGGATCCAAACAAAATAGTTTCCGCAGGCTTATTGGAAGCAGCACAAAAACACTTGGATCATGCCAGTCAAAGAATGTTAAGACAACTTTTGGATTGCATCAAGTTTGTCAGTCATGTTCCTTCTGGAGACCGTGATATCCATTTATTATTACAAAAATTGCTTCAATTGCTTGGTAGGAGAAATTTCCTAGATTCTAATACCCCCCAAAAATCCCCATTTTCAGGCACAAATGACATGAAAGTTAAAGAATGCTGTACAGACATTTTAGCAAATTTATCAGCTAACAATACTAACAATAAAGAATTTGTGGTTGATAAAGGGGCAGTTTTTGGCCTATTCCAACTTTTACAAGAAATGGAAGCGTTAAACGAAGCTTTGGGGCAAAATACCCAAAGACAAAATATTCAAGAAACGGCTCTCTCACTTTTACGTTCTCTCTCTTCCGGAAATGTCTGTTCCGGAAAAGCAAAACAACAAATAATTAAAAAAGAAATACATAAGAAAATACTGTTGGAAAGGATGAGGAATAAGCAGAGAAATTGGCCTTTACTTAAAAAGACATTTGCGGTGAGTTAGCAGAAAAATACAAGCTTTTCCGGAATAATATATAAATTATTTTCCGGAAATATTTATATTCGAGGAATACAAATAATTTCCGGAATGCAGGTGTTTTTAGAAAATATTTACATAAATAAACTTTTTCCGGATTATTGTATTTGCCGATTTTATAAAAAGTAAAACACAAACTTTTCCGGAAAATACATATCAAAAATACAATTATTCTTTCGGAAATATTTCTGGAAAAATACAACCTTTTTATGGATTATTGTATTTTCTGGATTCATGTTTATTTTATAACACGAAAAACACAAACATTTCCGGAAAATAAATAGAAAAACACAAACCTTTCCGGAAAATAAATAGAAAAACACAAACATTTCCGGAAAATAAATAGAAAAACACAAACCTTTCCGGAAAATAAATAGAAAAACACAAACCTTTCCGGAAAATAAATACAAAACACAAACCTTTCCGGAAAATAAATAGAAAAACACAAACCTTTCCGGAAAATAAATACAAAACACAAACCTTTCCGGAAAATATATTATCACAAATACGAAATAATTTTTTTTGGAAAACACAACCCATTAGTATATTAAATCTTATTTAACAGTTACTCCAATATATTGCTCAAGAAGAAAGTCTATTAAAAGAATTCCGTTTTGCAATGTCTTTTCCTCCAAATTTTCCTCAATTACCTGATGCTCCACTTTTATTAAAACCTGAATATTGTTCTTTTGTTAGTCAAATAGTGGTTATATTAACTGAGGGGTTAAATTCGCTTCCACAAAGTTGGGAATTGTGTCAAAAATGTTTGGATTTGCTTGGATTATTGGCTGGTGATGAAGGATTGTTAGGGGAGATTTTCTCAGAATTATCTGCCCGTTGGATTCGTCTTTCAGAATTTCAACCTAAACTACTTGCTCCTCAAGTTATTCTTCGATTCTTTGAACAACTCGCTCCGCCAGCTTTGGCTTTACTTGCCCAAATTGCACGTATTCCGGAAGCTGCTATATTTATTGGGAAGGATAGACCAACATTAGATACTTTGAGGAAATGGTCAATTAATAACAACGATGTAAACTCGGCTCGTTTTGCTGACTGTGTGTTACAGTTGGTTGATTCTGCTAATGGAAAACAACAACAAAATGCTTCCGGAAAGAGAGTACAATCTAGTGGAGAGGAGAGTTGGAAGCAACAACAGGGCCAACAGCAGCAATCTCATCCAGTTAACGACAAAAAATCTTTTCCAGATACAGAAATGGATTTTTCTATGGGTTAATTTATACTAATTTTGTATCTAATTGTTTAAACTATTTTTAGCACCTACTTCATCAACCACACTTTTACCTTGCTCCCCCAGCAATTTTCTTCTCCAACCAGACCATTCTAATGATATACTAAAGGTGTTCTATAAAAATTTTTAAAAAATAATTTTAATTATATAACCGGAAAAGATCTTTCCGGAAACGTTTTATAAAATTATTTTCCGGAATGTTTATATTCTCATGCAACTTTCTTCGGTACATATCCGGAAAACACAAAACTTTTCCGGTAAATTATTTATAAAACACAATTCTTTTCCGGAAACACTTTAAATTATTTTTCTTGAGTGTTTATATTTTTTCCGGAATATTAAATAATTTCCGGAAATAAAATTTATTTTAATTTCAGCAACAACAACAGCCTCCAACCGACTGTTTAGCCTCAACTTTATCTTCATTCGATTCTGACGATGTCAATAATCTTTCTGATTTTGGTACTTTAGTAGGTACTTTTTGCCCTAGTTCTTCACCAGTCTGGGGGGATATTGATTTTGGATAAATAATTTTTGAATTAATTATTGTAAAAAAATTAATTTTTTATTGCTCATTTTTAAATAATTTTTAAAAAATAATTCTGATAAAATTTTTAATTAAATTTTTTTGATTTTTTATCGTTATGTCGTTGATATATTTATTTACATTTTTTCTCATTTGTTTAATATCCAGATTCTGTTTTTGGTATCGAACAATGATCTATATTTTAAGTGAGATTTATATATAATTCTGATCTCGGATTTAAACCAGAATTCTGATTTTTCAGAATTATGATTTCTGATTTTTCAGATTCGAATCAGAATTCTGATTTTTTTCTGGTTAGGATTTAAATCAGAATTCTTCTTTTCTGATTTAAACTAGAATTCTGTTTCTTCATTTCCAGAATTCTGAAAAAATAAACTAAGCAGAATTCTGGTTAAATCAGAATTCTGATCAGTTAGTTTTTGAAATTCAGAATTCTGATTTTTTCTGATTTTCTGATTTAAATCAGGATTCTGATTTTTCATTTTATTCCAAAATTCTGATTCAGTCTTTAAAATCAGAATTTCATCAAAACATTTAAGTATTACCACAACTAGCGTCCAATCCGGGCACTCCATCGGACCCATCCTCTCCTATCTGTCCAGGTTGACCTTTGGGTCCTTTCTGTCCAATTTCTCCAATTTCACCTTTTATTAGGGGATATTTTAATTTATTTTTAAATTCAATTTACCAGGTTCTCCTCTAACTCCAGGATTTCCAAAACTTCCAGGCGGGCCAGGACGTCCTTTAAGTCCTGGAGGGCCGGGAAGACCTGGTTCCCCTGGAGGACCATTTATTACTTGAATCTAAAAAAGAAATGATTTTTTGGATTTCTAACGGTAAAAAAATTTTTTTAATTTAATTTTACACGCAAAAATACAAAAAACCTGCCTTTTTATGTCATTTCTCAATAATTTTTTCAATATTTTTTTTATTTTTAGCCCTATTTTTGTATTTATTTTCCCACACCTTTCTCTTTCGTTTTCCACTATATTTATTTAATTATCTACGTTATTAAGGGAGAATAAACCGGCACCAAGTCATATGAAAAAATTATTTTAAAAATTAGTTTACATAAGATAATATAATTTTAAGTATAGGTAAGGAATTTTATTCATTGCGTGCATTTCTTTTTTATTTTTTTAATATTGAAATTTTAATTTTTTACCTGTCTGAACTCAATTTTATTTTTATATTTCTCTCTCTATTTTTATTTATTTCCGGAGAGTTCTACATATTTAATTTTATAAAGTTTCCGGAAAAAGTTTATTCCGGAAAAAGTTTATTTATTCCGGAAATAGTTTATTTAATTATTTCCCTTACCTTATATTTTCCGGAAATTATTTCCAGAAAGTTATATTGTGTTTTTCCGGAAAAAGTTTCTTGTATTTTCCTTGTATTTCCCTTCCTTTATTTTGTATTTTCCGGAACTGTATTTATATTTTATTTTCCGGAAAGTTTTGCTTATTTTTAAAGTTTCCGGAATGTTGTATTTTCTTTCCGGAAAATACAGTCTCTCCTATTTTGTTTTTATGTATTTCTCTCTTCCTTACTCTGTCACACCCTTCTTTATTAGAGTGTAAAAACAACTTACATTTCCCGGAGTTCCTCTAAGACCTGCCTGTCCTGGTATTCCTGGGAGGCCTAAAATATTAAAAAAAATTTTCTCCAAAATTTAGTTTAATTACCTGCATTTCCTCTCTCCCCTATTTTTCCAGGCAAACCGCGCATTCCGGCTCTTCCGTTCTTTCCAGGTATTCCTCTCCTTCCTGGAACACCTTTAGGGCCGGGATCTCCGCTTGGACCAGGAGAGGAGGGTGTGCATATAAAACACCTATTTTTATTCTTTAAAAGTCATCTCAATAAATTATCCAAACCAGTCTATTTGGAAAGGAACTGGAGGCGGGGATGGCATTCCTGGAGTGCCGGCTTGTCCTTGCTTTCCATCAATACCTTTAAAAGTATTTAAAAATAGGATTAAAAATACACCACAACATTAAAAAATTCTTTAATTCTCTTTAATTCCTTCCCTTAAAAACATTTGCTAACTCTTCTTTCCGCCATAAAATCAATTTTGTATTTTTTATGTATTTTATTGTATTTTCCGGAAATATTTAATATGTATTTTACTCTTTCCGAATGTGTTACTTTCCGGACAGGTTTTAAGTGTATTCAATTATCTTCCGGAAAAGTAATTTTATTATTTATTTTCCGGAATGCTTAGAATATTTCCGGAAAGAATATTTTATTTTATTATTTTTCGGAAAAGTTTTGTGTTTTTCCGGAATTTTTGTATTTTCTATTTTATTAATTTGTGTTTTCTTTAATTCTTCAAAAATTCTCTTACCGTCTTCCCCCGGTTCTCCAGGTAATCCCATGCTTCCAACTTGCCCCCTCCCACAACTGCAACATTGACCAGATTCTTGACTCCTTTTAACCCTGTTAGAACTATATTGCAATTGTTCTTCATATTTTAGTTCTTGGGATAACAAATTTATTCTATTTTGACAAAAATTGCTGTGATCCTGTTTTCGGAAAAATAATTTTAATTTATTAATGTTTTTGTATTTTCCGGAAGAGATTTGTCTATTTTTATATTTCCGGAAAGTTAATTTTATAAAGTTTCCGGAAAGTTATACTTTCTTTTTTCGGAAAAAGTTTATTTTTTAATTTCCCTTCCTTTATTTTGTATTTTCCGGAACTGTATTTATTTTTTATTTCCGGAAAGTTGTTTATTTTTAGAGTTTCCGGAAAGTTGTATTTTCTTTCCGGAAGTTATATTTTAAGTAAAATACAACTTTTGCTTCCGATTGCGTTGATTGCACTTTTAAAAATAAAAAGGGTATAGCGAGAACAACACTTGCTAGCGACACTGTACTTAAAGCAATAGTTGTAATAGCCAACTATAAAAATTAAAAAATATTTTCAAAAATATTTTTAAAAACCTACAAAACGTATTTTCGATGCTTCTTTAATAAGTTGCTCGCGATATAATTTTTGTTGGTGAATTTCTGCCATAATTTTTAGCTTTTATCTCCCCCACAAAAGCAGCAATCGACTGATAAATGAAATCTTTTATTGTTAAAGACCAAAGCAATTGTGCATTAACTGGCCATTAAAAAATCTGGTTTTGTGGTAGACATGATTTAATTGTTAGGTGATTTACCGGGCGTTTATAGAAAGAAATTAAGAGGTCGTTTTTTAGTTTTGAAAGGGTGTTAGGGTGTCTGTTGTGGTAAGAGAATGTTACATACTTTCCGGAAACAATATTATTTTTCTTCTCTAAATTATAAATTGATATGTATAAGTGCTTTTCCGGAAAATTTTTTCTCTACATTAGTACATTCCGGAAACAATATAATATAATTTTCTTTAACATAAAACTTTTCCGGAAATATACTTTCTTTACATTAAGGTAATACTTTTCCGGAAACAATACATTTTTCTAACTCCAAATAAATTTCCGGAAATAATATAATTTCCGGAAACAATATATATAATTCCGGCAAATAATATAAAAATAATTTTTTAATTAATAAAACCTTTCCGGAAACAATAAATACCAACTTTCCGGAAGCAATATATTTAATAATTTATTTTTAACCTATAAATTAAAACTTTCCGGAAAATATATTAATACACTTAAAATTATTTTTTTTTATTTTCCAAGTTTAAGCTTAAAAATAATTGGAGATTATTTAAAATAATCCCTTGTTTATTCAAGCATTAATCCTCCGCGCATCTCTTTTCGTTAATTAAAAATACAAATTAAAAGTCTTTTGCCAAATTATACCCTTGAGAATTGCCAAATCGATTTTACAAACTCTCCCCCTTGTTAATTCCCTTTCCCATAAAAATTATTTTTTTCTGCATCGACAAGTACGCATTGACACGACGAACACGAAAGAAAGGCACTCTCTCCCCCAATAATTCAGTCATCCATATTTTTAATATTTTTGTCACACCATCATGATCTCGACCATAACCACCACAAAAAAACTTTTTTCTCATTTCTTAATTTCATTTTGCTCTTTACAGGTATTTAATCAATTTTTTGTTTTTTTTTCTTGGTCACGCGTTTTAAATAAACAACAACAACAATTAATTTAATTAGAGAAAAAGAGTAAAATAGAAACTATATAAGATTTCCGGGAACTATACCGGAACGATTAATAAATTTTTAATTGATAGTTATAAACTTTCCGGAAATTATATAAAAATTAAAAAACATTTCCGGAAATGATAGAGGGGAAAATAAAATACAAACTATATCAGATTTCCGGAAGCGATATACTAAAACACTTTTAACCTATAAATACAAACTTTCCGGAAATGATATATGTATAAAAATAAAACACAGACTATTAACTTTCCGGAAAAATACAAACTTTCCGGAAACGATATATTTATAATTAACACACATACTCTAATGTATTTATTTGTGTTTTTTGTGTTTTTTCATTTCCGAAAACTGCCCTTGCAGAATAAAATAAATGTGTTTTACTTTAATTACTTTCCAAAATACTTTTTTGTATTTTTTTGTATTTTTTAGCAATTTAATAAATAACAAATTACAATTGAATTTCGGTACATTTAACCCCACGCGTTTCCCACTCATCCATTCATTATTTTATTTTTACATGAATTCTTTCCTCTCAAAAAAAATTTTTTCTTATCACCCAAAAATTATTTTTAAATTGGCAGTTTATTTATTTTTTAATTTTAATTCTCGCGTGACTATTCACAAAACAATGTAATTTTTCTGAAAAAGGATTTAAAAATTTGTTTATTACAGACATTATATACTTGCTATATATTCAATTTTAAAATGTAAAAAAAATAAGTTGAGAGTGTTAAATATTCTTAAAAACTTCAAAGAGGAGACGCCGATAAATGTTAAAGAGTATTAAAACGGACGCCCTATTATTTTTGGTATAGTCCTAAATATCAACATTATAAAAATAAACACGGGAAAAAACAAAGTTGTATTTTCCGGAAAGTTTAGAGTTATTTTTAAGGCGTATAAATGAATATATACTTTTCCGGAAAAATCAGAATTAATTATGTGTTTTCCGGAAAATATTTAAAATAAACTTTCCGGAAAGAATGTATTTTTCTTCCGGAAGGGATGTATTTTTCTTCGTGTATTTTCCTTGTATTTTTCTACATTTGTATTTTCCGGAAATACTTGAAATAAAATTTCCGGAAAGAATATAATTCTTGTATTTTTCTTTTTGTATTTTTTACATTTGTATTTTCCGGAAAATTTAAATTAATATATTCAAGTATTTTCTCGGAGTAATACTAATTTTCCGGAAACCCCATATTATATTTGTATTTTTCTTCCGGAAAACACAATATCTTATTTGTGTTTTCCTTTTTTTCTCTAGCCGTCTATTTATCGATCTTCTGGGTAAATGTTTCCCATTAAAGCCTCTAGTAAAGTACACACTATTTTTACATAAGGCAACAAGTCAAATATGTTAGTGGAATCAAGTATATCTTTCCTATTTCTTCCCTTTTAATGTTAAGTTAAGTTAAAAATAGTCGATGGTCGAAATTAATTTATTTTATCTTTTTAAGCTTTAGCCTATATTTAATTTCAACAGTCTTATTAAATTCTTTATGGAATAATTTAATCTTTATTTTTTTCAAAATAATTAAAACAACAAATTAAAAGATGGATGACGATGAGAAGAAATCTGGAACAAGGTTTATTTTAATTTTATTTATTTAAAATTTTTTTTAATTTTAGGGTCTTCAAGAAAACCTCTCCAAATGGAAAAGTATTCGTTTTTTATTGATTTTTAATTTTAATTTAATTTATTTTAAGATAACTACATACCTTGGGAAACGCGATTTTTTGGATAGAGGAGATAGCGTTGATTTGATTGGTATTTTTTATTTTTTTAGAGGTTTTTGAGGTTTTAAAAATTGTAAAATATTTTTTAGACTCTATTTTAGCCTATTTTTTGCTCAAAAAGTTAATTAAATTTAATATTAAATTGATATCCTTCATTGGGGTTCGAACCCACACCCCATTTTCTTGTGGAACTCAAAATTATCCCACTACACCAAAAAATCATAATTTCACAGGGAATGCTCCTTATGATGAGGACTCATTTGTAAATTTAGTAATTCTAATATTAAATTGATTTTCCTCGAGCGGGTTCGAACCCACACCCCCCTTTCCTGTTGAAACCCCGAAATTATCCCACTACACCAAAACTCAATATTTTCCAGACGGAATGGTCCTAATCGATGACGAATACATCAAAGCATCAAAAAAAGTTTCAGTTCAATTATTGGCAGCTTTTCGTTATGGCCGTGAAGATTTGGATGTTTTAGGCCTTACATTTCGCAAAGATTTGATCTCACAAAATTTCCAAGTTTTTTTTTGAATTTTTTAAAATTAAAAATGTTTTAAAAAGATTTTTCCACCAAATCCACTTCCAAATAATCGCCCTATGACAAGGCTACAGGAACGCTTAAAGAAAAAATTGGGAAACAATGCTTTCCCCTTCTGGTTTGAAATTCCGCCAAATTCTGCTTCTTCTGTTACTTTACAGGTTTTTTTTGTTTTTATTTTATTCTCGTTTTGATGTTTTTATTGTTCTGTATTTCTGATTTTTATTTTTATTAGTGTTTTAATTAAATTCTGATTTGTTTTTATGTTTGTATTAAATTCTGATTGTTTTGTGTTTCAATTAAGTTCTGGGTTGTTTGTTGTTTTTATTAAATTCTGATTAGATGTTTATTTTAAATTCTGATTATTTATTTGTTTTTCTGGTTTTGTTTTTATTTTATTCTGATCCTTGATGTTTTTGTTGTTTTCTGATTTTTATTTTATTAATTCTGATTTGTTTTTATGTTTGTTTTAAATTCTGATTGTTTTATGTTTCAAATAAGTTTTGGTTTGTTTGTGTCTATTCTGATTTTGTTGTTCTTATTAAATTCTGTTTTTGTGTTTGTTTTAAGTTCTGATTTGTTGTTATTAAATTCTGGTATGTTTTTGTAAGTTCATTCTAAATTCTGAGTGTTTGTTTGATGTTATTTAATTCTGGTATGTTTTAATGTTCATTTAAAATTCTGAGTGTTTTAATTTAATTCTGGTTTGTTTTTCTGTTTGTTTCTGTTTTTATTAAATTCTGGTTTTATGTTCATTCTAAATTCTGATTTTTTATTTGTTTTTCTGATTTTGTTTTTATGTTTATTCTGAGTTCTGATCGTGTTTTTATTTAGTTCTGATTCTTTATGTTTTTATTAAATTCTGATTTATGTCGTTAATTATTAAAACAAACAGGAAATACCTCCTTTTCTGTAGTAACCCCAAAATTATCCCACTACACCAGAAAAATTTTTTCCCCTTATTTTTGTATTTGTTTGTGTTTTTTTCTTTTCTTTCAACTTTAAATTTTAGTTTCTTAAATTTCCTTATTTTCTAGCCAGCTCAAGGCGACACGGGTAAACCTTGTGGAGTTGATTATGAAGTCAAAACAATTGTTGGTGGGGGTGATTCTCAAGAGAAACCGAAAAAACAGTTGAATTTTAATTTAATTATTTTTTTTTAATTTTTTAAAGTAATTCTGTTCGTCTTGCCATTCGAAAGCTCACTTATTCTCCACAAATTGAAAGGCCTCAACCAATGATTGATGTTACTAAAGAATTTATTATAAGTCCTGGGGGACTTCATTTGGAAGCATCTCTGGATAAGGAGGTTTGAACTTTTAAAATATGGGCAGAAGTAATGTCAGAACTGGCCAGAATAAGTCAGAAAAGTACCTGAGGGGTTTCAGAATCGGTTTTTAAATTATCAGAATTAATAAGAATAACACCAGAATCTGTCAGATAATGCCAGAAAGGGACTAGAATTAGCCAGAAGAATATCAGAACTAACCAGAGTAGTCCAGAAAAGTACTGGGAAGGCATCAGAATTAGTCTTTAAATTATCAGAGCTCATCAGAATAAGTCAAAATTGTCCCGGAAGGTGTCAGAATAGGTCAGAAAGTCACCAGAGTTGACCTTAAAATTGTTTGAATTAACCAGAATTTTACTAGAATTTGTTCTTAAGTACCAAAATAATTTTTAAAAAATATTAAGATCATTTATAAAATAATTTTGATCATTTTTTCAGATGTATTATCACGGAGAATCAATCAACGTAAACGTCCACGTTCAAAACAATAGCAACAAAACAGTCAAGAAAATAAAAGTTTCAGTCAATCAAATTGCCGATATTTGTATATTCACTACTGCTCAATATACTTGTGATGTTGACAAAATTGAATCTTGGTTGGGGTTTTTTTTAATCAGAATTTTCTGAAAAAAAATTTTTTCAAATTTCAGTGAAGGATTCCCTGTCGGCCCAGGATCGACACTTTCCAAAATTTACACACTTTGTCCTTTATTAGCCAAAAATAAAGATAAAAGAGGACTTGCATTAGATGGACAATTAAAACATGAAGATACTAATCTTGCCTCTTCTACTACCTTTGCAACTCTTTCAGTTTGTTTTTTTAATGGACAGTTAGTAGGGACAAAAATGTTATTAATTAATTTTTAATTAACCTGAACTATTTTTCCATCCATCTAAATTTTTGTATAGCAATATTTGTGGACATGGGTTTGGGGGTATGGTTTAAGAAAAGATGCTTGGATAGGGGTTTTTATAAGTTGGAAGAATTTTGAGTCTTTCCTAGGGTTGAGGAAAAGCCAGGCCATAATTTGAAAATGTTCTTGAGTTGGGTTTCGGCTCGAGAAAATAAGTCCGGTTATCGCATAATCCATGGCATCCTCTACTTTGTTGCATAACTAGGAATAAATAGGAGGAATAAAATTTTCACCCAAAGTTGAGACATTTTGTCCCATTCCTATTTAATCCTTTATTAAATTTTATTTTTATTTATTTAGCATTCAGTTCGAGAAAATCTTGGAATAATAGTTCAATATAAAGTAAAAATCCGTTTATTAATTGCTGGAGCATTAGGAGGAGAATTGGCTGCAGAATTACCTTTTACCTTAACACATCCAAAACCTTCAATTGAAAATGAAAATAATTTATTGAGAACAATAACAAGTCCAAGACAATTAAATGACAATAATGGAAGTAGTGGGGGAGGAGGATTGGAACAGTTAAAAGGTGGAGAAGGACAGAATATTATTGATAATACCGACCAAACAACAACGGCTGATGTTGATCTCATTCAGTTTGACAGGTTTTTAAGTGTTGTATAAGAAGAATTTGGGGGGTTTTATCATACAATTAGTGTGATGTCCGTTGTTAACCTAATCAAGGATTGAGGATTTTTTTCGATTCGGTTCTTTGGTTTATTCCGAATATCGGAAGGTTTTGTAATAACTAGGGTTGTCAGTTCTTGAAAAATTTTCGGATCTCCGGAACCAAACCGAAAAATCAGCGGTTCTTCGGCCCGGTTCGGTCCAAAACCGACAACCCTGGTAATAACCAATAACCTTACTTACAATTCTAGTTGAGGGGAAGGGTGTACATTCCTCTAAAAACCAAAGAATTCGTTGAGTTTTATGGATATATTGAGTACCTGTAACGACCAAGAAGGGTTTTTTCTGGTGTTGAAAAAAATATTTTTTGTCGGTCAAACCCTCAAAAAATTTGGAATTTTCCCAGAATTTCATTAAAAAATTTTTAAGTTTTGATGATGACGATGATTTGGTTTTTGAAGATTTTGCTCGTAATAGAGCTCGTGGTACAGAATTGTTGGCTCAAAATGAAAATGATTGATTTTTGAAAGGCTTTATTTTCTGATAAAAAATATATGGAAAAAATTGCAGCAACTACAACAACAACAGAAAAACACGCAAGCTAAAAATATTTTTGTATTAAAAAAAATTTTTTTTTGAATTTTTTTGAATTTAAAAGGGGAGGAGGTGTGTGATTAATTTCCTATTTTTTACTTTTTTAGTTATCCAAAAAAATTTCTTTTTAGTTTTTGTCGATTAACAGAATAAATTTGACTTTAAATAACCAGTTGCTGAACTCTCTCCCATCTTTTTTGAATTTTAGTTTAGAAAAAAATTTTTTTCTAAAAAAATTTTATTTTTCTCGTGGCAGCCTCCCATCGTTTTGAATTTTAATTAGAAAAAAATTTTTTCTCTGTGGAAATTTTATTTTCCTGTGACAGCCTTGGTTAAAGTTTTATATTTAATAAATCACACACCTCTTCCCTTTAATATATAAAAATAAATTAATTATTTTCTTCAATTTGTCTTTTCTTCTTCAATTTTATTTTTCTTCCTTTTTGCCTATCTTTTATTTTATTTAACACAAACAAAAATTTTTCTTTTTTTTCTATGTCTCCCCATATATCTTTTTTTCAAAAAAAACAAGTTTTTTTTAAATCTATCACCAATATTTTTTTAAATAATAATTAAATATAAATACATATTTTTTTAGAAAAATGCTAATCGATCTTTAATCGGTTTTGATATCTTTTGATTATTTTTATTATTTTTAATATTTATAATAATTATACCTTATAAGTGTTTTCCGGAAAATTAGAAAATACAAAAATTTATATTCTGTTTTTGTATTTTCCGGAAAAAGGAACTATAATTATTTTATTTTTCCGGAAAGTTTATATTTTCCGGTTTTTCCGTATAATAATTTTCCGGAAATGTTTTTAATAATTATATTTTATGGGAAGTTGTATTTTTCCGGAAAATAAATATATTATATTTTCCGGAAACATTTATAATATTCCTTTGTATTTTCCGGAAAAATACAATAATTACCTATTTTATTTTTCCGGAAAGTTTATATTTTCCGGTTTTTCCGTATAATAATTTTCCGGAAATGTTTTTTATTATATTTTTCCGGAAAAAAATATATTATATATTTTCCGGAAACGTTTATATATTCCTCTGTATTTTCCGGAAAACATACAGATTTATACAGCTTCATACACCTTTCAGATATTTAATATATTTAAAAATACAAAAAAAAAGAATGTCTTCCTCATTATCAACATTTATTCAAGTCCCTCCAACTTCTGATTTTACAATTTACAATTTGCCTTATGGAGTTTTCACTACTTTGGATAATGTAAAAGGAAATTAAAATTTAAAAAAAAAAATAAAATTATTTTTAAAGCAAAAGAAAAGAATTGGTGTGGCTATTGGAGATGAAATTTTGGATTTGTCTGCGATTTTGAATTTGTTTGATGGCCCTTTGCTGTTTAAAAATTTGAATGTTTTTAAAGAGGTGATTTTTAATTATATTTTTCGGAAATATTTGTATTTTCCGGAAGTATTTGTATTTCGGAAATAATTTTTATATTTTCCGGAAGAAAATAATTATTTGTATTTTCCGGAAAATATAGTTTCCGGAAGGTTTTGTATTTTTTGAATAACTATAAAAATTTTCCGGAATGTTTTTAATTGAGTTGTATTTTCCGGAACGACACGATAATTATATTTTCCGGAAGTTTTTGTATAATATTTTTGTTTCCGGAATATTTATATTTTCCTAAAAGTTATATTTTCCGGACATTAATTATTATATTTTCCGGAATTTTTAATAATTTTCTATTTTCCGGAAACACATTAAAAATTAAATTTTAAAATTTTTTGGGAGTCTTTAAATGCTTTTATGTCACTTGGACGTCAAGCATGGCTAGAAGCAAGGGAAACATTACAATCAATTCTGTCTGATACTAATTCTGTTCTGAGGGACGATGATAATTTGAGGTGTTTTTAAATTTTTTTGAATTTTCTTTTTGTATATTCCGGAAAAAGTGATTTTTGGCTTGGGTTTCCATGACTTTCTGATCCATAACTTTTTTGTTTCTTTTCTGATTTGAAAGGTTCTATTACCAATCTATAGCTCTGGATATGGGCGTTTTTTTCCTAATTGGATCAATCTTATCAGAAAATTCTTTAAAAAGTTATGGCCTGATAAGCACACCCAATCGTGATTTTCTATTTTTATACAGGTGTAACTTTTTTTCTGGCTATTTTATCGGATTGGTTCTAACAGAAAAAAGAATCCGAATATTCAGAGCTTTTAATTAACACAAAAACTATTCTAAACGGATCATAATCAAGAAAGATACAGCTGAAAAAAGATCAAGAATCACGATTGCGCGTACTTACCCGGCTATAACTTCTTACTGGACATTCCGATCAAATTTGGTCTTATAGAAAAAAGAATGGGGACACTCAGAGCTTTCGATTAGTATAAAAATTATTCAGAACGGATTATTGTAAAAAGTCATAATTTTTCTTAATTTTTATAGGAAACTTGCTTTTGTTAACATAAGCAAAGCTACAATGCACATACCAGCAAATATAGGTGACTACACAGATTTTTATTCTTCTATTCATCATGCAACAAATGTTGGGATAATGTTTAGAGGAAAGGATAATGCTCTACTTGAAAATTGGTAGGTATTAAAGTTTTGCTTCAATATTAAATGTATTTTTGCTTCGCTTTCCGGAGCAAGCTTACTTTATTGTATGTATTTTCCGGAAGAAATATTACTAGTATTTATTTTTCCGGAAAGAGTTTACTTTTACGGAATGAATATAACTCACAATCAGAATTTATTCTTTTTTCCAGAACAAGCTTTTATATTTTCCGGAAATAATAATATACCTACTTTATTTTTCCGGGTTTGAATTTATTTTCCGGAATGAATATAACTTGCACTCATAACTTCCTTTTCCGGATTTGAATTTATTTTCCGGAAATACACATTAATCTTTTTTGAAGCAAAAGAAGCATTTCAAAACTGAATCTTGCTTCAAAAAATTTTTTTTAGAAATGAAGCATGTTTCAAGTAACTTTAAGCATCAAGCTTTTGCTTCAAAAAAATATTTCCGAAATTTTTTAATTTTTCAGGAAGCATCTTCCTGTTGGCTACCATGGAAGAGCTTCAAGTATTGTTGTTTCTGGAGTCCCTGTTCGTCGTCCCTGGGGACAAGTAAAAGCAGATGAAGCAAAAGAACCCGAATTTGTTCCAAGTAAATTAATGGATTTTGAATTGGAAATGGCTTTTTTTGTTGGTGGAAAAGAAAATGAATTGGGGAAACCTATACCTATTGAAAATATTGAAGAACATATTTTTGGAATGGTTTTGATGAATGATTGGAGTGGTGGGAGAATTTTTTTATAATTAGAAAAAAGAATTAAAATGAAGCATGCTTCACGTACGAAACAAGTTTCCCCTTTTTGTATGTGTTTTCCGGAAAGAAATAAAAATATTATTTATTTTCAGGAAGGAGTATAACTCTAAATTTAATTTTTCCGGAAGAGAATTTATTTATTCTTCCTGAAAGAATATAATTCTGAATTCCGGAAAAACAGATTCATAGTTATATTGTTTCCGGAAAAATTAAAATCAGAATTATATTCCTTCTAGAACATTATTTATTAATTCTTCTGGAAACAATATAACTCTAAATTTAATTTTCCGGAAAATTATAATTAAATTATTTTTTAATCGATATGTCTTCCGGAAAATTCTTTAATCAAGTTTCTGAAGCAAATAATTATTTTCCGAAGCATTCTTCATTTTTTAAACATTTGAAACAAGTTTCTCTCCAATTAAACATTTCTAATTAAATATAATTTTTTAAAATTTAAAGCTAGAGATATACAAAAATGGGAATATATTCCACTTGGGCCTTTTCTCAGCAAAAGTTTTGCTACAAATATATCGCCATGGATTGTAACGATGGAAGCTCTTAAACCTTTTATTGTTGCTAATACAAAACAAGATCCACCTCCAATGAAGCATTTACATCATTTTGATGATTTTAATTTTGATATTGAATTGGATGTTTCTATAAAACGTGAGGAAAAATTTTTTTTATTTTTTTATAGGAGGGGGAGGGTGGGGTATATTAGCTTCTTAGTTGAGCATTTTTTTGTTTTTTACTTTTCTGATTATCATTCGTTTCAAATAATTCTTATACCAATCTAAAGCTCTGGATGTGCGGATTCGTTCTCATATTAAGACCATTCTGTTTCGGAGAATCTGAAAAAATTTATTTTCGTACAAATACCAAAAATCACGATTGTTCACACATAAAGATTTGTAACTCTTTAGAGACTGATCGGATCTGATCATCCTTATAGGAGAAGAATCAGCACATTTAGACCTTCCGATTGATTTAAGATTTATTATAAAAGGTTGAAGTTGAAGAAAGTTATAGGTAAAAGAATGTTGCATAGTCTTAGACTCGAATGTTTTTCGGTTTTTAATTTTCCGGAAGGAATATAACTCTGAATTTAATAATTAATTTGTTTTTATTGTGTTTTCCGGAATATAACTTTAAATTTATTTTTCCGGAAAGATTATAATTTATTTGTTTTTGTGTTTTCCGGAAAATTCTTTTAATTTTTTCTTCAATTTTTAGCTAAAGACAGTAATGTAGACTATACTCTTTCAAAAACAAATTTTAAATATTTATATTGGACAATAAAACAACAATTGGCTCATCATGCAAGTAACGGCTGCAATATACGCCCAGGAGATTTAATGGGTTCTGGAACAATTTCTGGACCGGTAAATTAAATAAAAAATTAAAAAATTTTGATTTTTTAGACACCCGATTCTTTGGGATGTTTATTAGAATTATCTTGGCGTGGTCAAAATCCTGTTAAATTGGGTGATAGTGGACAAACTAGAAAGTTTTTGGTTGATGGAGATGAAGTGGCTATAAAAGGTAGAGTACACATAAATCTAGTAACAATAATTTGTGTTTTCCGGAAGACCAGAATATTAAAATCAGAATTAATTTTCCGGAAATATAAGAAAGTTTCATGGTCTTCATAGACTCGAATGACCTTTTCCGGTTTTTTTAAAATTTTCCGGAAGGAATATAATTCAAAATTTGTTTTCCGGAAGTAATATAACTCAGAGTTTATTTTTACGGAAAGAAATTATATTTAATCTGTTTTTCATTTCCTAATTTATAGAAGTGACAGATTTATTTCCGGATATTATATATTTCCGGGAAGTTTATTTAATTTGATATTATTTTCCGGAAAATTATAACTACCGAGAAATCAGATTTGTTTTCTTTGAATATATTCATACATTTCCGGAAGGGTATATAAATATATTTCCGGAAAGTTTATATTGCATATTTCCTCGTAAGCTATGTATTTTATATTTCCGGAAGGTATTTAATTTAATATATTTTCCGGAAAAATATACTACTTTATTGTTTCCGGAAGGATATATTTTAGAATAGAGGGATACACGAGTCTTATTTTAAATTTGTATTTTCAGGTTTTTGTTACGATAAGAAGACAAATATCAGAGTTGGTTTTGGAGAATGCCGTTCTATGTTATTGCCTGCCTTATAAAGAAACAGATATAATCTAATTAAAGTTGCTGTGATAGATAAATAATCATTTACTTAATTCAGCAGAAAAATTCTATTTAATCTGTTTTTCATTACCTAATTTATAAAGTTGATATTTTGTATTGGTGGTCTTTTGGATTTTTTAGAAATTTTAATTTTTCAAAAAATCGATACTAATCGATAAAATCAATACTAATCGATATATCGATTTTTTAAAAATTGTAAAAATTTTAATTTTTCAAAAAATCGATACTAATCGATAAAATCAATACTAATCGATATATCGATTTTTTAAAAATTGTAAAAATTTTAATTTTTCAAAAAATCGATACTAATCGATAAAATCAATACTAATCGATATATCGATTTTTTAAAAATTGTAAAAATTTTAATTTTTCAAAAAATCGATAAAATCAATACTAATCAATAGATTCAATACTCAAATTATTCCACAAAAAATACTTTATTTAAAATTTAAAAAATAAAAAATGACAACCAAATTAAACATAATAAGTTGGGGAAACAATTAGATCAGTGAGTATTTGTAGCTGATCTTCTGTAAATTCGAGCTTGTGCTCGTGCCACTCGTCTTGATGGGTGCGCTAAAAATTAAATTATTTTATTAATTTATGATTAAACATTTTCTAAAAAAGTAGACAAGTAAAAAATCAACACACGCTAATCGGATTCGAACCTTCAACCATCAGCCCTATAAACCTAACTCACTAACCAATACACCACATGGGGATGACGTAGTACTTAATTTGTTATAGATAGTATTATTAATATGTTTCCGGAAAAACCAGAATTTAATTAAAACATTCTCCGAAAATATCAGAATTAATTTACAACATTTTCCGGAAAAATCAGAATTTAATTAAAACATTCTCCGAAAATATCAGAATTAATTTACAACATTTTCCGGAAAAATCAGAATTTAATTAAAACATTCTCCGAAAATATCAGAATTAATTTACAACATTTTCCGGAAAAATCAGAATTTAATTAAAACATTCTCCGAAAATATCAGAATTAATTTACAACTTTTTCCGGAAAACTCAGAATTTAATCGAAACAAATTCTAATTAATTTCCGGAAAAACACAAACATAAATAAAAAAAAACCGCACCTTAAACTCGGAAAGTGCCCGTTTCACAGTTCCATAAATTGGCTGAGGCTCAGTTGCATGTTTGCACAAATGCATCAACACTTTTGGCAGAAAAGAAGGGACAGAATAGGGAAAAGCCAAAACAATAGAAGCTAAAGCTAGTACTCCGCTGTGTCTTTCAATTGACTGCTTGGGTGAAGACGCGAGGGTTTCTGCACTCTTAACAAGTTGTTCATCAACAGAAATTATTCCAGCTCGAACTAAAAGATGTTAAAATTTGGATTTTAGTTAAAAATAAATTTTTAATAAATTCCCTACCCAATCCACTCAAAGTTTCCGCACTCGCTTCACGAACTTCAAAGCGAACATCAACCAAAAGTTTGAGAAGTAACGATTGTAAAAAATCAAAAGTTCCATTTTTAGCCCGTAGAATGAAAAGATTGGTGAATACAAAGACTTGTAAAAATCTGAGAAGCCTGAAAAAATTTTTTTGGAGAAATTCTTAAATAAAATCATTCACGTTATTTTTGCTTTCCACGACCCTTTCTCTTGTATGGTCTGGCATACTTCAAATAATACATTTATTTGATCATTGGAAATAATAGAAAGGCCCATATTTTGTACAATATGTGTAATACAACTTGCTTGGAGTTCTTCATCTCTGAAGATAATATTTTTTAATTAAAATGGGTATGTATTTTTTGTTGAATACCCAAAAAATTTTTCTAAAGGGATGAAAGTAGATAAAATCCTTGACGTTAAATTTGTTTTATTCTGTTGAACTCATTTTCTAGTTGAGTTCAAAAGATCAGGGACCCAAGTGAAAAAAGGAAGCCTACTAAGATATCAATTATCCTACTAATTCCTGTAATATTCTTTCATTCTCTACTTCCAAATCCTCCAAAAAAATTTTTCTAATTAAAAACCCCTCACGTTTTATCATTCGCATAATGTGTAAATAAAGGCAATAGCTTCATTGAACTAGTATCCAAATGTGTTCCATACATTGATTTGAGAGAATAAAGGAAGGAAATTAGTGTTAAAAAGTGAAGCTTTTCTTTTTTAAATTCATCTTTTCCATTTAACAATACAGAGGTCGAATCAACATGTTTTATTGAAGAATCATTGTTTTTGTTATTTTGTGATTGAATTGAATTTATTGCTTCATTCCACAGAGGTTCAAGCTGTGAAAGTAAAAAATTTTTTGTTGATCATCTATATATTCAGGATTTTTTGAAGGAATATTTTAGGGATTTTTTGGAGGCTTAAAGAATCTTCCTGAGGGGTTTAAACTGAAAAGTCCCCTTTTAAAATAAAATATAAGGAGCCTCTTTAGATATTACCAAACTAATTCCAAAATAAACTTGTTTTATTCAAGAGGTCAAGGATGGAGAATGGAATAAAAAATGTTTTTGTTTTCGAAATTGAGGATAAACAAAAGAAAATTCACCTTAACATTAATTTCATCAATAACTTGACTAATTTTCAAATATTTAAATTTCTCCTCAAGTTCAGGATAATAAAAAGCATCTTTATGATAGAAAAATGCACAAGTCGCTAGACAACTGTAAAAAACATTTTTTTTTAATTCTGCAGAAATTTTTTTCCGAACCTTCCAGCACGTTGACGAACATTTTGGAATGTGTTATCAGTTAATTTAATACAATAATTAGCTAAACGTTTCCACTCAAAAGGTATAAGCCATTCAAATTCGTTTAAAGCAGATTGGAGAAGATAAATTCTTCTGAAATTTTTTTTACGATTTTTAAAAATTAAAGAAAAAATTTTCTCTCACGTTTTAATTTGACTACTAATATCTGTTGGTTTATTAATTAATTGGAAAAGTAATTCAATCAACCATCCAATTTGACGAGGTTCACAACTACCACACTAAAAAATTAGAAAATTAAAAAAAATTTGTGAAAAATCAATGCTTTTTCAGTTAATAAATAGGAAATAAAAGGGGTCGAACCTTTAACTACTACAAAAACAAGCCTAACACACTAACCAATACACCATAAATAAATATCCTTGAATGTTTCCGGAAAAATAAGAAATTAATCAAAACATGTTTCCAGAAAAATCAGAAGTTAATTAAAACAATCTCAGGAAAAATCAGAATTTAATTAAAACAATCTCAGGAAAAATCAGAATTTAATCAAAACATATTTTAAGAAAAACAATGGAAAACCAGAATTTACATAAAAACATTTTCTGGAAACATCAGAATTTAGTTGAAACATGTTTCCAAATTCAGAATTTCATTAAAACATTTTCCGAAAAAATCAGAATTAAATTCAAACAAAACATACAATTGTTGCAATACATGTTCCCCAATATTTTTCATTTTCTTGAGGCACTTCCAACAATGTTGTTTCCAATCTGGGTATCAACAATTTTAACACTTTTTCACGTTTTTCAAATTTCCATAATTTGGAGCCACAAATCATTCCAGCAGTTATTTCAGCTGCTAATCTTTGACAACTCTCCTTTAAAATATTAATTTTAAAAATAATCACAAAATTTTTTACCTTATTATCTACAAGAAGAGGATCCAAAATAGCAATAAAATTGTCCAACAAATTATCATTGAATGTTCGGAAAATACGCTTAAAAATAAAAAAAATTAGAATAGGGCTCGATTAAGTATTTTAATTGTTTTTCAGAGACCAGAATTTAAATAGAACATTTTCCGGAAAAATCAGAATTTAATTAAAACACTCTCAGGAAAATCGGAAATATATTTTGGCGTTGTATTTGGTGTTCCGGAAAAACATGAAATATTATTACAAGTATTTTCCGGAAAGACAATAAATTAAAACATTATCTAGACAAACCAGAATATCAAACAATGCTTTACCGAAAAGTTTTTACGGAAAAACCTTGAATTAAATAAAACATTAAACTCACATTAAACAAGGAGAAATGAACAGCATCAAATTCCTTATCGTCTTTCTTAAAATAAAAAATATTATTTAAAATGATAATAAAAATCCAACCTCATCCTCTAATGAATAAAGACTAGCAAATTTATTCAAAAATTCAGTATCTTTAAATATTCCAATTATTGATTGCTCAAGTTGACTAAATTGAGAATATTCACGATTTGACCAGTCTTGATTTAATGGAGAGGCATAGACTTTGAATTCTTTAGGCCATGTATAAAAGCCCCAGTGAGGTTTCTATATTTTAATTTTTAAGATTAATAAATGTTTTCAAGAATATCAGAATTTAATTAAAACAATTTTCGGAAATAATAAAAATATAGGAAAAAATCAGAATTTAATAGAAACATGCATTGAATACCCAAAACTCCCAAATTATGCTTGTTTTAATTAAAATTTATAAAAAAAATTCCTCACATGATGGAATTCAGAATTATCCCATTCTTTTTTACCAGAAGGTAACTTATCAGCATCATAAAGGAGAAAACTAAAAAGAAATAATTTTTAAAAATTAATATATTAACCTATTATCCTTTCTAATTCCAAATTTAATAGGCCACTTAGCCCCAACTCCATTATTTTCTCCTCCTTCCTTCAAATTAATATTTTTAACAATCTTCTTTGCCTTATGTCTATTTATTTTGAACCAAGAAGCGCAAAAACTAGTTGCTAATTTTCTTGTTTTTATCGAATCAGATATTAATAATTGGAAGAAATGGAGAATAATATCAGATTGTAACGTTGTATCTCGACGTAATAAAAGACTTAGAAGAGTTTGAGCAAAATCAACATGACGCCAATGTAAAGCTTTGTTGCAACATATTTGGCATAGACTTGAAGCTATATTATTATATGTTCTGAAAAATTTTAAAAATAAGAGGTGTTGTTATTGTTTTTAATTGATCAGAATTATTGAAAAATTTTCAGTAAAAAACCAAAATATGAATAGAACATATTTGTAAGTTTCGGAATTTAAGGAACATAAATTTATTCTTAACATTTTTCGGAATTTTATTGAAAAAATTAAATGCTCCCAATAAAAACATGAATTTAATTAAAACAAATTTTTAAATTCCAACCTTTTATTTTTAGCATTTATTTCTGCTTCTCTTTTGTTAGATCCTTGTATTAATTCTTTAGATATCAATGGTAAAGCTTTGTGGATATTCCCCTCATAATCTTCAAGTAAAGCCTCGGCAAATTTGAAAATATTGTCAGAGAACTTAAAAAAATTTAAATTAATTTTAAAATATAAAATCCGCAGGCAAAAAATATTTTGTAAAAAATGTGTAAACTTCTATAAAAATAAGGTGTAGAGTGGCAAGGAGGGAGATCACAAAAATCCCACAAAATAATTATTTCAATAAATTAACCTTAAATTCAATTTGAAAAGATGTATGGTTGCTAATAATCATATCTTGCACATAATCGAAGAGAGCAATAATCGATTGTTTACTTGGATCAGGTGATTCTGCTAAACATAGAGCTGGCCAAATCTTTTCTATAACTTCCCAATCCTGAAATTTGGAAAATTTTTCAAGAAAGTATTAGTAAAAGAATACTTGTCTAGTAAGAATAGAAGCTTGTTTTCCATTTGCAAGAACATACAAAGCACCCTAAAAAATTTTAAAATAATTTTATTTGCAAAGAAAAATTTGCGGATAAAATTTGTGGACAGAAAATTTCTAAAAATAACCTTAAATTGTTCATAATTTGTAGTATTCTCTTTATTCTCAAGCAATTGAACCAAATTATCAACAAATAATTTGTAGGAATAGGACCACCATGTAAATGAACCATCAAGCACCTTTTGAGCTGTTTGCCGGACTAGAGCATATGTTGATGTTGAAAAGCGAAATGCCAATTGAAGAGCTTCCAAGTGTGTTGAAGTTAAACCAACGAGAGGTCTATGCACTAATCTTTTCTGAAAAAAATTTTTTAATAGAAGAAATAAGGGTGGTAGAGATAAGGGAACATAGCAAGTAGGCTGAAGGGAACACCCGAAAAAATTTCAAAAAAAATTTTTAATAAATAACTGGTTGGTAAAGATAAGAAAACATTTAAGACCAGTCCAGAATTATTTCCCATCCCAAAAAAATAAAAAAAGAAAAAACCAAACCGTATGCATCAAAGAAATACTTCCTTCCAAAATTGATTCAATTGTTTGAGGAAAACCGCGTAATGGATCATTTAATAATTTTTTGGTCATTTGAAATGAAGAAGCCTGGTATTGATGGCTAGTCTAAAAACAGAGAACATATAAAAAATTAAAAAATAAAAAAATTTAAACCGAATTAGATCCTCGTTCATGTGTTAAAGTTCGAATTATGTGTATAATCTATTCAAATTTAAAAACTTTAAACAAATTCCAAAAAAGCTAAAAACCTCTATAGAAGATTTTGTATCATTTTCTCTTTCATTTAACAACTTTTCTCCAATTTGTTTAACAATTTTGAATAGAAATGTTCGATAATTGCTTCCATTGGCAGCCGTGATTTCTTTAAAAATTTATTCAAAAATTAAAAAAAATTTTTTGAAGGTCCAATAAATATCGTAATGAAGCTAAGACTTCCCGTTATAAGATTGACACTCACAATAATCATTCCCACAGACAAATACAAACCTACTCAAAAATCCCCCAAAACCAAAAAAAACAAACTTTTAACATTTGGAGGAACAGTAACAACATCCAATTCAACATTTGGAACAGCCATCGGAATAAGGTGTAATACTTGACCATCAAAAAAGGGCAACAAATCAGCACAAGCAACTAGAGCATGATGAGCAATTTTTAGAATTTTCAATATTTCTTTGCTGAAAAAGAGAAAAAATTAAAAAAAATATTTGCGGACAAATTTTAATTTTTGCGGACAATGTCCGCATCCCATAATTTTTTATTTAAAAAAATGCATACTCTGTTGTGTCTTTAAAATTAGCCAAAAGTTGTTGCAATGGTTTTGTTAAAAATTGATCAACCAATTTTGTAGCATATTCAACTTCTTCATCTGATGGGATGTGCCAATTTAAGTTCCAGTCATCTTTATTTACTGGTTCAGCCCAATGCTATAAAAATTAAATTTTGTTTAATGCAAGAATTTCTGTCCGCGAATATTTTTGCGGACAACAAAAAAAAATTGCGGACAAAATTTTTTTTTGCGGACATAAAAAATTACAGACAGAAAAAAGATTTGCGGACAAAATATTTTTGTGTCCGCAAGTGGTTTGCGGACACAAAAAATTCACTATAAATATACCCTTAATGGAAGAAATTTATCGAAGGATTGCTCATAACGAGTTCTCAAACAACTTGGAATGGGATAAGTTGAACATATACAATGCAAAACATTTTGAGCAAAGACTGCTACCAACTGAAAAAGAATTTTTAAAAATTTATTTTTAAAATTAAAAAAACCTTAAAAATATTTGGAGATTTAAACTTTAAAATTTTCCCAATAAACGAATCAATTAGACTTTTATTTTCCATAATTATATGCCCAGGAGAATTGCGGACAAGTTCTGCAGCAAAAGTTATGTACCAAATTAAAGCTCGATCAACTTCCTCTTCTAACTCAGAACCGGCTGAATAAATTAAAATTTAAAAATAATTTAAAATTTAATAAAAACCGTGATAATGCTCCTCAAACTTTTTAACTGCAAAATTGAAAAAACGAGGAAATTGAACTTCTGGGTGGTTCTAAAAATTATTTTTATAATTAAAAAAAAATTTAATAAGCCTACTCCAACTATCGACCCAGCCATTTTTGTAATTGCATCCATTGCTGGTTTTGAATTAAACAAGTGTTCATTAACAAAATTGAAAAATTGTTCAGTTATGTGCTAAAAATTTACTTTTTAATTTTAAAAATTAATTAGAAGCCTAAAAGCCGAAAAAAATTTTATTTAATGTTTAAAGCCATTTAATTAGAAAAATAAATAAAAATAACCACAGGTGGATTCGAACCATGGCAGACAAATTAACAAATACAAGCCACTAAACATTGGTCAAAGACAACAACAAGGGAAAGTTCTAATTAGGATAACCTCCGTCCCCCCGACGAATTTTTAGTCAAAATCCCGAACCCCAAAGACTCTACCCCGATCCACGACGATCCCGCCCAGAAGGCTCGGGGTGCTACCCTAGTTTTAACCATTCTCCTATAACATCGCCATTCTTGATTTATTAATAACAAGAATAAACCCCCAACTTTTCCTGATTTTTAAATTAAAAAATATAATTTACATTGTAAAAAGCAGAGCTGCAATTTCTCACTAACGACCGGAAAACAAGTAGAACACCCTTTTCCATCACCATTTCTTCCATATTTTTCCCAGCACTTTTAGTTGATGTCAAATCTTGTCTGTCACTAACACTACTTCCAAGAAGTACAATCATTGAATAAATTTTCCTCATTAATTCTTCAACAAATAATTCAAAAGAAGCCGTTTCTGAACACAATTCTTCTTCTTCGGGCGTCAAATCTTTACAATCAAGTGGAGCTTGAGAACAATCCACGACTGGAACTAACATCATAAAAATCGCTAATATCTGAAAAAACAAGCATTGAGCAAAACTAAAGACATTTTCTATAAAATGAGGGGTTGCGGATTTTGTCCGCATTTTTTTGCGGACAAAATCTAGCTGTAAACTAACCCGTATTTTCTCGGAAATAAGTCGAGGATTGGTTTATTAACCTGGGCAGGATTTTTGATACGACATAATCCACGCTCTGGAAAAATCAACGGAGCTAAAAATACCTAGTATCACAGAAAAGTGGACCCAGAAAAACCCGAGAACCCAACCCAAATAAAAAAAACGAAACCTGAAATACAAGTCCACATTTTGCAGCATCATTAATATCCAATCCAGGCAGCAAATTATTCATCAAAATTATAGCATGTCTTCGATAAGATTTATTAACTTCAAAATCCTCCAAACTTTTGACAGGCAAACGTTGAACATTTGTGCCAGGTTCTGGCAAACGATCACGTGCAATAACCACACAAACACGTGAGAGGATTTGAAGAGATTGGGTTAATCGGTGAGGCTCTGTTAAGGTTTGTAGTGATGGGTAGACTCTAAAAAATAAAAATTTTCGAGAGGTGACAGTTGATCCCAAAATCAAAAATTCCCTTATAATCCAACAAAAAAAACTTACAAATCCAAAACAAAAGGCACAATAATTCCAGGAGAGAGAAAAGCTAATAGCCGAATAATTGACGGTACAGAATCATCACTTTGTTTCGCAAAAGCAGCATATTCCAAACAGGGCAAAATCGATTTAACAAAATTCTCGATCTGGACATCTGTTATTTTTATATTTTCAGGAATCTAAAAAATTTGCAAAAAAGTTAAAAAAAATTCATTTTTAAACTCAACCTGATTCACAAATTTTTTTGAATGAAAACGCTCTCGAGAAACCCTGTTGAGGAAGGATAGAACCAATTTATGAAGAAAACTCAACAAATTTTTTGTATGTTGACCAGTGTTTGAAGGATGAAAATAACTTTCAAGAGAAAGAAAAAGTTGTGAAAAGCATTCTTGAATTCTGAAAAATGGGAAAATTAAAGGGGTGACTTCGAAAGGTGACAATTGATCCCATAACCAATTGTCCCATATATACGAACTTTGTCCGCATTATTTTTGCGGACAGGACCGACAATTAAACAAAAAAAATACTTGTTTTCAGCCATCCCAAAGGAATAAGCGAAGATTTGTGCAAGTGCCGAAAATTCATTAGAACCATTATTTGCTGCAACTATTCTATCCACTCCAATCTCAATTTTAAGAGATGACAACAAAAAAGTGAACAATTCATTGAAATAAGGAGAAAAGTCGAAATAGCCAGGACTGTCCTTGGTTAGTCTACAAATAAAAAAAAATAAATAAAATAAAGTTTTTAACTAGACGACGGTACTTTATGGATATGTCACCCCCCTCCTATTTTGAGTCTTAGAGTTTTCCTTAAACGTAGAAAATGGTCAGAGATTATTTTCTTCTCCATGTCAATCATTTTTTTATTTTCCAAGTATTTTGCTTGTTTATTTTGCCTTTTCACATATTTTGTACTTACATTTCACTCATTTCGTTTCTACATTTATCACATTTCACTCATTTTGCTTGAACAAACAAAAATGATTGACATGGAGAAGAGAATAATCTCTGACCATTTTCTACGTTTAAGGAAAACTCTAAGACTCAAAATAGGAGGGGGGGTGACATATCCATAAAGTACCTAGACGACAATTGATCCCAAAAAATTTTTTAAAAAAAACCTCGCAAACAAAAGCAAAATATTTAGACGCTCCAAAGTCCCCGGACTTGTCAAAAAATACAAAAGTTCATCTATCCACAACTTTGCCCCAAATCTATCGTTCTCTTCCTTTGTTAGACATGTAGGCAGAAAGATTGATAATATTTTTAATCCTCTCATTGAACTGTCATCCCACGGGCAAAAATAGGGTCGGACCTTTGAATGAAAATTTATTGAATTCAAAGGAAAAATGACTCAAAAAATAATAGAAAAACCTCGTCAAGAATTTCCTGTGTAGCAGAATCACCAAAAAATCGATTGCACTGAACTATTGTTGACCCCAAAATTTTCTTCAAATCTTCAGGAATAAGAAACACTCCGTCCTAAAAAAGAAGCTAATTTAGAATTAAAAATAAATTGAAAAAACCTCTTCCAGATTTTTGTAAACAACTTGCACATACAAATCATAGAGGGGACGCCAGTCAAAGCTAACATCTCCACGTGAAATTATTGACTTACGGCTTAAGTTATATCAATTTTTAGAAGGTTTAAAGACATTTAGATTATTTTAAATTCATTTTAGATGCTTAATAAAAGGCCAACTACAGTTTATATTAGGGTTTTTAGTATCACAAGAAAAGTCCGCAAGTTTTGTCCGCAAAAAATTTTTGTCCGCAAAAATATTTTACCTCCCCATTCAAAACGATTGAATTATTGAAACATAAAAAATACTTTCTAGACTATACTAAACGTTTTAAACCATCAGAAAAGATGCGGAGACTTTAAAAAATCTCAAGATTCTAGGTAACCAAAATCCACACAGAATCTCCTTGAACAATTAAAAATATTTAAAAAATATTAACGAACGATAATAGCATTCCTATTGAACAACACAAAACTTTTACAGCACGGAAATCCAAATCCTTCATAATAAGCGCATTGTAAAGCAAATTCAGCATATTTACATGATCCATTTTTGTAAAGCGGAAGGAGTGGAGTTTGATAAATCTGAAAAAAAAGGAAATATAAAAAAACTGAAAACCAAATGAAGGGCTATTCGAATTAAAAAAAAATTAGGCGAGAAAGAAGCCGATATGGAGAACCAAAATAAAAATTTCAAAACCTGTCCAATTCATACACCCAAATAAGCAATCCAGGCCTTGCATCCCTCATCAACACAGAATAACCCATTCCTGATTTTATATTAGAAAAATAGTGATCTGCTTCCTTCTCCAATTCAGCCTGGTAAGGGAGAAGACGGTGTTGCCAGATGATACGTTGGAATTGAACATTTTCTAAATAACATAAAGTTGAAAAAAACGGAGAGGATTATATGAGACGAATTTCCTCAACATTTATGACTAGGCACTAGCATAAAAATAAAAATATTTACATATGACAGTTGACCCCAAAATCTAAAATACCCTTATAATTCAACAAAAAAACCTACAAATCCAAAACAGAAGGCACCATAATTAGGGTTGAATTTTTCGAACCGCGCCGACGTTCGAGTCATTTTTTCGAGCCAAACCGGTCGTGTCCTTTCAGGCTTCATCTTTTTCGGGCCAAAATTCGAGGCCCGGTTCGATCCATCGAACCTAACCGGGCTCCAACCCTAACAATAATCCCAAAAGAAAGAAAAGCTAATAGCCGAATAATTACCGCGACAGAGTCATCCCTTTGTTAACCCTCAGTTATACCCTTTAAGAAACCTTGAGAATCAGCAATTTCATTATCAGAATCTTCATTATCCATAATTTCGTCAAATATATCAGCTACTTCAGACAAACAATCAGTATCTTCTTCAAAATCACTTTCGTCTGAATAAATCGATTCGCTTGAAGAATCCACTTTTAATTTTTTTAAATTAACCGATTTTCTGAAAAATAAAATTATATATATTAAGTAAAATAAATATGAGAAAATTTTTGTAAGCAAAATTAAGTATGGGAATAAATTTATGATGACTTTTATATTTTTCTAATGAAATTTAGAGGAAAAAAGAAAAAAGGCAAGAAGTAGAAAAACATCAGAGAATGCATTATAAGGCGTAAATTTAAAAATTAAAATAGCATTTAGGACACACTCTAAAATATGTGAGGGGTAGTCGGTTTTTTGGAAAAACTTAGGATATATCCAGAATCGACCCGAAAAATCCTCGGCCTGCTTCAAAACAGAGGAGAACCCTCTCTCTTATTCTCCTAAACAAGAGACCTAAACCTTCACGTATAACCTAAATTAAACAAAACTTGGAGCAAAGTGAGGCTTCGAAGAACTCAATCGTTGGCATATGAAATGTTTATATAGAGGCTAGGATTGGCGGAAAGATAAAAAGTTGATGAAATATAAGTTTTAGGAACAAAGAAATATTTGAAAGATGTAATGAGGCAAGTTTTGGAAGGCAAAAATAGATTGAAAAAAAAGAAAATAAAGAAATATTTTATGGATTATAACATAATATTATAAAAAACAAAAAGTTAAAAATCGAATTTATTCAAAATAAAATTTTAAAATTTCAGAAAATAATAAAAATATTTAAAACTAAAATCGAAAGAAAAACCTAAAAATTCAAGAGTTCGACATCTAGATATGCAAATGACAGAACGTGAGTTTTAGTCTGAATTTTTTGGGGAAATTTATTCCTGGAGCTCCAAATTATTTCCACCCTTCAAACACTGAACAACATACCAAAAGCCTTTTGAATTTTCTTCACAAACTGGTTCTGTCCTTCCCCAACAGAGTATCTCGAGAGCGTTTTCAGGCGAAAAAATTTACAAATCAAGTATGCTTGGCATATGCAGCAGTAATAGTTTGGCTGACCATCCCCCCTGACGGCTGACCATTCCCCCCTCTGACTCACAAATCACATGAATTTAACAATATTTTTAAATTTCAACCTTTTATTTTTAGCATTTATTTCGGCTTCTCTTTTGTTCGATCCTTGTATTAATTCTTTAGATATCAATGGTAAAGCTTTGTGGATATTCCCTTCATAATCTTCTAGTAAAGCCTCGGCAAATTTGAAAATGTTGTTAGGAAACTTAAAAAATTTATTAATCATTTTTTTATTTTTTTAAATTTTTTAAGTTTCCTAACAACATTTTCAAATTTGCCGAGGCTTTACTAGAAGATTATGAAGGGAATATCCACAAAGCTTTACCATTGATATCTAAAGAATTAATACAAGGATCGAACAAAAGAGAAGCCGAAATAAATGCTAAAAATAAAAGGTTGAAATTTAAAAATATTGTTAAGTTCATGTGATTTGTGAGTCAGAGGGGGGAATGGTCAGCCGTCAGGGGGGATGGTCAGCCAAACTATTACTGCTGCATATGCCAAGCATACTTGATTTGTAAATTTTTTCGCCTGAAAACGCTCTCGAGATACTCTGTTGGGGAAGGACAGAACCAGTTTGTGAAGAAAATTCAAAAGGCTTTTGGTATGTTGTTCAGTGTTTGAAGGGTGGAAATAATTTGGAGCTCCAGGAATAAATTTCCCCAAAAAATTCAGACTAAAACTCACGTTATGTACATATAAATTACAGTAAAAGGACCACTGACCAAGTTTCCTATAGGGTTTTTCTTTCGAAAATCCACTCAACAAAAAAATTAAATTAAAAAAAAACTTTGTCGTCTTTTAAAATTAGCCAAAAGTTGTTCCAAAGGTTTTGTTAAAAATTGATCAACCAATTTTGTAGCATAATCAACTTCCTCATCTGTTGGGATATGCCAATTTAAAGTCTGCAGCAAAAGTTATATACCAAATTAAAGCTCGATCAACTTCCTCTTCTAGCTCAGAACCGGCTGAATAAATTAAAATTTAAAAATAAATTTTAAAAAATTTATAAAAACCGTGATAATGTTCCTCAAACTTTTTAACAGCAAAATTGAAAAAACGAGGAAATTGAACTTCAGGGTGGTTCTAAAAATTAATTTTTTTAAATCTTGTTCAGTAAAACATGGCTATAGCTATTCCTCCTTCAGCTAATGCAAAAGGTTAACCGGCGACTAGAAGTGAAACAGCAATCTAATTTGAAGGGACTGGGCCATTAGGGCGCGGGGCCACTAGGGCGCGAGCTTATAAAACAGTGAGTTGTTTATCAAAAAAGATAAAATTTTGCAATAATAACTCTCGTGCCTTTATCTACGTTCTCCAAAAATTTCAGAATTTTTGATCAAGAATTTCGGAAATTGTGGCCAAAAATGTTGATTTTCCCAAAAACCCTAATTTTTCGCGGTTTATCGACTATAACTTCAGAAATATTCGATGAAAAATTCTGAAATTTCTGGAGGAGGTAGTCAATGATGTTAAAGAAAGTTGAGAAAATTTTCATAAATTTCGGTTTCGCCTATGTGTCAGTTTCTAGTGCTAGCGCCCTAATGGCCCCGCGCCCTTATGACCCCAACCCTAATTTGAACGGAGTTACCCATCACCCCACGCCACCTCCTGCATAGCCTTAGGAATTGAATGGCTATCTACTATACACTACCAATCAACTTTTCCCTTACTTTAGATTGTCCTGTAGTTTTCTTTATTCTCAAGCAATTGAACCAAATTATCAACAAATAATTTATAGGAATAAGACCACCATGTAAAAGAACCATCAAGCACTTTTTGAGCTGTTTGCCGTACTAGAGCGTATGTTGATGTTGAAAAGCGAAAGGCCAATTGAAGAGCTTCCAAATGAGTTGGAGTTAAGGGACAGACAAAGTTTTTTAAAGTGTGCAAGAACAATTAAACATTTAAGGCTTTTATAGTAAAGTTTTAGGACAGTGTGTCTAATAAAACAGAACGCCAAACAAAGGAATAAAATAGGCGTTATTTAAAAGTAAATAGAATAAACCGGAAGTAAATGTATTTTCCGGAAACATTTTCCGGAGAGTTTAATATAACTATAGTGTTATTATATTTTCCGGAAAAATTATTCCGGAAAGTTTTATTAAATGGTTATATTTTCCGGAAAATTGAATAGAATCAGTATTGTTGTATTTTCCGGAAATTTTCCGGATATGTAATATAACAAGTAATATTATATGTATTTTCCGGAAAACCTATCCGGAAACTTGTTAAATGGTTATTTGTATTTTCCGGAAATTTTCCGGAAACATTTTCCGGATACTTTAATATAACTATAGTGTTATTATATTTTCCGGAAAACCTATTCCGGAAAATATTTTTTATTGTATTTTCCGGAAGAATTAAATAGAATCAGTATTATTATATTTTCCGGAAATTATACTTTTAATATCAACTATAACTAAAACAATTCTGGAAAAATTAGAATTTAATGTATTTTTATTGTATTTTAGTAAAATCAATATAACGTATGTAAATACTCTTTATTTCTCGTTTCTTGATCGCCCTTTAAAATTTGGAGATTTTTATCTTTAATTAAATTTTTATTCCTTTTAAATTCTTTTCTAACAAATCACAGTCAAATTGATATTTATCCGCAACTCTTTTGAGAGGAAAACTTGTATTTTTAATTTAATTTATTTTTTCTTTAAATTAATTTTTAAAAATGCCCCAAGTTGTGAAACGTATTTCTCCAGAGATTGAGACACTTTCAACAATTGAAGGACTTAAGTTGATTAAGCAAAAGGTAGTAGATAATGTTTATAAGAATTAAATCAGAATTAAATCATAACGAAAATCAGAATTTAAAAATCAGAATTTAAAAATCAGAATAAAAATCAGAATTAAAAATCAGAACAATTTAAAAATCAGAATTTATAAATCAGAATTTAAAAATCAGAATAAAAATCAGAATTAAAAATCAGAACAATTTAAAAATCAGAATTTATAAATCAGAATTTAAAAATCAGAATTAAAAATCAGAATTTAAAAACCAGAATTAAAAATCAGAACAATAGAAGAACAGAATACCAGAAATTTAACAATATTTGTATTTCCGGAACATTTTTTCCGGAAAGCTGTGTTTAAGCTATAATTAAAAATGTGTTTTTTCCTGAAAGCTCTATTTTTTTGTATTTTCTCCACTTCAGACTTTTCTTCTAGGTATTTCCTGATGAAAGGGGCTTCTTCAGTGAATCTTACAATGCTCGTGAGTGGAAAGAGGCTTTAGGGTTTGATGAGCGTTTTCTGCAAGATAATCACTCATATTCAAAATTTGGAGTCATTCGAGGGTTACACGCACAAAAAGGGATGGGAAAACTTGTTTCTGTACTTGTTGGCTCGATTTTTGGTTAAAAAATAATTTTTAAAAAAATAAAAAAAACATAAATAGATGTTGCAATAGATGCACGTTTGGGCTCTCCAACCTTTGGTAAATGGCATGGTATTGTGTTGGATGCTAAGGAAAAGACTTCTTTTTGGATCCCTGATGGTTAATAAATTTAAGAATTTTTTTTTTGAATAATTTTGCTTAAATTTTTAATCTTTTAAAGGATTTTTACATGGTTTTCAGGCAAGTTAAATTTAAATTAAGATTTTCCGGAAGCCTTAAAGATAATCGGAATTATTTTTAATTTTCCGGAAAACTTAAAAACAAGAATTATTATATTTTTCCGGAAAACTCTATTTAAATAAAGATTTTCCGGAAAACGAATATTAATCATTTTCCGGAAAGCTTTATGTATATAAAACCAGAATTATTATATTTTCCGGAAAATTATATTTAAATAAATATTTTCCGGAAAACACATATTTTTCCGGTATTTCCGGAATATTGTATTTAAATGAAGATTTTCCGGAAAACACATATTTATTCATTTTCCGGAAAACTTTAGTATTTCTATAATTATTTTATTTCCGGAAATTGAAGTGAAGGTTGAATTATATGTATTTTCCGGAAATCATTTTTAATTAGAATGTCTATTTTCCGGAAAAAATAAAAACAAGAATTATAGTATGTATTTTCCGGAAGACTGTTAAATATTCTGTTGTATTTTTATTTTATTCCTTATTCAAGTGTATTTCTGAGGAGGGTGCTCACGTGGTTTACAAAGTCAGTAACTAAGTTAATAAATTTAAAAAATATTCTGATTTTAGTGTACTTCTGAGTATGATCAAGAGAAGGAATTTGGTGTTGACCCTTTTGATGAGCAGGTATTTACTCGACCTTGTAACCTTAAAATGAATTTTTAAATTAAAGATAGGCATTGTTTGGCCTGTAGTAGACAAGTCAAAATGGATGGTCAGTGAACGTGATCGAGTAAAAAATTAAAAAAATTTAAAAATTAATTTTTTAAATTTAGAAACATCCATCATTGAGCACTCTAAACGGAGTAGATAAATAAACAAAAATAATACATAATTTAGAGGTCACTTGACTTTTCATTCTTTAGCCTCACAAAAGTGTAATTGAGTTAAAAATAATTTTTAAGTGGTGATTGAATAAATATTTTCTATTTGTTTTTGTGTTTTTCTAAACAAATTTATTAATGTTTTATTCCAAGTTTATTTAAATATTCCAACTTGTTTGGCAAACATTAATTAAGCTTGTTCAAGTTTTGAAAAATGCTTCCAACTTGTTTCTCACTACAAAAACAATAAATATTAAAACAAACTTGTTTCCAAACATTAAACATTTTTTAACACTGAAAAACTTGCAGAAAACTTTCTCACAAACATTCCAACTTGTTTCCCAAACATAAAAACATTTTATACCAAATTTTAAAAGTTAAACTTTTTGCCAAACAAGTAAACATTCAAACTTGTTTCACAAACATTCTAACTTGTTTTTCCAAACATGATAGAACTTGTGTTTGTCTTAAAAACATTTTCTGAATTTCCCTCAACATTCTAAAATTGCAAAAACACAATTAATTAAAAATACAATTGTAAAAAAGTTTTTATAATTAATTGCAACTTGTTTTGTTTGTTTCTTTTCGGATTATCAAGAAAAGAAAAATGTTGCGGGTAAAGAATAGGCTGCTTTTTAACGCCAACCGGTCCTCACACATAAAAGGTATATTTTTGATTAAATAAAAGTCCGGGACGGACAGTAACACGTAAAAATAACGTTGTATTTGGGATTAATTATTTTTCTTTTATTTTTATTTCTTTCTTATTTTTTGCTATTTTTTTTCCTTGGGAAAATAGGAAAATCTTCAATTTTTCTAAGAAAAAAAATTTTTAAAAAATTCCAACAATTTTAAAAAATAATTTTATTTGATTTTTAACTAAAAACCCCGAAAATTCTCTAAGAGAAAATTTAATTTTTAAGAAAAAAATTTAATTTAGTCTCTATAAAAGCGGAAATAGGCAATATAAACTAGACAATAAAAAGATTAAAAAATGGGTGAATGAATAAATGGATCACAACACATCGCCGAAATTATATTTTTTAGCTTAAAGCCGATTTGGTGGACAGAGTTTTTGGGAGGGGATCGATTCGAAAAGCAAAGAAAATAAAATAAAAGGAAATCAGCTTTTATTTTATAATGCACTCTTTTAGGAAAATATACACAAACACACAACTTTGTTATCAGACAAAAATAGGATGTTTATTTAAATGTTTTTGTGTTTTGTTTAGAACAAAACACAAAACCTTTTTTTCTCTAATTTAATTCAAGTTTAATATTATGTTTTTGCTAAACATCAAAACTTGTTTCCCCAACATGTTTTTCCTCAACATGTTTTCCCCAGCATGTTTCCCTATTTGTTTTTCCCCAACATTTTTTTCTTCAACATGTTTTTCCTCAACATGTTTTTCCCCAACATGTTTTTCCCCAACATTTTCTTCAACATGTTTTCCTATTTGTTTTTTTCTCAACATGTTTCCCAAACACAATAAATAATTACAACTTTTTTCCAAACATTTAATATAAACATTTTCAAGTTGTTCCCAAACTAATACCTATTCCAACTTGTTTGGCAACACCCAAACATATAAAAACTCGCTTGGTAAAAACATTATTTTCTTTAAAACATTTAAACACAAACTTATTTCCAAACATGTTTTTTGCATAATGTTTCCCAACTTGTTTCCCAAACATTTTAAATTATTTATTTAATAAAATGTTTTAATAGACAAAAATGACTACAGTAAAAGACTCAATATTCGATCTAGGCCAATTCCAAATTCCCCGTCCAAAATGTATCGGAATGGAATTTGTTACTATTCGTGGGACACATTCAGGGTTCTATAGAAGCATTAATAAAAATATTGCACAAAAGTATGGACTGCAACAACGAAATTTTGAGGTTCCCTCAACTAAACGCCCAAGTATACCCGAAGAATGGACTAAAAACAACGAGGAAAGTGTGAATAAAATTAAGAATAAAAAAGAGAATAATAATGGAAGCATTCCGGAAGAGCCAGAAAATGTTCTGGAACCTTTGCCTGATTATGAAGTTGAAGGGAATGAGGGGAAGAAAGAGGGGATGGTTACTGTGGAAATTGAAATGAGGTAAAAATATAAATTTGATTTTTAAATTTTTGAAATATTTTAGAAAATAAAAAAATTTTTTTTTCAAGGAAAGATGCTATCGCTGTTAATAAGAGTGAATTGTCGCCTCCTCTTAAAGAAGAAATGAATAGAATGGCCTTGTCGAGTACACACAACAATGAAAACAAAACAAATATTAATAAAGAAAAAATAAATTGAGAGAGAAAATTGAAAATTAAAATAATTAATGCAATTTTTAAATTAATCCCATAAATGATTTTAATAAAATTAAAATATATAATAAAATTATAGATTTCCAATAAAATCACAGATTTTAATAAAGTAGGCTAAAAAATATGTTCTTGAAGTAGGGTAATGAAGAAAAAATAAATCGACGCCCCCAAGAAACCCCAACTCCAACTCGGAGGATTTTTTTTGGCAAAAACCCCGACCCGAAACCCCAAAGGCTTTGCCCCGACAAACCCCGATCCCTGACGCAAACCCAGAGTCGGGTAAAAAATACATAAATACACCCCCTAAGGATGGAATTTTTGGGAATTTTTCGACAGTTGTGTCAGAGGATGAAATTCAAATGTGAGTTTTTCAAAGAAAGGGAAAAATTTTTTGGTATTTCTAAATAAAATCAAAATTAATGAAAGATTGGAATTTGAGCGGATTAAATTATTTTATAATCCAATTGCATTCATTTTTTACAGGGTAAAGCCAGTCAATTTATTTTTAATCATAAACAACTGAACTTCATTTTACTGTACACCCTTAGGGGCTAGAAGATTTATATCTTATAGCCAGATTATTTTACGTGGGGATATCGCTTAGACATTTCTTCTCTCCCATCAAGTAGCTAAACAAATTTAAAAAGCTAAAATTGTATTGGCAAAATGTATTTTAAAATAAAGAATAGCAATGATATCGGCTTTAGTATAAAAGCCTTTGTATTATTTAGTCTCGATCTAAGTGCTTTGTTATTCTATCACTTTTTTGTTATTCTTTTCTGTATCCAAAAACTTTTAGCGATTTATTGTTAGTCATATTCGTGTTCTACATTGTTATTGTTGTTTTCTTTTTTAGTACAAATTCATTGGAGTTTAGTACCCAAAAAATTCTGTCTCTTATCCTGATTAAGCGGCACACGGACATATCGGCATTTTTCAATGTAAGAACAGTTACCCTACTGATTTCGGGACCTACGGCCAATGGGTCTTGGATTGTATATTGTCGTATTGAGGAATAGAGTTTTCATGTTTTAGTTCAAATGTAAACACGCAAGAAATTATTTTTGTCACCCTAATCCCGATATGTCCGTCCCGATATGTCCGCACACCGATTTAGCGTCCAATCGCAACTTTTACGTCCTTTCTGTCTTCACACGTCTAAACAAATTTTTATGCGTCTAATCATATTTTTGTTTTTAATCTATGGCAATAAGTAGCCGATTTTGTGTGTTACACCGGCTGAGTAGTCACGCAGAACGGGGCACTTATCAAAGGTGGGTCGGAATTCCGAGTTCCGACTTTTGAGCCATTTCCGACCCACCTCTGGTACTTATCATCATAGAGCGGACGCATAAAAATTTGATTGGACGCATAAACTTTTCATTGGACGCGTAATCTGGACAAGAGCCCCAAACTCTTTATTAGAGCTCGGACCGTACCGTACTACGGCCGTATTTTTCGGTATTTATCGGTATTCCGTATCGGTAATACGGTACGGAATACGGTACGGTAAAATTTTAAAGTTGATCGGTATTTTTCGGTATCGGTATTTTTCGGTATTCCGTACCGTTCTACGGTACGGCAAAAACTAAAATACCGATAATACCGAACGATAAAAATTTTAAATTATTATCTTATTTTAAGGGAAAATACTCTTCTTATTCTTTGATAATTTAAAAATTTTTCGCCTGCGGCGCTAAAAATATTGTTTTGAATAAAGGATATAGAGGAAATAGTAGTAATTAAAAATGGATTTAGGGGATTAACAGAGGTATCTAAGGATTACTAATGATTAAGTGGATTTGTGGGGATTAAGTGGATTTAATAGGGCCTAAGTTCAAGTCTAGGGATTAAAAGATATCTGGATTAGGGCTGGACGCAACTGAAAAAAAATTTCCGCAGCCGCATTCCGCAATTACGTCCAGCCCTGATCTGGATTGTGGATAGAGGATTTGAGGGTAATTTGGTATTAAGGTATTTGAGGGTAAATCCCTTTAGTCCCGATAAATCCACTTATATTCTCAATAATCATCCTATCCTGAATCCTCCTTAATCACTAGAAATCAAAAGAATATTACGGTACGGAATACCAAATACGGTACGGAATACCGATAAATTTTTATCGGTATTTTTCGGTATTCCGTACCGTTTTACGGAACGGTAAAATTCTGAAATACGGTACGGAATACGGAAAAGAATATGACAGAAAATACGGTACGGAATACGGTACGGTACGAAATTCCGTGCTCTACTCTTTATTTCTAAAACACTTTTTTAAATTTAATTTTTTAGTGCTCTATTAAATTTTCTTCAAAAAATGTTTTATTCTTTACCAACAGAAACAAAACTTGATGTTTTTAAATTCCTCAATTATCAACAATTACGTTCAATCAAACAAACAAATTTATATTTTCGTGATTTTATTAATAATTTTGGAGGAGAACTTGCTTTGGAGAATTTTTCTTCAATTTCTATTGTAAAAATTTTTTACTTGATAAAGTAATATTTCTGTAAATTAAGGAATATTATGGTGAATCGTTACGTAATTGTACGCAAAAACTACATAGATCCATAGTTGAAAATTTTGACTTTCCATTGAATGAGCAACTTGAAGAGAAGGTAATTAAACTGTTTTTAAAAGTAAAAAAATTTCCTTTTTGTTTTTTAGTTAAAAAATGTTCCCGTGTGCTTACGAACATTTAGAATTTTTAAAGATGGGTTTTGCTTAACTAAAGGTAAATTTCATCTTTTTTCAAATCCATATCAGTCGCAAAAAGTTTAAGCTTTTACTAGGCGGAAATTCATGGGGTATCAAGTGGAAAAATTCATGGGGTATCAAGTGGGATACTTTCCGCCTATTATACAAACGGGAAAATAGCTAATTCTTTTGACTTCAATTTTGGGTCCCCACAAAAGGACATCTGCCCCAAAAGATCAACTCAATATTTGGACGTATAAAGCAGGGGTGCGTTTAGTCTCGTATCTCGTATTTTGTGCGGCTCTGCTCACCCCTGGTATGTTTCTTATGATCAAGCATAATCACTAGAGCTGCCGTTTTCGTGTCGGACTGACATTTTTTTCAGGTCTTGTTTTTATTGGACCGGGGCCACTTTCAGGCCTAATTTTGACAACTCTACTGCTTACCCTTAATTTCCATAAATTCGTCCTAATCAGCCAATATCCATCGATATCCCCACTTGATACCCATAAATTTTTCTTGATCCGCGCAAACATTTGGAGTTGACTTCCCCCCATTTTTATACACATTTTTTCTGTAGTTTTGTTCAATTTAACGAATTTCAGTTGATGGCGGTAAAGATCGTTGTGGATTTATACTTCCAACAATTATTACAAACAAAGAGGACATCAAAATTGTTTATTATTATTTAAATAAATTATTTCATTGTTATTTCCGTCTTGGAAACTTTAAACAATTTATATTCAATCCAGAATTGATTCAATTATTATTTGGAAATTCTAAACAAGTTAAAGTTCAAAGATGCTATCTATTTATTTCAAAACACAATATTGAGAATTTATTTCAATTTATTTTTAATCATTTAGTCAGTGAACATCTAAGAATTGAACTTTGTTTATTAAAAGACATTATGGAAAAATATAAAGATAATTTATTTAAAATTTTAACAAATGGAGACAATTTTAAAGAAGTTAATTTGACAGTTTCTATGGATATTAATAAAATAATTTATGATCAGATTGTTGAAGTAATTTATATGGCACTTGTGTAGTTCCCCCCTCCCTCTTCCTCCATAAGTCCCTTCCCCCTTTTTCTTCTCTTTCCTTCCAAAAAATGACATTTAGGTCAATATTTTCATTTCAGCTTACCCTATGACGATAAATGTATTTTTGAACCTACGGGTAGTGCTGTGAGTGTGAACAGAACTCAGGGTGAGAGAGTTTTCTATTCCCAAAAATTTATCTTTATATAAAAATATCTACCTTTTCATAAAAATTTTAAAAAATCTTTGGAAGGAGTTGTCGGATTTGCATAAAATTTTTTTTAAAAAAAAGGTATTACCCTGAGCCACAAAAAGTGTTCCCAAGACAAGTTTCGAAAAAGTTCGGAACCCGGATTTTTCGAAATTTCGAAAGTCGAAATTGAAGATTAATGACCAAAAACGAAGTCAGAGCGTTTCGTCTTTGGGAGAAGAAAAATTCTCCATTCAATTCTAAATCGATTAACCGAAGCGTTTTTTTAATTTGAACTTCCCTAACGGGAGTTATTCCCGGGAGAAAAAGGTACTACCCAAAATTTTGGGGTTTTTGCGAAATTTCGACATAAAGTCGAAATTTGAAAAATATGACTTATAGTACATTTGAATCGGCTTTCGATTCTCTATCGAATGTCGAAAAAATTATGTAAAACCGATAAGCCGTTCAGGAGTTATGAAAGGCTAAAGTGCCAAATTTTGGCAAAACTTTTTATGTTTTTTGTTCCCCGTAAAAAAAGTTAGATGTACCAAATAACTTTTTCAAGTTGACGCGGTTACCGAAGTTTTTTTTCAAAAAAATTTTTTTCATGTAGTGGGTGATCTAATGTAGTTTATGGGAAAAATCCGTTTTTTTTAAATTTCGATTTCGAAATGTCGAAAAAGTCGATTTTGGCGAAATGTGGAAATTGTTTTTTCGACTTTTCGACATGATCCCGAACCCGTACGAGTTCGACCCTTCAAGAAGGTTAAATGTCCGTTAAATTCTGCGTCGTGGATTACTTTGAGGAATTCAATGAAAATATTTTCGAAGGTGTCACTTGAGTCTGAGAAGAGATATACGAGTTTTTAAGTTAAAAATTCCGATTTTTTCAAATTTCCTATTTAATTCAACTCATTACCAAAAACGCTAGAGACAGCAGTTTCGCTCCATTAAGTGGCCACGCCCCAGACGCTAGTTTTTTTGTGACACATAAATTCACAACACAGGCCACAACATAAAAAAATTATTCTCTTTATGCGTGCCTATACATATCTCCTCTCTTCTTTATAAGAAAGGAAAAGTGAAGATAAGGGGGCGGAGCTTATAAGGGGGGGGGGGAACTACACAAGTATCAGTTATATTTACAAAACAATTAAAAATAAATATAAATTTTAGTATATAGCAACATCTACAGACTGTTCAAAAATGGTGCCTATTATTATTGTTAATTTCTCTGTTCAAACAAATGTTCAAATGAGCGAATTAGCTGAAAATGTTGAAATAGAGCTAGGGGTTATTTCAAAATATACAAATTACCAAATTGCCAATATTTACAATCCAGAAGTGAGATTCTCATTTTACAATAAAGAACAACGAAGATGGATTAATCAGCCTTTTTATTCTATTAGAGTTATAATAATGAAACCCGGACATGTGCATAGTGATCCAGACTTTTACAAACACATACATCTTTGATTTTCGTGGAAATAAATATTTTTAAAAATTTTTTGGTTTTATTGTTTTATTAAATTTATTTTCATTACATGTCTGCTTAAAGTCAATTTTTTAAAAATATTTTTTTAATATTATTTAAAATAAATGACACGCCCAAGTAGGCGCGCTGCCATGTAGGCGCAAAGCCATAATCAGCTGGAAAATTTCTGGACCCTAACAATTTCGATACCAATTTCTTTAGCTTGATGAGAGGTATTGTTTAATACTGACTTTTGAAAGATTAGGAAATCTTGAAGCAAGTTGCGCTTACTTGGGCTGTAATATCAAAAGAAGTTTGGTAATTTTGAGTTTCGTTCCCCAACTTTTTTTTCTCAAAAGACACAGATTTTCTATCTTCCTCGATTTCCTTAAAAAATATTGATAGAATTAACGCACTTTTTAAGTTAACCCATAATTTAAATAAAAATAATTTAAAAAATATATATCTATTTATCCAATAAAATCATTGATTTAAAAGTAGGCAAAAAATATTTTTTGAAGGCTAAAAACAAATAAAATTAAGTAAAACAAAGAGTAAAATAAGTTGGCAGTGTTTGTGTTCGAGTTTGGCATGTTTTTATTTGAAATGAACATTTATCACAAACTAGAGTAATTTAACTATGTTTCTATATGTATGCAACATTTATTAAACTAAAACAAAGTTTCGAACATTCACTCAAACATGTTTTTGTTTTGTTCATTCAAACTTGTTTTGTTCGTTAGAAACATTTATTGAGGAATGTTTAAATGTTGATGTTTGAATGAATGTTTTAAACATTTTAAAAATGTTTTTAATGTTTTTGAAGTTTGGATGAATGTTTTAAACATCTTTAAATGTTTATGTTTTTGAATGTTTGTATAATTGTAAAACAATGTTTATTGCTATTATTTAATCATGTTTTTCTCATAAAAACATTTAATTTCAAGTTTATTTATTTGCTGTCTAGTCTTATTGCTATAGTATTATAAACTTAAGTTTGCAAAACAAGTTTTATTTTAAAAGTTTATTTGTTTTTGTTGTTTTGTCGATGAGAATCAACAACATTATTATTAAGTTTTGTTCGCAAAATACTGAAAATGAAAACATTTGATTTGTAAAGTCTAAAATAAAATTACTGATTTATTGATGAACGTGAAGGGGCGTTTTCTCTCCGACATAGACCATCTCGTATCAATTGTTCTCTAATCTCAGATTGTCTAACAATCCCCAAACGAGTTCTATAATCTCTAATGGCTGCAACTAATGGGCTTTCTTGCCTTCCCTCCTTGGCGTCCTTTGGTCTAACAGATCCGGTTGTTCGGTATCTTTGCAAAATTTTAGAAACACAGCTATGTGTAATACACAAACATCTAAAAATCAAAACATATATTTTTAAAAGAATATTTTTTTACTTGGAGATATCACAGATTTTCCATCCCGATTTGTGTAGGTCTACAATTTGTTGTCTTTCACTCATAGATAAAGGCAATCCGGGCGAGTATGTTCTTCCCAACTGATTAACACCTGAGATATAAAAATGGTCGAAACTTCAATTTAGAGGACAATAATATTCTGTCCCTTAATCTTACCCGAACTTCTACTAGCAGAAGAATCAATTTGACCAACATTAATAGCATCTATAGAAGGTTCACAAGTGTTTGTCGATAAGCCACTTAAGGGCATTAACTGTTCGCATTCATTTAATCTTTGTATTTGAGGGGATCCTTCAGATGAAGAAGAATGAGTGGAACTTGAAGGACTCTGTCCTGCGGATGGTAAAGCAAAACAACAAATGTCTGATGTTTGGTTTGTCTTTAAAGGGAAAAAGAGAAATGTTTTGTTTAATGTTTGGATGTTTTTGTATGATTGTAAAAGAATGTTTTAACATGTTTTTCTTACAAAAAATTTAATTTTGAGTTTAATTAATTCCAAGTTTATTTATAAACTTAAGTTTGTAAAATAAGTTCTATTAAAGTTTTTTTGTTGTATGAAAAACTTAAGTTTGAGAAACATGTTTTTTATTCCAAGGTTATCTATTTAATATTTGTTTACAAACTTAAGTTTGTAAAACAAGTTTAATAAATTCGAGGTTTATTCATTTGCTGTCTGTCTTATAAACTTAAGTTTATTATTATAAACTTATTCTAAACTTAAGTTTGTAAAACAAGTTTTATTAATTCCAAGTTTATTTGTTTTACAATTTTAATTATTTACAAATTGTAAAAACTTTAAAAACCTTAAAACTCAAAGAAGGCAGCGAAAACCGCCTCTCTTCGTTGGATAAAGGTAACAAAGGTTGGAGTGTTGTATAATAATGTGGAGGGGAGTAGCGGTCATTCAAGGAAGGAAGTAGGCATGTTTGTGTTGTTGTATTATTAACTAATTCTCCTTTTAAAGGACTCAGGTACATACTGACTGGCTCTAGTGTTGTAAAACAATTCTTTCTGCCCTTCAATTCACCCTGAAAAAATTTTTTTTTAATATTTTGACTTGAAAAAAATTTAATTTTGACCAAAGAACTTAAAAAATAAGCAAAATAATTAAATTATTTAATTAATTACTGTAAAATATTTTTATAAATTCCTGTTTTCCCCTCAAAAATTATGAGCAAAATATAATTTATATATATTTTATTTCCTGCTGTGGTTTACTACAAAAAATAAAAACCTCTATCTTTACTCTTATTAAACTTTTCTCATTCTTTCATTAATTTTTTTAGTCTCAAATTGTAAAAACAAATAAACAGTGCAAAACACAACATTCTTGCTGACGAACTTTTTTTTTTATTATTTTTGAAAAAAAAACTTGGAAATCATAAAAGTTGGGGTGTGCAAAATAAACTTGAAATAACGCCTGTTTTACAAACTTAATGTTTGTTTTGCTTTTGTAAAACTTAACGCATGTTTTTGTATGAAACAAACTTTAAGTTTGTAAAACAGGCGCTAAGTTTTTTTTACAATAAACAGTGGAATTTAGCGCCTGTTTTACAAACTTACCTAATGTTTATTTGTAAAGTTAACGCATGTTTTGTAAAACAAACTTTGTTTGTTTACAAAAACTTTGTTTGTTTTGCAAGATTACCTTATGTTTTGTAAAACTTAACGCCTGTTCTACAAACTTAATGTTTTTCATACAAAAATGCTGGAATGTTTGTAAAAAGAAAAATAAAACTTAACGCCTGTTGCGCGCATAAACAAAGTTGTAAAACTCAAAAAAAACTTTTTCTTGCGCACAGACATTTTTCAAAAGGGGGAATGCATGTTTTTGTCTATGTTTGTTGTTTTACAATTTAATAAACAAAAATGCTGTAAATTAAAAAAAGAGAGGGGAAAAATGTTGTTTTTGTTTTTACAACTTGCCGAATTGTGTGTAAGTGTTTTTCTCTTTGAATACATTTTTGAGTGATTAATGGCCATTTTTGGGAGGTTTTAATAATTTTTAGGCAAAATTACTAAAATATTTTTTTCCATTCTTTTAGAGGGAATAAATAAAATTAATTAATGGCTGGCAAAAATTAAAAGAAAAAATTAAGAGTGTAAAAAGAAGGGCAAAAATTAAGAGTAAAATGACCGTTTTTTAATTAAAGAGGGGAATACCTACAGATATTATTAAGTTTTTTTACCCATAAAATATTTAAATTTCATTCCAACCTTCATCCAAGCGTTAAAATCTCGTTCTAAACTTTCAGGTGTAGAAGTATCAATAATTGGTGGGGATTCTATAAAATAATTATTTGAAAGGGAGGAACTAGATGAAATTGGTGACAATAAATTTTTGTTGTCGGGTTCGGGTTCAATTTTTATTTGACGTAATAAAGGTGGCGGTTGTTGTTGGCCAGCGTCAATCGGCATGGACTACCGCTAGTCTTTAATAATATTGTTTACATTAAAACTTGTCAAGTTTTTAACTCAAGTTTATAATAAACAAGGAAAAAAACAAATTGTAAACTTAAAAACTTAAGTTTGTGAAAATATAATCTTAAGTTTGCAAAATTTAAATAAACTTGGTTAAAACTTAACGCCTGCTAATAGACCAGGTAAATTAAAACTTTTCTTAAGTCTGCGATAATATAAAACTTAGAAACTTAAGTTTGTAAAAGTTTATATAAACTTTAGTAAAACATGCTTGTTGAACAAAACATCTAGGCAAACAATGTTTTTAAAACTTGTTGTCTTAAAAAATTAAAACATAACAAACATATAAAAACAAGTTTTAAAAACAAAACAAGGAACTAAAACAATGTTCATTTAAAATAAAACAATGTTTATTTAAAATAAAACTTAACGCCTGCTTCAAAACAAAACTTGACCAACTTAACGCCTAGAAGAAAAAATGGAAGTGGCACAATTTCGAAAGAAAATAAAAACAAATTTAGTAAGAGGACTTTAACTAAAATAAGACGGGAATATTTATATTTTATTAAAATGAAGAAAAGTTGGGTAAAAGTTATAAAAAGCAAAAAAAATAAAGGCGGCAATAGAGAGAAGAGAGAGAGAAGGGGGGAAAGGAGAAGGAAGGGAAAAAGGTTTCCGCGCAGGCAAATTAATGTTTCTGTTTTACTGCAGAAAAATGCTGTTGTGGTTTGAAGACTAAAAAATGATGGCCCCATATAAATATATATTTATGAGAGAAATATATATAAGAAAAAAAATTTTTTTCAGAAAAAAAATTTTTACTAGACCGGTTTTTGAGGAAAAAATTCTTAAAAATCCCGCAATGAACGGATACTTTTTTTAATTAATTTAAAATTAATTCTTTTCTTTTTACATTTTTTAGCAAGTAAAATTGATCTTTATTTCTATTGCCAAATTTACGTAAAAGGGTAATTTTGGTGATTGAAGGGAAATAAAAACTTATAAAATAATATTGGAGTTTAAAACTTATTTAAGTTTAGACTTAAAAATACAAACTAAGTTTATTCAAATAAACAAGGAAAGACAAGTTGTTAAACTTAAAACAAACTTTAAGTTTGTGATAATATAAAATTTGAAAAACTTAAGTTTGTAAAAGTTGATATAAACTTGAATTTTGTAAATAAAACTTAGCGCCTGCTGAACAACAAATAAACAAGGAAAAACAAGTTGGTAAACTTAGAAACATTAGGCAGACTTAAAAAGTTGGTAAACTTAAAAAAAGTTGGTAAACTTGAGTTTGAGTTGAGTTTGAGTTTGCAAATTTAAATAAATTTGAAACTTTTGAGAAAAAACATTTAATCGAGACAGATTAAAAATTGAATTTGCAACAAAAGAGAAAAATAAAAAATTAATTTATTTAAACTTTAACAAAATTGCAATTATTTATATTCATGCCCTCAGGCAATATTTTAATTTTTAAATTAAAGTAATTGCAAAAGTATAAATTATATTTGAACATTGTTGTTTATAGTTTAATTAAGAAAAAAACAAGTTGGAAAACTTAAAAAGTTGGTGAACTTGAAAATTAAAGCTTGACTTAAGTTTGTGATTTTTCTAAACTTTTTATTTAATTTGAACTTACTTTTATATAAGTTCTAGTGTAAGAGCTAATTGTAAAGAATTTTTAGAAAAATATTTTTATTAAAGATCGACTCAATAATTAAAAAAACAAAATTAAAGCTATAGCCACGTGAAAAAAATTTTTTTGGATTGCGCGATCAAAAAGAAAAAATAAAAGAAAAGTGTAAAAGCTTAAGAGGAAGAAAAAATAAGGAGAGGGGGGGGGAGAATTATTTAATAAATATATCCTTATATAATTCTTAAATTGCATCATTTGCTCAAAAACTTGTTAATTTCTGGCTTATTCATTCACTAAAAAAAAAAATTTTTTTTGGATGTTTTTGGGGAAAAATTTAAAAAAAATAAAAGAAAATTGATAATAAGGGGGAGAAGAAAATAATAATAAAATAAAAATATTGTTTAAGAAGGTGCTAATTTAAATTTATTTTGGCCGTCATTATTTAAAAGAGACGAAACGATATAAAATGAAATATGGAGGAAGAAAAATTTTTTGAGTTTTTTTGTATTTTTTTAAATTTCTTTTTTGGTGTTTTTTGAAGAAAATTACGTAAAAATATGATGATTTTTGTTAGTTTTTCGCCCACAAATTTTTTAAGGAAAAAAATAATTTTACCATTCAGAGTCCATTTTGTAGAGAATTTTAAGCTCTATCTACTCGTCTTTAGATGAAATTAATTGGTTCAACTCTTGACGAGTTATACCGATTGAAGTAAGCCTATACCTAATGAACTCAGGTCAAGTTTTCTTCAATAACTTTTTTATTTAAAAATTTAAAATTTTTATTTTAAACGGGTTTTGTAGAGAATTTCAAGCTCTATCTAAAAATAAAAAAATTTTTTTCGAAAAAAATTTTTTCAAAAAGTTATGGAGCCAAAACTCAGTGTTCACCCTCTCATGTCAGTAAGAATCACAACAGAGACAACGAAGCAAAAATAAAAAAATTTTTTCTTCACTTTATTTTCAACTTTCCCAAAAGCCAACCACAACTCTTAAAAAATAATCACATGATTTTTTTATAAAATGGGCTACTTTAGTAAATTAATTTTCTAGAAAAGTGCGCGGAAATTGCAGGTAAAAATAAATTGCTTTAAAGGAAAGTAAGGGAAAAAAGCTTTCAATTAAGTCGACGCCTACAGATTTAATAAAATAAAAGGCCAGAAAAAACAGGATTGGAGAGTTAAAAGATTGGGAGATTATAAAAAATGTTAAAAAAATATTTGATAAATACCAAAGAACGGATTGAGAGAAAACGTGAGTTGGATTTTAGGTTTGAGTGCCCCGTCCCACACCTGATATATACAGAACAATGTTAGGGAGGCTACGGACATATAGGGACGGACATATTGGGATATTTATATGCGAACAGCTACCCAATTGATTTCGGGATCTACGGCCACAGGGTCTTAGATAGTACATTACCCTATTTAAGAAAAGTTTTTATACTTTAGAACCAACGTAAACACACAAGAGAGTATCTTTCTCATAGGAGTTCCCCCATAAGAATATCTTCCAAAGCTTCAGTTGGTGTGGTTCTGAGGGTGTTTGACTCTTCCAGAATAAATGTCAGAATAAAAAAATCAGGATTAAAAATTAGAGAGAAGATACGCCTTCGCCTAGAGCCGGAAAGTTTAATAATTCCCCTTGTGTTCCTTTCCTTTCCTTTCCCCATCAAAAAAAATCGAGAACATCCTAAAGAGAAGGAAACTTGAAGGAGAAAAAAGCATTCACAAAATTAACTCAAATTTTTTTATTCCAACCTTGAAGCAACAAATAAATACTAAAAAGTAAAAGTACTTGAAAAGGAGTATAATCCAAAGCATAGAAAAATAAAAAAAATACAAAAAATTTGGGTTAATCCTCTCCATTTCCCTTTTTTAATTGTTTGGGAATGTAAAACAATTGGAGGGATTGGGGGGAAACAAGCTAGTACTAAACTTTTTTTTAATTTTTATTGAAGAGATTTTTAAAGGCGCATAATTAGTCGAGAATAAGTCGAGAATGAGAGGAGGGGGATGTTCTGATCGAGTTAAGTTAAAAATTGGAACTGAAAAAAATCAGAAGAAAAATCATTCTCATAGGAAAAGGAAGATCAGAAATAAAGATGAGAATAAAAATCAGAATTTAACGGAAAATAGAGCACGAATCTCGATTAAAACCAAGTTTGCAAACCTTGGAAAGCAAGAAAAAAAATTTCGGAGGTTGATCTTGATTGGTAATTGATAAATTAAATCCTGACCAAGCTCCATTGTAAACACTAAGCTTTAACTAATTTTTTGTATCACAGACTTAATTAATTATAAAAACGGTAAATAAAGGTTTAAACTTTTTTTAATGTCCTTACTCAAAAAAGGAAAATGCACTTTCACAGAGGCTTATATGTAAGTGAAAAATAAATTATTAGAGGATTATAGCCGCAGCAAAAAATATATTTATTTATTTATTTATTTATTGTGCACAGCAGCGGTTTTTGATCTGTCGAGAGATGGGTAAAATGACGAGTTGGGCCGAAAAAAGGAGCCGACGGAAGCTATAAAAGGGATAAAGAAGATATTTAGAAAATCAAGGGAAAATTTAGTAATAAATAAATAAATAAAAGGGGAAGAGAAAATGATTGGAAGAAAATATATCGAAGAGAAAAACAGGTTTAATTAAAAATGAAAAATATTAAAGATTATTATTTTTGCCTAGAGAAGAAAAAGTTTTTTTGCTGCATTTTTGTAAACTTTAAGTTTATAATAGTTAATATAAAACTTAAGTTTGTAATTATATTAAACATTTTCCGGAAAATGTTTTCCGGAAAGATGAGACAATATATTTAGTATTAGGAGAATAATTAAAAGTTTTCCGGAAAGAGAAAATAATATCTAATATTCCGGAAATTAATTAAATTTTCCGGAAAATAATTTTAAAATTCCGGAAACGAATTAAAACTCTTCTTAAACTTTTTAAGTTTCCGGAAAATTAGTAAAACATTCCGGAAAATGTCGTTATGGAAAATCGATCCGGAAAAATATTGAGCTGTCCAAAAAAGAAGTAAAATATTCCGGAAAATAATTAAAATATTCCGGAAAAAGACTATTTAATTTATACGGAAATTGTCTGCAGTATTTCCTCAAAATGTTAAATGACTAAAAACCTTGACAAAATAAATACTTAAATTCAAATTTATTCTCGTATATTTAATTAAATCTAGAAAAAATTTTAGAAAAATTGTAGAGAATGTTTTTTGAGTTAAACAAGATAAAATAAAAATTTTGCTTCCAATCTGCTTATCAAACACTTTTAACTGTTGCATAAATCCAGTGACATCTCAAAGAAAAAAAATTTTTTTAATAATTTTATTTTTTAATTACCCAATCATGCCTTTTTTGCTACCATGTAAAGCATCATTTAATTCCTTTATGGACAATTTATTTATGGGACGATCAAAAATACGTGCAGCTATAACCAGTGGAATTTCCTAAAAATAATTTTTTAGTTCCGGTAAATTTCCAGAATTCTTCAGGAAAATTTTTTCCGGAAAAATTTTTTTTTAATTTTTCCGGAAAGAAATTTTTTGCAATTTTTTCCGGAAATTTCCTGAAAAAATTTCCTGAAAAATTTTTCCGGAAAAATTTTTCTTCCGGAAAAATTTTTTTTCCCATTTTTTCCTGAAAAAATTCCGGAAAGAAAATTTCCGAAAAATTTTTATTTACGAAAAAATTTTTTTTCTTCTTACCCCTCCAGAACGTGCTCTGCTACTGATGAAAATATCCCACAATTGCTCTGCTCTACTCGAATTCTAACATTGTAAAAATAAATAAAATTATAAATTTTTTACAATTTGAGTAAATTGAAGCATTTGCCTGGTCGAGAAAAGGTAGAAGCTCTTCTTTTGTTGGAAGGCACACACGCAAGGAAAGGTCATCATACGTTCCGGCTGGCAATCCTTAAATTTAATTTTTAATGAATATTTTTGAAACACAATGTAATATTCCGAAATGAAAATCGAACCGGAAAGGTATTTAGTATTTCCGGAAAATTAATTAAAGGAGATAATAAAGTATATGTATTTCCGGAAAAGAACTAGACTTTCCGAAAATACGTACTATTTTTTCCTGAAAGTTTAGTTCTTTTCCGGAAAGGTATACCTATTTAATTTTCCGGAAAATAGAATACTCGTTCAGGAAAATAATATACCACTTTCCGGAAAATAAATATTCGTTCCGGAAAATTAATTAAAGGAGAGAATATATGTATTTCCGGAAAAGAAATAGACTTTCCGGAAAACGAGTATACTATTCTATTTTCCTGATAGTTCTTTTCCGGAAATGGTATATAAGTTTTCCGGAAAATGAAATACTCGTTCAGGAAAATAATATACCACTTTCCGGAAAATAAATATTCGTTCCGGAAAATTAATTAAAGGAGAGAATATATGTATTTCCGGAAAAGAAATAGACTTTCCGGAAAACGAGTATACTATTCTATTTTCCTGATAGTTCTTTTCCGGAAATGGTATATAAGTTTTCCGGAAAATGAAATACTCGTTCAGGAAAATAATATACCACTTTCCGGAAAATAAATATTCGTTCCGGAAAATTAATTAAAGGAGAGAATATATGTATTTCCGGAAAAGAAATAGACTTTCCGGAAAACGAGTATACTATTCTATTTTCCTGATAGTTCTTTTCCGGAAATGGTATATAAGTTTTCCGGAAAATGAAATACTCGTTCAGGAAAATAATATACCACTTTCCGGAAAATAAATATTCGTTCCGGAAAATTAATTAAAGGAGAGAATATATGTATTTCCGGAAAAGAAATAGACTTTCCGGAAAACGAGTATACTATTCTATTTTCCTGATAGTTCTTTTCCGGAAATGGTATATAAGTTTTCCGGAAAATGAAATACTCGTTCAGGAAAATAATATACCACTTTCCGGAAAATAAATATTCGTTCCGGAAAATTAATTAAAGGAGAGAATATATGTATTTCCGGAAAAGAAATAGACTTTCCGGAAAACGAGTATACTATTCTATTTTCCTGATAGTTCTTTTCCGGAAATGGTATATAAGTTTTCCGGAAAATGAAATACTCGTTCAGGAAAATAATATACCACTTTCCGGAAAATAAATATTCGTTCCGGAAAATTAATTAAAGGAGAGAATATATGTATTTCCGGAAAAGAAATAGACTTTCCGGAAAACGAGTATACTATTCTATTTTCCTGATAGTTCTTTTCCGGAAATGGTATATAAGTTTTCCGGAAAATGAAATACTCGTTCAGGAAAATAATATACCACTTTCCGGAAAATAAATATTCGTTCCGGAAAATTAATTAAAGGAGAGAATATATGTATTTCCGGAAAAGAAATAGACTTTCCGGAAAACGAGTATACTATTCTATTTTCCTGATAGTTCTTTTCCGGAAATGGTATATAAGTTTTCCGGAAAATGAAATACTCGTTCAGGAAAATAATATACCACTTTCCGGAAAATAAATATTCGTTCCGGAAAATTAATTAAAGGAGAGAATATATGTATTTCCGGAAAAGAAATAGACTTTCCGGAAAACGAGTATACTATTCTATTTTCCTGATAGTTCTTTTCCGGAAATGGTATATAAGTTTTCCGGAAAATGAAATACTCGTTCAGGAAAATAATATACCACTTTCCGGAAAATAAATATTCGTTCCGGAAAATTAATTAAAGGAGAGAATATATGTATTTCCGGAAAAGAAATAGACTTTCCGGAAAACGAGTATACTATTCTATTTTCCTGATAGTTCTTTTCCGGAAATGGTATATAAGTTTTCCGGAAAATGAAATACTCGTTCAGGAAAATAATATACCACTTTCCGGAAAATAAATATTCGTTCCGGAAAATTAATTAAAGGAGAGAATATATGTATTTCCGGAAAAGAAATAGACTTTCCGGAAAACGAGTATACTATTCTATTTTCCTGATAGTTCTTTTCCGGAAATGGTATATAAGTTTTCCGGAAAATGAAATACTCGTTCAGGAAAATAATATACCACTTTCCGGAAAATAAATATTCGTTCCGGAAAATTAATTAAAGGAGAGAATATATGTATTTCCGGAAAAGAAATAGACTTTCCGGAAAACGAGTATACTATTCTATTTTCCTGATAGTTCTTTTCCGGAAATGGTATATAAGTTTTCCGGAAAATGAAATACTCGTTCAGGAAAATAATATACCACTTTCCGGAAAATAAATATTCGTTCCGGAAAATTAATTAAAGGAGAGAATATATGTATTTCCGGAAAAGAAATAGACTTTCCGGAAAACGAGTATACTATTCTATTTTCCTGATAGTTCTTTTCCGGAAATGGTATATAAGTTTTCCGGAAAATGAAATACTCGTTCAGGAAAATAATATACCACTTTCCGGAAAATAAATATTCGTTCCGGAAAATTAATTAAAGGAGAGAATATATGTATTTCCGGAAAAGAAATAGACTTTCCGGAAAACGAGTATACTATTCTATTTTCCTGATAGTTCTTTTCCGGAAATGGTATATAAGTTTTCCGGAAAATGAAATACTCGTTCAGGAAAATAATATACCACTTTCCGGAAAATAAATATTCGTTCCGGAAAATTAATTAAAGGAGAGAATATATGTATTTCCGGAAAAGAAATAGACTTTCCGGAAAACGAGTATACTATTCTATTTTCCTGATAGTTCTTTTCCGGAAATGGTATATAAGTTTTCCGGAAAATGAAATACTCGTTCAGGAAAATAATATACCACTTTCCGGAAAATAAATATTCGTTCCGGAAAATTAATTAAAGGAGAGAATATATGTATTTCCGGAAAAGAAATAGACTTTCCGGAAAACGAGTATACTATTCTATTTTCCTGATAGTTCTTTTCCGGAAATGGTATATAAGTTTTCCGGAAAATGAAATACTCGTTCAGGAAAATAATATACCACTTTCCGGAAAATAAATATTCGTTCCGGAAAATTAATTAAAGGAGAGAATATATGTATTTCCGGAAAAGAAATAGACTTTCCGGAAAACGAGTATACTATTCTATTTTCCTGATAGTTCTTTTCCGAAATGGTATATAAGTTTTCCGGAAAATGAAATACTCGTTCAGGAAAATAATATACCACTTTCCGGAAAATAAATATTCGTTCCGGAAAATTAATTAAAGGAGAGAATATATGTATTTCCGGAAAAGAAATAGACTTTCCGGAAAACGAGTATACTATTCTATTTTCCTGATAGTTCTTTTCCGGAAATGGTATATAAGTTTTCCGGAAAATGAAATACTCGTTCAGGAAAATAATATACCACTTTCCGGAAAATAAATATTCGTTCCGGAAAATTAATTAAAGGAGAGAATATATGTATTTCCGGAAAAGAAATAGACTTTCCGGAAAACGAGTATACTATTCTATTTTCCTGATAGTTCTTTTCCGGAAATGGTATATAAGTTTTCCGGAAAATGAAATACTCGTTCAGGAAAATAATATACCACTTTCCGGAAAATAAATATTCGTTCCGGAAAATTAATTAAAGGAGAGAATATATGTATTTCCGGAAAAGAAATAGACTTTCCGGAAAACGAGTATACTATTCTATTTTCCTGATAGTTCTTTTCCGGAAATGGTATATAAGTTTTCCGGAAAATGAAATACTCGTTCAGGAAAATAATATACCACTTTCCGGAAAATAAATATTCGTTCCGGAAAATTAATTAAAGGAGAGAATATATGTATTTCCGGAAAAGAAATAGACTTTCCGGAAAACGAGTATACTATTCTATTTTCCTGATAGTTCTTTTCCGGAAATGGTATATAAGTTTTCCGGAAAATGAAATACTCGTTCAGGAAAATAATATACCACTTTCCGGAAAATAAATATTCGTTCCGGAAAATTAATTAAAGGAGAGAATATATGTATTTCCGGAAAAGAAATAGACTTTCCGGAAAACGAGTATACTATTCTATTTTCCTGATAGTTCTTTTCCGGAAATGGTATATAAGTTTTCCGGAAAATGAAATACTCGTTCAGGAAAATAATATACCACTTTCCGGAAAATAAATATTCGTTCCGGAAAATTAATTAAAGGAGAGAATATATGTATTTCCGGAAAAGAAATAGACTTTCCGGAAAACGAGTATACTATTCTATTTTCCTGATAGTTCTTTTCCGGAAATGGTATATAAGTTTTCCGGAAAATGAAATACTCGTTCAGGAAAATAATATACCACTTTCCGGAAAATAAATATTCGTTCCGGAAAATTAATTAAAGGAGAGAATATATGTATTTCCGGAAAAGAAATAGACTTTCCGGAAAACGAGTATACTATTCTATTTTCCTGATAGTTCTTTTCCGGAAATGGTATATAAGTTTTCCGGAAAATGAAATACTCGTTCAGGAAAATAATATACCACTTTCCGGAAAATAAATATTCGTTCCGGAAAATTAATTAAAGGAGAGAATATATGTATTTCCGGAAAAGAAATAGACTTTCCGGAAAACGAGTATACTATTCTATTTTCCTGATAGTTCTTTTCCGGAAATGGTATATAAGTTTTCCGGAAAATGAAATACTCGTTCAGGAAAATAATATACCACTTTCCGGAAAATAAATATTCGTTCCGGAAAATTAATTAAAGGAGAGAATATATGTATTTCCGGAAAAGAAATAGACTTTCCGGAAAACGAGTATACTATTCTATTTTCCTGATAGTTCTTTTCCGGAAATGGTATATAAGTTTTCCGGAAAATGAAATACTCGTTCAGGAAAATAATATACCACTTTCCGGAAAATAAATATTCGTTCCGGAAAATTAATTAAAGGAGAGAATATATGTATTTCCGGAAAAGAAATAGACTTTCCGGAAAACGAGTATACTATTCTATTTTCCTGATAGTTCTTTTCCGGAAATGGTATATAAGTTTTCCGGAAAATGAAATACTCGTTCAGGAAAATAATATACCACTTTCCGGAAAATAAATATTCGTTCCGGAAAATGAACAAACTTTCCGGAAAAATTATTTCAATATATATTTTCCGGAAAATTATTTAGAAAAATAATAGACTCTATTCTATTTCCGGAAAATTATTTAATCTTTCCGGAAAGTTTAAAAGAAATAATAACAAATTCTCATGCCTTGAGCACTGCATTCAGCAGGTTTGTTTCCTTTGAAAATTTGAATAAAGCTTTTGAGTGATCCTCCCATAGTTTTACAAATATCACAATGGACACTGAAAACATTAAACAAATAAAATAAATCTTTAAAAAATTTAACTCACCAAGAACCTATTCCCCCACAATTGTCTTTATCCGGATTAACACAGCGTTCAGGCTTGCCGTGAATGCCGATTCTTGTCTCAACATGGACATAATATTTTTTGGAGCCGTCCAGGCCTGGTTGGTTTACCTAGACAAGGAAGATACTTAAGAAATTCCCTCTCAAATACCTCCACTTTCCCTCCACTCATTTGGAAGCATTTATGACCTGCGCTGTCTGTTTCCTCCTTAAAATTAACTCCAGTAGACTTGTAACTTGGAAACTTTATGAGCATATTGTTCTTGTTTGGGCCTGTATTTTAGTAAAAAAAAAATTGTTTTTAAGTAGACTAATCCAAACCCGAAGAGGGAGAACAAGGAAAATGTCTTTCAATTTTAACGGCTATATCGGCATCTACAAAAGAAGGTAGGAGACCGGTTGATATGGTGAACAATAAAATTGTTTGTAAAAATATCAGCCGATTAAAAGCCATTTTTGTTGATGTTCTCCGTTTTGGAGAGAGTTGTGGTGATGTGTTAGCAGAATTCTCAGTTGTGGAAATAATGCTTTTCCTTTTTCCTTCCTGTTTCATTTTTCTATATAATGTGAATTGGAATAATAATTTTTTATTAGGGAGATAGTATGGAAAATTATAAGGGTAAAGTTTTATTTTATCAAGTTTATAAACTTAAGTTTATAAGTTTAATATAAAACTTAAGTTTATTAAACTTTTCCGGAAACAATGTGTAGTTTGTTTTTAATTATTGTTTCCGGAAACTTAAGTTTGTCAAATATTTTAATATAAAACTTAAGTTTGTGAAGCATTTTCCGGAAACAATTTTAAACATGTTTCCGGAAACTTAAGTTTATTAAACATATTCCGGAGTTTTCCGGAAACGACGTGTGATTAGTTTAATGTTTCCGGAAAATAATTAAAACATTCCGGAAGCAAATATATAGTTTTCCGGAATTAGATAAACAACAGTGTAATACGGAATTTCTATTATATTTTAAACAATAATTAAAAGGTTCTAGTATGTTGCGCTAAGAGAATGATGAATAAAACAATAAAAATCAACGGTCTGTTAAAATTAACGAGGCAAGAGGCGTAATTTTATTTCATTTTTTTGCCCATAAAATTTTGTTTTTAAAATCAGTGTGAGCAACAAAAATAACAGAAAAATAAATATTGTGATTTTTACATGTATTTTTGTGATGGAACTCCTTTCTTAGAGTAATGAGGTTTTTATAAAAAATAATGCACACACAAAAATATCCAAAACCTTGAAATTAATGTAAAAAAAAGAGTTGTGTATGTGTGTGTAATAATGTAGAAAATTGCGCAGAAATGATAGAGAAGGGAAACAACTTTTTTTGTGTGTGATTGGAAGGGCGAGGGAAAAAATTAATTGACGTCGACGTCGATCTACCTATTTTATAGAGGTTTGTATGGAGAGGTAGAAATGACATGACTATTTAAAAAGGCAAGAGTAAAACTTAATTGAAGGAATAAGGAAGGTATTCACAATTGGGAGGGTTTTTAGAATTGTTTTTTATCTTCCAGTCGATGCATTCTTTAAATATTTGTAGAAAAAGCTCTTTATTTATGTCAAGTATTGTAGATGTCCTCCATTGTGATTGACGTCATTTATTAGAAAGAAATATGTTGATGGTCGAACTTTTTGTCGAGCTTTTTGGCACCTCTCAGGTCACGAGTGTTTTGCCAAGCTTATTTCATCCTTTTCAGCTCACAAGTTGTTTTGACGAGCTTTTTGCCACCTTACAGCTCACGAATTTTTGACGAGCTTTTTGCCACCTCTCAGCTCACGAGTGTTTTGCCAAGCTTATTGTATCCTTTCAGCTCACGAACTTTTTGACGAGCTTTTTGCCACCTTTCAACTCACGAGATGTTAGCCGAGCTTATTGCCCACTTTCAGCTCACGAGCTGTTAGCCGAGCTTCTTTGCCACCTTACAGCTCACGAATTTTGACGAGCTTTTTGCCACCACTCATCTCACGAGCTTTTAGCCAAGCTTATTCCATACTTTTCAGCTTTAACCTTTCCAGATCTCTCCCCATAATCTTTAACAACAATTTTAGTTTAATTTTTACATAATTAATAGTTAATGATATTATTTGTATAAATATTAGCACAAAGGTTAACTAATAAAAAGATCACACGGGAACTCTTTAAAAAAGTTTTGATTGCGCAGCAATCAAAATAATGAATCTTTGTCTTTCCCCCACTTTTATACTATTGACAGTCGAATAAAAAATAGAACCTAAAAAGTGTCATTTATAAAATTAATGATGGACGAAAAGTTAATAGGAAGGTCAAACCTCCCAGACGTGTATAATAGAGTTTGAGAAGTGAAGAAGAAAATAATAAAACGAGCCTCTAATGTAGACTCTCCCTACAAAAAGACACTTCCTATCTCGGGATAAATCTAGGATATTGTACAAAATTTATAAAATTAAGACGAGCTTTTTGCCGCCTTTTTAGATACGAGTTTAGTGACGAGCTTTTTGAACCCTCAGAAGCAACGAGCGTTTTGCAAAGCCGACTTTTTGCCCCTATTAAAGACGAGCTTTTTGCCCCCAGAAATATTTATATTAAAATTTAAACATTTAAAGATCAGATAAATTTAGGTTGTCCTAAATATATAAAAATATAAAAAAACCAAATTCAATGTTCACGACGTCGCAAAATTGCTAATAAATAAAAATACTTATGGAAGAAAATCTATTCGATTTTTCTGCACCACCACAATCTCCTTTTTAGCTAACAACATCTCCCTTCATCTATGTTTAAATAGACCGGTTTATTATACAAAAATCTCCCAAAATCATATAAAACGCTAAAATAAGGGGAAAGAAGGAAGGAAGAAGGAATAGAAGGGAGTTTGTGGAGAAGCGGGGGGATATTAAATTGTGGAAGAATAACGTTAAAGATTTGTTGTATGAATGATATCAAAAATTAGTAGTGTGATGAATCCTTAGCTATAAACTAAATTCCCCGATAATCATTTGCTTTATAATATATAATATATTTTTAATCTTCTTACCTTTTTTTTCATAAATACATATTAATCTCATACATTTATTTTAATAGAAACAATGTTTCTCTAGTTTAATGTTTTACAAATTTAATTTTAAGCGTGTTTTTGTATTTGTTTATATTCAAGTTTGTAATGTTTTTGTAGGACTAATGTTTTTGTTTGGTTTTTATTTGTTAAAGTTTGTAATGTTTAACTTGTTGTTGGTTTTCATGTTTATTGTAGTTTGTTGTATGTTTTGTTCGTTTTACTCGAATAAATTGTTCACTGTTTGTTTGTTTTTATGTTTATGTTTTGTTCGTTCAATTTTATAAAATTTTTGTCTGTTTTCAAGTTTGTGTTTTGTTCGTTTCACTTTGTTTTTGTTGTTGTGTTTGTAATGTTTAATTCATGTTTGTTTCTTAAGTTTGTAAGTTCATTATTATTAAAATGTTTTTGTCTTCAAGTTTGTTTTGTTGGATTATTACAATGTTTTTTGTTTGTTTCATTGTTCTATTATTCTTGTTTTAACTAAAGTTTGTTTTAATTTGTTCAAGTTGGTTTTAAATTAAATGAGCCGGCAAAAACATTCAACAACACAATCATGGCTACATTTTTATTCTTCCCAATTTTATATTTATTTTTATTTATTTGCCTCAATATTTTTGATATTTCCTTCGATTCAATTGAAATTTGACAATGACGAGTTTGAATTAAATTTACAGTTGATAAAGCACCAACCCTGTGCTTTTAGACAAGACAAAAGCAAATGGGAAAGAAAAGTAGAGTTTGAAGGGGGGAATGAAAAGGAAGGACCGAAATTAATTCCGAGACCAAATGAGACTAATGTAACCCTTAAAAATAATTTTTTTAATTAATTTTGAAATTATAAAGTGTTATTCAATTGGTGGTAAAGTTACTGTTTATAGTGAATTTAAAGGAGAATTCAGCATTTATTTGGAATTGCGTAGCTCAGCAAATAAAAAGGTAAATGAATTGCTAATTGTAGGCTACAAAACATAAAAACTTGAATTTTTAAACACTCGCCTTAAACAAACTTTGCAAACTTGAAAATAAAACAAAATTAAACTTAGTATGATAAACAAAACACAACAAACATTCCTTAAAAATTTCCAAACAAAAACTAATTAAATTCTGTCAAACTCAAAACAACAAACTTTACAAACTTGTTTAAACCTTTCACTACAAACTTTCACAACAAACCTAAAAACAAGAAAAACAAAGTTTGTTAAAATGTTTGTTTGCCAAACATACACTAAAGAAACAACAAATGTTTCTAAAGGATGTTTTATAATGTTTTTAAACATTTTTATGTTTTTGAATGTTTCTTAAATGTTTTTAATGTTTTTGAATGTTTCTAAACATGTTTATGTTTTTGAATGTTTCTCTAAACGTTATGAATGTTTCTCAAATGTTTTCAATGTTTTTAAAATATTTCTTACTTCATTAATTTTTAAGCAAGTCCCTGAACAGTGCAATAATCGTAGAGAAGACGGGTGTGGAGGGTTCGGTTCATGGTAATTTTTTAAAGTCTTTATTTAATTTTAATTAATTTTCAAGTCTTTATTGCGATGCCTGTCAAACACTCGAAACAAACAAAGAACTCAAAGCACAACTTCTACTAGATGGAAAGCCTTTAAGTTGTGGGGAAGGAGTTAAACCTGGGATATATGAAAATATGGAATTGGCTTTTTGTCTTCCAAATGCAGATGAAATGTTGAAAAGTCAGGGATTGACTAAAGAAACATTTAAGAGTTTAATACAATCTGAGGTAATTGAATTTTAAAAATCCTCTAATATTTTAAAATAAAAGGATGGAGGAAACAATGTTCATTCACTTGGTGTTTTTGCTACAATTTATGTTTTTGATAGGTAAGGGAATTAAATAAACTTTGTTTTTTGTTTTTACAAAAACAAGTTTTACAATTGTAAACAAAAACTTAGAAAATAAAACTTAAAACTTGAACTTAAAAAATAATAAAACTTGATTTACAAAACTTGTTTTACAATTGTAAACTTTAAAAACTTAAATTATATTGTTTTTACAAATTAAAGTTTATAGTAATTGTAAACTTAGAAATAAACTTAAAACTTGAATTTTAAACAGAAATTATAAAACTTGAATTTTTACTAATTAAATTTACAATCATAAACTTAAAACTTTGTTTTAAAAAAGTTTGAAGTTTACAAATTGTAAAAACTTAAAACATTTGAATTTATTCTTAAAGGGATGTAAGGAAATTAATGCAAACACAACAAAAAGTTGAGAATGTTTACAGAAAGTCTAAAAAATCGCTTTTTAAAGATGAACCTCTCCCTCCCGACGTGTAAGCACAAAAATATTTTAAAAATAATTTAAAAAAATTTTTTTTTTAATTTTTTCAAGTTATTGGTCACTACCTTTTAATAGTTTAATTAAAGAACAGAGAGCATTTGTTGTTTGTCACAAAATATTTGGAAATGTACAGATACGTACACAACCAATATCTTAACACTTAAGCATTTTTTTTAAATTTTTTTGTATAAAATTGAAGTTAAAAAATAAAAATTTTTTAAAATTTATTCAATTAAAATAAATTATTTTTCAATAAAGAAAAATATTGAAAAAAATAAATAATCAAATAAAAATTGTTTGGAAGCAAAAGAACTTGCATTACCATCCTACGAAGCTAAACTCAACCCCCCCCCCAATATCTTCTAAAAAATCCCCTACACTAAATATTAATTTAAAAATATTTATCTCTAGCCAAGCCAAAAACCAAAGATTTGTGCTAAATGCTCGGAAAGTGCCCGTGTCATGAATTGGTTGGGGCTGAGTAGTAGCATGTTTGCACAAATGCATCAACATTTTTGGCACAAATGAAGGAAAAGAATAGGGAGAGGCTAAAACAATAGAAGCTAAAGCTAACACACCACTGTGTCTTTGAATTCATTGTTTGGAAGAAGAAACGAGGATTGCAATACAAGTTCCCCAATATTTTTCATATTCTTGAGGTAATTTTGACAAATGTTGTTTCAATCATCCGTTTAACACTTTGTTACGCTTTTGAAATTTCCATAATTTTGAGCCACAAATCATTCCAGCAGTTATTTCAGCTGCTAATTTTTGACTACTTTCCTTTAAAATATTATAAAAAAAAACAATTTTCCGGAAAAACAAATCAGAAAAAACGTAATATTTAAATGTTTTTCCGAAGAAACCATAATTTGAAAAAATGTAATTTTGGTTTTCCGGAAAATTGTTTTTTTTTTATAATTTTTTAAAGGAAAGTAGTCAAAAATTAGCAGCTGAAATAACTGCTGGAATGATTTGTGGCTCAAAATTATGGAAATTTCAAAAGCGTAACAAAGTGTTAAACGGATGATTGAAACAACATTTGTCAAAATTACCTCAAGAATATGAAAAATATTGGGGAACTTGTATTGCAATCCTCGTTTCTTCTTCCAAACAATGAATTCAAAGACACAGTGGTGTGTTAGCTTTAGCTTCTATTGTTTTAGCCTCTCCCTATTCTTTTCCTTCATTTGTGCCAAAAATGTTGATGCATTTGTGCAAACATGCTACTACTCAGCCCCAACCAATTCATGACACGGGCACTTTCCGAGCATTTAGCACAAATCTTTGGTTTTTGGCTTGGCTAGAGATAAATATTTTTAAATTAATATTTAGTGTAGGGGATTTTTTAGAAGACATTGAAATTTAAAAATAACCCAGAAGCTTAAAACTAGTCCGAAAACAAATTTTTAACATTTTTGTTGTCCTACTTCAAGAAAAAATATATGGGCATCTCATTTAAACCTCCTATAAGCCAATAGTTTCCAAACAAAATTAAAACCAAAAAATTTTTTAAAGGCAAAAATATTCAAACTTGTGTCAAATTTTACGTTCAAGCCATTCGATAAATTAAATGAAGTCCAGAATCAGTCTCCACCTTGAAAAAATTTTTTTTTAATTCAAAAAATTCTAAAAAAATTCCCCCTTACAATGTCAGACATTTCCCCAACTTTTAAAGCAAACGAAGCATCTTCAAAAGGTTTTTGCATTTGCTTTCGGCCAAAAAATCCCAAATCTCCTTCCCTCTTTGCAGAACTACAATCACTATATTCTTTTGCAATTTTTTTGAAACGCGAAAATTTTCCTCCTCCATCTTCTGATAATTTTAACAATTCGTCACGATAAGCTGGAAATTGAAAAAAAATTTTTTGAAGGAAAGGTTGAAAAAATGAGCAGCTTAAACATTCTATCCGTTTTATTAATTTTATTCCAAAAATCCAGGGAAATTTCTAAAAAAAAATTGGGTATGACCTAAATAAAATGAGAGCTGTGACTAAAAATGTTTTTTGAAGACTAAAGTTGTCGGCTCACCAAATTTCTCAGTTAATCGAAACTTATCCGACAAACTTACTTTAATCAACAATTTTTGATCGAGTTAAAAAATCCAAGAGGAAAATTCAATCCCAAATTCATAAAAGATAAACAAAGGAAACCTATCCTACCTTGTTCAAAAACTCAACTACCTCACCCACCCCAAGTCAAACTCCACCCAATTTTCCGCCAAAAACTTTTAAAAATAAACCTTCAAGAGTAGTTTTCGCATCTTCCTTCGATCGGATAATTTTTTCACTTCTCCAACTGCTAGGATTTCTCGAGCCTTCGTGTTTGACCAAAATATGGAAACATCTAACTTTTGTTGGTTCTTTAGCAAGTTCTTGAGCATCTTTAATTGGCCTATCCCATTGACTTTTTTGTGTTAAAACATTGAAATAATATTCACGGTCTGAAAAAAATAAAATTTAATGAAGAGTAATCCCAAGTCCCAGCCCTCCTCATCCTATTTTTTCCTTGATTTACATAAAATCCGTGGTATATAATCAGTCAATATATTTAGGAGGTCAGTCAATCATTCGAATATGTTAATGAAAAATTGGGAAATTGAAGGAAGAAAGTCCGGCCATTATACTTATCAGACCCGTAGCCAGAATTTTTTTTCAGGCCCCCTACCCCCTTGGCTACGGGCCTGATACTCATCTTCAGAAAAAAATAGAGTCCATCTTACAAGACTAACTCCTTCGAGGGCAATCCCTTGTGAGCAAATGACTCTAAATCTCTGTGGAGTTTATCTTATGGACTGACTCAAAAACAGAAAGGTGAGGGGAACTAAACTTGAAATTATCCCAAAAAATGTCCAATTTAAACAAAAAAACCTGAAGATCTGCTTAAACGTTTCTCCCATCCTTTAGGTAAAGGAGGTTCACCAGCATCATCTTCATTTTCTGTAGTTGACAGTTTTCGTTTTTTTATTTGTTCGTTTGCAGACATTTTTCTGAAATTTTCAAAAATAATTTAAATTTGATCTAGAATTAAACAAAATAAAATTAAAAAAATCGAAAGAATAAAAAGGCTCAACATATTTTGTCAATAAGGGTAAAAATTGACGTTTTGTCAATAAGGCCACTGTGACAAAATGTAAACTTTCAGCCTTATTGGCAAAATATGTTTTGGCAAAATATTAACATTAACGCTTAAATCTCTTTCTCTAACTTTCTCTCCCCTACTATTTCTTCTTAAAAGAATTAAAATTAGGGTTGCTCACTACCGGTTATTAACCGGTACCCCCGGTTTTCGGTTATCGCCGGTTTTCGACCCCCGGTTTTCGGTTCCGGTTTTTGATTTACCCCCGGTTTTTGGTTAACCGGGACCGGTTTTTGGACAAATTTTCATCCAGAATATCCCATTAAGATGTTGTCACATTCTAACGCTTTTAAATAGATATTCTATACACTAGGAGCTGAATAATCTACAAATTTAAACAATTCGAGGAATTAAAGGGTATATGGCGAGATAAAGTTGGCTGATTTTGAATATTAGGAGTAATGCTGGGTATTTGCCATGTGTTGGCTCCGGCTCCGGGCTTATAAAATCTTGGCTCCGGCTCCAGTTCCGGGCTCCGGAGCCGGCAATTTTCGGAGCCGCTCCATGTTAGCTCAGGGCTCCGGGTAGAAAATCAATGAATTATTTTTCATTGGGGTGATTTTGTTAGATAAGGTGAGTGGATTAAGGACGATATCGGGTAATTAAGCTTGATTAAGGGGAATTTGGGAGAATAAGAGCTGGTAATCCATCACTCTCTCATTATCACTCGCTTTTTTCGCCGCAGGCGTAACTTTGAGAATTTTGGAAGATCCTTAAGCCAAAAATCTTCTTTTTTTGCGCCGCAGGCGAAAATTTAAGAATTTTGGAAGATACTTAAGCCAGATTTTTTCATTTTTTGCGCCGCAGGAAAAAAATGAACCGACCGTCGGCCCGACTCGAAGAAGACAATCATATTTAAAAGGACCTTTATTGAGTAAAGTTCATAAACTAAACCACTTAACCACACATCTCAAGTAATAAAACTGAAAGAAATTATATTTATCGAAAAAGAAAAGTAATGAAATAATTTGGCTAACTACATATATTTTGGGAGCTAAAATGTCCTAAAAATCACAAAAAATTCCATCTTTAGGGGTGTATCTTTAAAACCGAAACCGGGCGGTTTTGGTCACCGGTTTTCGGTTATCGCCGGTTTTCGACCCCCGGTTTTCGGTTCCGGTTAATTTGGCAAAAACACCGGTTAACGGTTCCGGTTCCGGTTCGGTTAACCGTCCGTGAGCAACCCTAATTAAAATCAAAAATTCAAAACATGTACTGGACAAAATGCCCAAGAGAGCAAAATTTGACATAATGTCAATAAGGCTGGCACTAAATTCGTCATCCTTATAAAATTTTATTTTCTTAAATTTTCTAAATTTTTTTGGCAAGTTTAGATTAAAAAGGGTTAATAACAAGTAGAGTATTAAGATTATTAATTTAATCAATATATCTTTTTTTTCAAAAAATTTTTCTTTTATTTTTTCTAATGTTTAATAGCTTCCCCATCAGCCATATTATTTTCACTATTTTTAAGTAAACGTTCTGCTTGTTGTTTATCGATAGATAAGGTCATTTTTCTGTGTTGTTCTTCTTCCTCTCTAGCGTAGGTACTGACATAACCTCCTCTTTTAATTTGCATCATTGTATGAGGTCCCAAACGAACGTTGATTTTTGCGCCCATCTAAGAGGGGGAGTATTTTTAGTGATCTTTTAACCTCAGCCTGAATCTCGATAATACGTCACTTTCTTCTTACGACAATCCAGAGGGACGGTCTAAAAACGGGGGCTCTTTTAGCTAAATTTGGCCCCAGAGATCGTGTCACTTCCATTAAGACGTCGTCTCATTTCGATTACAGAAGGTGACACGTATTATCGAGATCCGACTGACATTTTCCCTTCTTTACCTTTTCAAAAACAGTCAAATCGTCCTTTTTTGTGATACAATACCAATTGATTATTGTAAATGAAATTAACTGGAAAATATTATTTTTTAAAAACTTTCCTGGAAAAACGCACAAAAACGACGACTGCAAAAATTAGTGCTGCTACAACCGGTCCCATCATATCAATAGCATCAAATTCTTGTTTAGGCATTTTATTTGATGTTTAGGCTCTAGGAATTAAATTATTATATTACACGAATTTATTAAAATTATAGAAGTTTCCGGAATTTTCCTGAGCCAGTAAATATAAATAGTTTTCCGGAAAGAATGTATTTTCTGGGATTAATAAAATTCCGGAAAAGTATAATTTCCGGAAAAAAATTCTTTCGGGTAAATAAACATTTTCCGGTTTTATATTTCCGGAAGGAATATATCTATTTTTACGGAAGAATATATTAGCCGGAAGGAATATTAAATTTCCGGAAAGAAAATATAAAGTTTCCGGAAAGGAATATAATTTCCGGAATTTTCAAGAGAATAACATCTTAAATTCCGGAAAAATAAATAAAATAAATTCCGGAAGGAAATAGAGAGTTTTCCGGAAAATAGCCACCTAAAATAAATTTAAAGGTATAACAAACAAATACCCACTTTTATTTTTAATAAATATGTTCAACACTTTCTTTTCAATCTCTTTACACAAATGCATTTATAAATCGATTTTACTACCACTTTTGACTGGTTGTTGACAGCCACCCTATAGAGCACTCTCAAATTTTAATCTGTCACCGATAAAAAAACTTGTTTTTTCCTTTTTTATCTTTTTTCAACATTTAAAATCTCAAATTAAAAAAAATAATTTTTAATTTTCCGGTCAAGTAATTTATAAAAAATAAATTTTGAATGATTCCAAGAATTGTAACAGCAAAAATGATGTATTCAACTGTTGATAATGCTGGACCAGTTACCTCAACTCTAAAAAATAAATTGACAGAATTTTTTAAGGTGCTTCTTTAAAAGTAAAAAAAAAATAAAGGAAAAAATAAAAATGATTTTAAGGGTGGGTTTCAGGAATCCGGAAATAGGGGAATAATTTCTGGAACCAATCAAAGATAACTTTTAGTTTTCCGGAAAGAATAAATGAAATTTCGAAAAGAGTGAACAAAGCTCTAGAATGAGAAAATAAAATTCCAGAAATAAAATCCGGAAAGAAAATCCGGAAAGAAGTTCAGGAAAAACTCTTCCGGAAGATCCAGAAGGAAATTCCGGAAATAAAACCAGAAATTATTCCGGAAGGAATAAAAAATTCCGGAACTAGAAAATAAAATTCCGGAATGTTTTTCAATAAATATTAGTTCCCGGAAAGTTCTAATTATATAATTTTTGTAGCCTCAACATATCCAAGTTGAATGCGAGAGTCAATTTCATAATGTCCCCAAAGGAACGGAAAAACATTTTCGTGTCCAAATATGTTCTGACAAATTTGAAGGTTTAACACAAATTCAAAGGCAAAGAATGATAAACAAAATTTTGGCTGAAGAATTAAAAAATCAGACAATTCATGCTTTAAGAATTGAAGCAAAAACTCCAAATGAGTGGGACGGGAAAGAACAAGAAAAGGCTCCAGTTTGTTTGGGAGGTGGAAAATCTGTAAAATTAAATTGAAATTTTTGTTGTTTTTATTTATTCTGCTTGTTTTTGGATTTTATGTATTTTTGACAAAAAATAAAAATTAAATTTAAATAGAAGTTAGACTTTTTCTTAGGGGTTGAAACAAATGTTTTCCGGGATTTAAATTAATAAACTTGTGTTTTTCCGGAACATGTTTTCCGAAATAAATTACTTTTTCTGAACATGTTTTTAAGAAATTCTGATTTTACCAGAACATGTTTTAAAAATTCTGATTTTTCCTAAACATGTTTTTAAAGAATTCTAGTCTTTCCTGAACATATTTTTAAAAAAATTCTGATTTTTTCTGAACATGTTTTCTCTCAAACTAAATAAAACACAAAACAAAAGGGAATCAAAAACTAATCAAACAAACAAAAAACATTAGACTGCCTTCATCTCTCTTTTTTCCTTTCCAAGTTTCTTCCGGCATTTTAGTTACTCTCTATTCTATTAGTACACAAATTCCCAAATAGCGTGCTAATATAGCATGCAAACTATACAAGATTTTTTTGCTTGGAAAGGATTTTAGTAGGAAAGTTTATTCCTCTTTTTGCCCTTTTTAAAGATTTTTTGACCTAAAATTTTTTTGCCCTTCTTTAAGTTTTAACTGTACATTTTCATAAAATTCATCAAAAATACACCTCAAAAGCATCAAAAATATCCATTCCCTATAACCTTAAAAAATGTCCTCAACCAGCAACACAGCCCGTTCTGGAAACGTCCTTGTACTGCTCGATCTCTACACCTCAGGGTTTGCTTCATCCTCCGCCTCCCCAACAATTCCAATGCTTACCTCACTCACAATGCATACACTTTATGCAATTTCTTTGTTAATTTATTCAATAAACTCGTTATTCAATTGGATATATCTTTACAACCTTTTACAAGGATTTTTGACTTCCTTTTCCCTTCATTTTTGGTTTGTACTTGTTTTGGTAGTTGCTACTGTTTCTGGTTCTATGTTGATTATTTTACTTGTGGTTAGTTTAAAAACATTTGTTTTCATGTTTTAAAAACATTTGTTTTTCCGGAAGAAGTTCATAGAAATATAACTTCCTGAACATTTTTCCCAAAACATGGTTGAAACATGTTTTTCCTGAACATGTTTTTAAAAAATTCTGTTTTTGTTTTAGGAATATAAAACAATAAACTAAAAGTTTTCCGGAAAATGTTTTTAATAAATTCTGATTTTTCCGGAAAACATGTTTCTTTCCCTTCTAAAACCTGTTACTAAAAACATGTTATTCTGATTATACTTTTAATTAGATGCTTTGTATAGAAAATGCCTTTGTTCATCGCTTGGATGTTGCTGAACACAAAAATGGATTAGCCTTTATTTGGGAGGTATTTCCAAAGATTTTTAAAAAATTCCAAAAATTTTAAAATTCAATTTAAACAAAATAAAGGCATTTTCTGAATGGCTACAAGGCTTCAACAACTTTCGTGTTGGCTTTCTCTTTATGGCACTTCACGATGTTCCCATTTCATTAGCTAATTTTTTCTTATTAAGTGCTTGTCGCTGCGGTGGACCACAAGTAAGAGAGAAAAAACATCTTCCGGAATTTAAAATAATAAACTTTAGTTTTTCCGGAAAAAGTTTATAAAAATAATTGATTTCCGGAACATGTTTTTAAAGAATTCTGATTTTCCCAAACATGTTTTTAAAAAATTCTGATGTTTCCGCAACATGTTTTTAATAAGTTTTCCCCTTCAAAAACATGTTTATTTCATATTCTGATTAATAATTCTGATGTTTTATTTAATAAAGGTGTTGCGATGGCCATTATTCCTTTCTGTGTTTGGAACAACATTATCTCTAATTTGGAGGCTTGTTCTCTTATATTTCGCTTACTCTCGCCTTTTATTTCCTTCTAAACATGCCAACAATTCTGGTTTTCCTTCGCGTACTCAATCATTCAGAAATCAAATATTAAACGAACAAAACATTCAAACTTCTCTAGAAACAACAAATAATAACAACAACATTTCTGACGAACATTGCCCCATTCAACTATCTTCTGCCTTGTTTTACGGAACAACAAAACAAGAGGGATGTTTTTGCTTTAAATGTAAAACAAAACAAAAAACAATTTATTTGTATGAACAAGACCCTGGAGAAAAAAGATTTTTGAGTGTTTGTTGCGGGTTTTGGTTGAGTTGCTTTTCCTTTAGGGTAATTTTTTGGTAAAAATTTTTCAAAAAATTTACAAAATTTTTTAAAGGTCATTGGATTACTTTTTTCTCTCATTCGCCGAATTCTCTGCATTTTTACTTCATTAATTTTATTCACTGGATATTTATTACTTGGGTGTACTCCTTGCCTTTATTTTTACTTTTGCCGTGCTAACAGTCTTTCTAGGCGTGACAATTTGGCTAAATCACTTGTTAGACGTTGCTCTTTGTATTTTTCATTTTTTTTTTAATTTTAAAAATATTTTAGTGCCTTCCACTATTTTGTTTTGTTGACGTCTCTATTTTTTAGTATTGGCCTAATTTTCACAAATTTAATTTTATTGTCTTCTGTTCATTTATTTGGTCCAAATAATTGGCCTCCAGAAATTAGTAGAGTAAGCTTTTATTAAAAATTCCATATTTTTCCATTTTCCTTCAGCTTTGCCTTTCAATCGACCAAAATCGTCAATTAATCCACCCTATTTTATTGCCTGAACAAACTTCACTTTTATTACCTTTTTCAACAACATTAAATAATAAATTGCCGTCACAATGCAAATCTTTATGGGATTATCCCCATCCTTTACCTTTAACCTCAAAATGGACACTGGGGATGGCTAGAAGGATTCCTGGGCAATGGCAAGCTCGAATACCTTTGAAAGTTGATGGAAGCCTTATGCTTGCTGTTAGTTGTTTATATTGAGAAATTTAATAGAAAATATTTATTTTTTCGGAAGAAACTTAAGTTTTTCCGGAATATTGGACTTCCGGAACATGTTTTTGTTTTCAGAAATTAAAATAATAAATTTAAGAGTTTCCGGAAACATGTTTTTGTGATAATTATTTATTCCGGAAAATGATTTTAAAAAATTCTGACTTTTCCGGAGTTTAAAAAATTCTGATTTTCCGGAAAATGTTTTTAAAAAATTCTGATTTTTTCCGGAAATGTTTTTAAGAAATTCTGATTTTTCCGGAAAATGTTTCTAAAAATTCTGATTTTTCTGGAAAATGTTTCTAAAAAATTCTGATTTTCCTAAAATGTTTTTAAAGAAATTCTGATTTTTCTGGAAAATGTTTCTAAAAAATTCTGTTTTTCCTAAAATGTTTTTAAAGAAATTCTGATTTTCCGGATCATGTTTATTTCCTTTCAAAAACATGTTTTTCTCCCTTTCTCAGGTCAGTACCCACTTCATTTCCAACTACACTCAACAACGCTCTCCCCAACATTTTATCTTCTATGATTACGCTCTCCTTAAATTTGGTTCAAACTCTACAAAACCTATTGAATGTAACAGACAAAAATATTCTGGATGGTTGTTTACAAGCAGTAAATCCCTTCAATTAGGCTTCCCCTATTTTCTGGCTTGTTCTCCCAGTATTTATTTTAGAAAGGCGGCTTTAATTGACTGTAATACTTTGACTAGAAGATTATAAATAATTCACAAAAAAAATTAAATATTTTTGTACTTATAAAATTAATTATTTTGGAGATGAAAGACATTTTCTAAAAAAATTTTTCTTATTAAATTCTTCGAGACCCGGATTTATTCTTTTATTTATTTTCTCATTTTTTGCTTCACTTTTCTCAAAAAATTTTTCTCTTCAGCTTTTCACCCTTCAAGTGGGTGTATCTCCGCAAATGGTCTGTCTGCTCAATATCGGTTGTTAAAGGAGGAAAATTGGAGGAGCAAGGGAAGGAGTGTTGTGTTGATATGTTGAGTTTAGGGTGTCATGGCTGTCCTTTTTTAAAGCCTTTAAAACAAAAGAAATTTGTTTTAGAATTTTTAAAAATAAAAAAAGAACCGTAAATGAAGGGGTTGAGTAGGGTGTTGAGAAGAACACAAATACGCATCTTGAAAAAATTTTTTTTATTTTTTTATTTTAAACTGCTTATAGATTTTTGACTATTTTTTTATCGAAAAATTTTTTTTTAATTTTTTCTGAAAAAAATTTTTTTTATTCTCACCAATTCCAAATGTACAGAAATTGTAATTTGCAAGTCTCGTGAGAAAAAGGTAGCTAATGCCAAAACTTTAAAAAAATTATTAATTTTATTTTTAATTTAATAAAAACCATTATAAGGTAACCAACATATCAAATATGCAGCTATTACATGAATAGTTGTTTGAAATATACGAGAACGCATTTCTAGTCTCCAGGCGGGTACTTCTACAATATTTGAGAAAAAGTTTTTTTAAAATTAAATTAGAAAAACATTTTCCGGAAGAGTTTAAAACATCTTTCCGGAAGGAAGTTTAAAAACATTTTTCCCTTAAAAAGAACAATATGAACATCTTCCGGAAAGGGAAAAACATTTTTCCCTTAAAAAGAACAATATGAACATCTTCCGGAAGGGAAAAACATTTCTTCTCCTAAAAACAACGATCTGAACATGTTCCGGAAGGATTACAACCTTCGAAAAAATAAATAAACATCTTCCGGAATTTCCTGAATCTTTTCTCTTACTAAGTTTTTTTGATGGTTGAGCACAAAGAAGGTTAGCATTAGCTAACGTCGAATCACCCCCACTTAACTGACATGCTGGTGAAACAGAAGATTCTAAAGTCGTGCTAGGCCAAATACTTGAACTGAATAAATTATTTAAATAAATTTTAATTAATCTTAACACACTTTTCATTACACATGTTTGGGACAACTAAAAGTGTGCTGTTGTAATTTTCGTTGTTTTTACTGATGCTGCTTCGATTTAAATGTACGCTATTTAAAGGGTGTTGGTCAAAAGATGGCCTAGAAAACACGGAGGATGGTGCTCCTGCTCCTGTAGTTGTGGTAGAATAAAGTGAAGCAGCTGAAGGTCGAGCGGTGCTAGGCCTTAGGGAGTACAGAAACAAAAATAAAACAATGTAAACATAAGCAGCGAGAATTGCTAGAAAGGGCAGCCAAAATACGGTGAGTAAATGAAGCAAGGTGTAAATCTTTTCTCCGGTGAAGCTTTCCTTTAATGAGTTTTATTATTTTCCGGAAAACAAGTTTGTTTGTATTTAAGTTTACGAAACATTTTAAGAATGTCCAAATCGATAGAAACAATGTTCAGATTTCTTAAAACATGTTCTTCCGGAAATGTTTATAAACAATGTTCATTAAACATTTTACGAACCAAACATTTTCCGGAAACTTCTATAAAAACATTTTCCGGAATTGTTTGTAAAACATTTTACAAGACACCAAACATTTTCCGGAAAGTTTATAAAACATTTTCCGGAAAATTTAAATTTTCCGGAATGTTTGCAAAAACAGTTTTTCAGAGCAACAAACATTTTCCGGAAACTTTTATGTAAACATTTTCCGGAATGTTCACAACAGAAAACTCACTGTTGGTTCGCCCCCATGAATGTATTCAATTGCACGTATTTTATGCCAAATAGTAGTGCATTGTGACCTGATAAAATTTTTTCTATTTTTTATGGAACCGTTTTTGTATTTTTTACCAAGTTCGCATATCTATTGTAGTCCACACAAACCATTGAGGAACAGAAACTAGAGCAGCACCAACATAAGAAAGCAGAATTAGACGCTGAAAGATTATGATGGTGAGTCGCTGCAAGCAGGATATAAATAAATGGACCGGCCCCTAGAAACAAATTCATTTACCTTAACAAAACGTATTTGTCTAGAAGCAACAGCTCCAGCCATTTTTCCTGTTTTTTCCATTCTCATAAGTCCGTAAACTGTTCTAAGCCGGTCTAAGGCTATGCTGAGAACGCCAAAAGACATTAAATGGAAGCAAAAATCCCTGGAAAAATTTAAAACGAAATTTCGAGAAAAATACGAAATTTCAAAAATACCAGCTGTACTGCATTGCTTTGCAGAGAAACTCCCCGGCACTCCAAGTGTAACCAACTAACCAAGCAATATGTGAGGGACAGTAACAGAGGATGACTAGCAAGTCAACAACAGTCAAATGTAGCTTTAACCATAGAAAATTGGTTCGGGTAACTTCTTGCTACAAAATAAGGAAATTTTACATTGAAGTTTGTTGAAAGATTGAACAGAAACAACGTTCAACTTTCTCTAAAACATGTTTTTCCGGAAATGTTTATAAAACAAAAACATTTAAAAAAAAAAAAAAAACACCAAACGTTTTCCGGAAATATTTATTTTGTATGACTTTTTTTTAATTTTGTATTACCTTCATTTGTATTTTTTTCACCACTATAATTGCGCAAATGCGCTAGTGGTTTGCTCAAATAAATAAAAAAAAAAAAAATTTTAAAAACATTTTCCGGAAATGTTTTAAAACATCTTCCAAAACAACAAATGTTTTCCGTAAATGTTTATAAAACAAAAACATCTTAAAAACATTTTCTGGAAATGTTTTAAAACATCTTTCTAAACACCAAACGTTTTCCGGAAATGTTAAAAACATTTTCCGGAAATGTTTTCTTCCAAAACACAGATGTTTTCCGGAAAAGTTAATAAAACATTTCCTATAAAACATTTTTATAAAACATTCAAACATTTTCCGGAAAGTTTCATGTTTTATAAACATTTTCCGGAAAGTGTTTACAAAACATTCCGGACTAAATCAAAAAACAAACAAATTACCCTCGAAATTCTTGAGGAACATTTTCTTGGATTGAGAAAGGAAGAATTAGTCCCTCCAAGTTGTTTGCTGAGGGCAACAGCATTTAAAGGAAGGCCAAAAATTAAAAGTAACCCTAAAAGTAATAATTCAACCCAATCTGCTGCCAACTTTAATTAAAAAAAATTTTTAAAATTAATTTTTAATAAAAACACCATTTCCGGCCTAGCAATCCCTCCTTGTTCGTCGAGTTCGAAAGCATTACTTTGCTGTTGTTGAGTATTAATGTTGTTGTAGATAGTATTGCTGGTGTTATTAATGTTTTCTATTGTTATTTCATTCATATCATTTTTTAAAGTTTTTTAATGGCTAGAAAATTAAAAAAAAAATTTTAATTTGCTTCAAGTTTCCTTTGAAAAATTTTTAGGCCTTAAAACACCGCTGAAACATCTACTTAAAAACATCTTATAATCATGTTTTTAAATTTAAAAACACAAACATTTCTTCTAAAACATAGTCGAAAGAAACATTCCGGAAAACATCTAAACATGTTTTTCTAGTCTATATTCTCTTAACCAACATTTATATGTTTGACGAACATTTCCGGAAAATGTTTTGATGAACATTCCGGAATATGTTTTTTTATCTAAAGCTTAAAGAAATGTTTGTGTTTTTAAAATTTTCTTTCCGGAAAACAATTTTTTCCTTTCGGAAAAACATTTGAAATGTTTGTATTATTGCAAACATTTTATTCTGGTTGAATAAAAATAGGCATGTTTTGTTAATTAAAGTTTTAATTTGTTTTTGTGTTTGTTGTTCTCTTAAACTTGATAATTAAATATATTCTTAAATTGAGGAATTTAATAAAAACAAAAACAATAAAAATATTTATTTTATGGGCGTGAGAATAAAAGGATAATTAAAGTTTAACACAATGTGTGGGGGGTTGCTTTTATTGTTCTTCCTTTATGCCTTGGGCATTAAACAGCTTTTTATTTCTTTTAAGTAAAAAATGTTTTTGAAAGTAACCAAAAATATTAATATTTTTTTATAATTTTTATGAGGGGTGTGAGAGAAAATTTTAAAATAAATTGTGTTTAAATGTTCTGGGGGTGGTCTGTTCGCACAGCTCTTTGTGAATAAAATAAGACTGGGAGAAAGAAAAATATGGCATTTTGGAAGTAAACGAAGCCTTAATATGGCATTATTTGAAAAATGAAATTTTAATTTGAGAAATTTTTTAAAGAATTAATTAAAATTAAAACAGGCAAAAAATTAAAAAAGGCATTTAAAATGTTAATGTTTTAATAAAATGTTTTCTTAATAAAAATGTTTGTTTAAACAAAATGTTGTCTTCCGGAAACAAAAGACGTAGAAAAAAATAGAAGATTAAACAAAACATTTAAAGATAAGAAGAAAGTTTTTGTGTTGTTTTAATATTTTCCGGAATGTTTAGACAAACATTTGTTGGGGAGAAAATAAATGTTTGTTTGCGAACATTCTTTCCGGAAAATGTTTTGATCAAAATTAAACAAAAACATTTTTTCAAAAAACATTCTCTTTAGTTTTCATCAAAACATTTTCCGGAAACTTTTCTCCTCAAACATTTTCCGGAAAGAATATTCGCAACCTTAAAACATTTGTATATAAAACATTCATTTAAAACATTTTCCGGAAAACATGAGTATATCCGAATAAAAAAAGAAAAGGACTAAATTGAGTAAGCGGACATAAAATAAAATTTAAAAGAAACATTTAAGATTTCTACCACGTATTTGAAATAAATAAATAAAAAGATTATAGAAAATGAGTATTTACGTGTATAAATTTCTTTTTATGGAAAATAAAGGGAATTTTAAGGCTTTACAGTTTATTTAAACAACAGTTGTTT